GTAATTATTACTCAAAATGTTCGAATTGATGCTGATAATACTATTAGTTTTTCATTAATTACAATCTTCTTTGCAATTAATTTACAAATTATATGCACGGATTATAAAAACAATATCCTTATGAACATTCTCATGTCATTTTTGTTCTTATTTTACTTATAATTTTGTTCATAATTAATTATTCTGTTGGACCATCGCGCCGATCGTTGTATCGAATCACGTACGTCGTCAAGTAAGTAATAATAACAAACTAATTAGCGCCAAATTATGTGCAAAAATTGTATAAGAATGCTGCGCAAGGAGTCGGCTATGCGATACAGTTATAAAAGTTCATAAATTAATCTCAGAAATTGCATAATTTGTTAATTTAAAATTATTCCCCAATAATTCCCAATCGCTAATACGGTCTTGATACCTTTTTTTATTTGGAGGTCCAGGGGGTTCAACAGCTGGTTACGAGCTTAATTTTGCATCAGTTAAATGATCATGAGCTGATTTGCTCTTACCACTGGACTTTCTATTTAATCTCGTAGATTCTTCTTCATCTTCCTCTGCTTTTTCGCTAAATGATAAAGATTGAAGTTACTGTAAAAAAATTTTACATTACAAAGAATAATACTATCATGGATAAATGCTACAAACATATATGATTTTTACTTTATTCCTGTCCTTTACTTCTTCACTTTCCTGTACTATTATTCTTGGTATAATTTCAGAAAATGGATTGTTCAATAATTCAGCTTTTATCATTTTTGGAGCATAAAGTGGTTTATCATTCTACAAAACAGAGGAAATATTATATTTATATCAATTCTTGATACATTTTCTTATAAACATTAAATTTACCTCATCTACAAGTGCTTCTTCAAGTTCAAGCATGTCATATATAGTTTCTTCAGTAACATAACCAAAAGTTGAATGTTTATTCTGCAAATCTAATTGAGAACCAAGAGTAAAGAAGAATTGGGAACCACTGTTATCTTCTCCAGCATTAGCCATAGCAATTAAACAGCGACCACAGGAACGTAATCTAAAACGAACTGAAAAAAAGTATTCAATTCAGTTAGAGAAAATTCCACTCTACACTGATGTATAGAACAAACCTAATCAAAAAGCCCAATTTCGAAGATAGATGTCAAAAATATCTATTACGCGTACGATTTCACGGCTACTGACACATTCGGCACTATTTTTCGAAAACGCACACTCAAAACTGAAAAAAAAATATTCAATATCATTAAAGAAAATTCCACTCTACACTGATATATAGCACAAACCTAATCAAGAAGACTAATTTCGGAAATAGAAAAGAAAACGCACTATTGCGAAGCACGATTTCACAGCCACTAACACATTCGGCACTATTGTTCGAAAACGCACTCTCGAAACAGAAAAAAAATATCCAATCCCGTTACAGAAAATTCCACTCTACACTAATATATAAAACAAACCCAATCAAAAAGCCTAATTTCGGAAATAGAAGCCAAAAAAGTCTATTGCATAGTACGATTTCACGGCCACTGACACATGCGGCACTATTTTTCGAAAATGGAAACTCGAAACCGAAAAAAAATATCCAATCCCGTTAAGGAATAAATCACTCTACGCGAATCAGTGGAAAAATCCGGTTCAAAAAGCCCAATTCAAAAGATAGAAGCCAAAAAAGTAAATTGCGTCGTACGATCTGACAGCCACTGACACATTCCGCACTATTTTAGAAAACGCACGCTCGAAACCGAAAAAAAATATCCAATCCCGTTAACGAAAAAATCACTCTATGCGAATCAATGGAAAAATATGATTCGAAAAGCCTAATTCAAAAACTAGAAGCTAAAAAAGTAAATTGCGCAGCGCGATCTGAAAGCCACTGACACTTCCGGCACTATTTCTCGAAAATGCACGCTTGAAACCGAAAAAAAATATCCAATTCCCTTAAGGAAGAATTCCCTCTACGCTGTTAGACCGAAAAAATCTAACCGAGAATCTTAATTTCAGAAACGTAGGCGAAAAAATTATACTGTGTAGAACGATTTCACAGGCACCTGCTTTTCTGTTACTTTGGTACATATATGCACCTTCAATTGTAATATAATTGCCGTACTGGTTCGACAGCAGCCTATTCTATGCAGTAGTTATGAAATATTCTAATCTAAAATTAAAATTTAGAATGTAAAAGAGATAATACATAACTATGTTGCAATGGAATGTCAAGATCGAAGAAAAATTGAACAAACTGTTTAAAAGCTGCCTTTGCAGAGTGATGTCGATCAAATATTCCAACGAACTGTCGAAATCTAGAATCTTCTACAGGCGACAATAACGGGCAATGCGGTAGTATTATAAGATCGCGCACTCACGCCACTTCATTTCGCACATGTATCATTACGCAGTTTACACTATGTAACATCACTTTTTTTCACATGTGGTATATTACCACCGTAGAAATGTTCATAGTTAGTAATCTTGAACTCCGTAAAGTAATTAAAACGTCAATCAGCGATATCACTACTTCACGAAACGTTCTGAGATTTAATGTTTTATTTTGACGCGGGAGAATATTGCACGATGTTACTGTTATGCCCGCTTGCCGCCAACTGGAAGTTGGCTGCAGCCGGATGTGCTAGGTATTTTTGTAGCGGGAAAATGTTGCATCTTTGAAATAGCTATGTGATAAAGTATCGATGTAAAATATCAAACGATGCCTCTTATATTTAATAACGTCAATGATGCAAATATAGATATATTTCTGTTGCGAAAAATTCCAAATTTCTATAATTAATTTATGAAATGAAATTATTAGCTATTCCATTATACTAATTAAAATAAATAATTACTAATTATTAATTAATTACTAATTATAATAAACATTATACTAAGACAAACCATTACTATCTCCGGCAATCGGCAATGGTTCAAGCACTCTATGCAATAATCACCAATAATGAATTAAATAACAATGAATTCATATCCAGACTTATATTAGAAGGCTCGCTGAGGCTGTGTCTTCACGATGCAATTACAAAAGTTGTTGAATTAATTATAGACGAACATTAAGTCACAGATGAAAGCGAGTGATTTTGCTCTTCGTAATTATATTTATGTACCTTTTATTCACTTTGGAAGTTTCACATATACACGTTAATTATTAACAACATAATTCTTCGTTTCTTTTTTTATATCTCTCAATTTATTTTTTATCCTTTCCTTCATTACTTGGAAAATATAAATATAAGACAGTCAATGAAAAATTCTACCTTCTATAACATAGTTATAATGTAAACAATAAACTAACTCTTTCTCTTTATTTATAACTTCTAATTCTTTTTAAGTTTTTACTTCATCATCACTTTCCCAATCGCTATTACAGACTTTTTTCCTTCTCTTATTTGGAGGTCCAGGTGGTTCAACAGCTGGTTGTGAGCTTTATTTTGGATCAGTTAAATGATCATGATCTGATTTGCCCTTACCACTAAACTTTTTATTTAATATCACAGATTCTTCATCATCTTCCTCTGCTTCTTTATCAAATGATAAAAGATTGAAGTTTCTGTAACAAAATTTTTCATTACAAAGAATAATACTATCAGGCCTAAATTCTGCAAACATATATGATTTCTACTTTACTCCTGCTGTTTTAGTTTTTGAACTGTCTTTTACTTCTTCACTTTCCTGTACTATTATTCTTGGTATAATATCAGAAAATGGATTGTTCAATATTATAGATTTTATCAATCTTGGAAGATAAAGTGATCTATCATTCTACAATTTTGGTATTAAGAAATTTTATTTATAATGTTTTCATGGGCGAAAAATGAATACAAAATAAAAAATAGATTGAAAAAAAAATACCCAGGATGGACGGGAGAATCCAACCTCGGGATTCCAGTATAGGAATTTTCGAATGTCGTCGTTAGGCTACCACGTTACGAAAGATATTGGAAATAAATCTGTAGCTATACATGGAGTAAAACTTTAATCATAAATATTTTAAAAAATATTAAGTAGCTACACCTATGATAATAAATTTTTTTAACTGCATGACGAAATCTACAAACCTGCAAAATTTCAACTAAATCGATGACCTGAAGGACTTACACTCTCCTTATTAGTAAAGTGAAAACATGTTATCTTTGTGTAATCATTGAACTCAGATTAGGTTACGTTATCGCGCATCATTTGCTACTACTTATAACTAACGAATCTGGTACAATGTGTCAAATTGACACACATTTTTTGATATGTACCTTTGTATATATTTAATCATATATTAATATGAATATCTCAACGAATATGAGCTACGTACATTTTCAGTAAGTAGTGAAGTGTAATTCTTTGTGCAATTTAATTTTATTATTGCTTCTTTGCATTGCATAAGTTCGTGCAGTTCAAGAATAACAATTATTAAGTAGTACATTTATATACATAATATGCATACGCATAATAAGTAGAGTGATGGATATTTTTATGTCGTTATAATTAATAGTTTGGTAAAGAATAATATAATTATTTTATTTTTATATTTAACAAATTTTCATATTCTTAGAAAAATTGTATAATAAAAAACATATTTTTTTATATATTTTTTTTAAATAGAAGCTGTTTTTAAAATTTGTTACAAAAATTATATTATATATAAAGAAATTTTGTATAAAAAAATTATTGTTATGTAAATTATAGCTCAAGTCTACGTAATTGTAAACATTACATTCACAGAAATATCTTATTATAAATTATATAAATTTTAAAGTATAAAATAATATATTTTACTCCTATAGCAGATATTTAATACCTTTGTTTAATATTATCTTTTTTAATAATATACCTTGACAGTTTCTTGTTATCTTATTTGGTTTATTACGTAAGAAAGCATGGAATTATGGACGTCTTGCATTATTAAACAAAACAGATGAGAGATGGATGGAATTATTTTATGGAGTCAATGAGGGCAGAGACACAGAAGCAATGTGTGTAGAAACTTCTGTTAATTCTCAACTTTCGCAAGTTGATAGAGGTTTCACATCATGGATTGTTACTGCATTCAGAGTTACGTAAGCATAATAGATTATTAACTTCATATTTCATAATTTTTTGCACATTTAGTACATTCATGATAATTAAGTAATCTAATTTAATACTGTTATTTAAACAAATATTTTAATAAAACTTTGAATGATATTTTATGACTGTGAATTTTAGCGATGAGGAATTATTAAAACGAGCTGGACCAGATGGTTTATTATATATATCATTCGAACGTCATCTGATCATCTTGACGTGCTTAATGGTTATTATATCATTATGTATAGCTTTACCAATTAATTTTCATGGTAATATGCAAGGGGATAAGGCAACATTTGGTCACACAACATTATCAAATTTAGATCCAATGTCTACATGGATTTGGGTGCATACAATTTTAATTTTATCCTACTTACCAGTTGGTGCATATATAATGAGACATTTTTTGAAAAAGGTACATTTTATTTATTATGAATAGATAAACTGTTGTTATAAAACTACAACGAATTTTTTATTATCAATAATAATAATATTAAAAATATAAAAGTGGTGCGGCAATAAAATGTATATGAAATGTAGGTAAGAGATTCCAGACATGGTGGTGAATTGGCAGCTAGGACACTATTAATTACAGAAATACCAAAGCATCAGTGTGATGTACAAGGTCTTACTGATTACTTCAAGTATGTAAATTTGTATTTACAAACATAATAACAACTATTATTTATTTTATTTTACTCCTCTCATGATATGGTTTTGTGTAGAGAAATATTTCCTACTTTAACAGTGGAGGATATTACATTAGCTTATGATGTTAGAAGACTTTCAATACTAAATATAGAAAGAGATTGTGCTGAACAAGCACGTTTATATTGTGAAAACTATGCAAAGAAAAGAGAACCATTACAAATGTATCCATATCCCTGTGGCCAAGTGATAGGTTGCTGTTGTAAAAATGTATGTAATTCACAAAATTATCATAATAGATATATTGTAAATTATACCAATATTTTCCTGTACAGCAAGTCGATGCCCAAGAATTTTATATAAATGAGGAAATACGATTAACTGCATTAGTCGAAGAAGAGAAGAAAGTGGTACTAAGCAGACCCCTTGGAGTAGCTTTCATGACTTTAAGTTAGTTATTACCTCATTATGCCCTTAAATGATATTACTTACTACCTATTACATAGATACTGATAGATATAAAAATTATATTAAATTTTATTTATAATCAACTATAATCAATCATAAGATAATTATTAAATAAATAATTTTTTCATTTCAATGAAACAACCATCGCTGATATCAATAATAATAATAATAATAATAATAATAATAATAATAATAATGATAATGATAATAAGGTACACCTGGTGCAGCTAAAGTTATGCGGAAGTACTTGTGTTCGTTGCCTAGCATAAAATGGGTTATAGATTATGCACCTACCCCTTCTGATATCTTTTGGGAAAATTTAAGCATACCAAGACCATGTTGGTATCTGAATGCTGTTTTAATAAACTTTGCATTGGGTATTATACTATTTTTCCTTACGACACCAGTTGTAAGTTATTCGTGACTAAAATAATAATAATAATAAAATATATCTTGTTTTGATTTTATTAATAAATTTGTTACATTTTTGTAACATTTGATTCCAGGTAATAGTATCTGCTTTGAACAAATTACCAATCACAGGGGAGATTATGAATCTTAGCCCAATAGTTTCATCTTTTCTTCCAACTGTGTTATTAGTTAGTGTGGCTGCTTTAATGCCAGTATTAGTAGCGAAAAGTGAATCATTAGTTAGACATTGGACTAGAAGCAGCCTAAATCGAGCAGTAATGACAAAAACATTACTTCTTTTATTACTGATGGTTCTTATATTACCTAGCTTAGGTTTAACTAGTGCACAGGCATTTTTGGAGTGGACTGTAAATGCGGCAAATGAAACAGGAAGATGGGATTGTGTATTTCTACCAGATCAGGTGTTAATATTATAAAATTATATGATTTATTTTATGGTCTTGGCAAGCATAATTTACTTAAAAATATAAAACTAATACGTTTTTCTAGGGCGCTTTCTTCGTAAATTACGTAATTACTGCAGCTTTATTAGGAAGTGGATTGGAATTAGTCAGATTTCCCGAATTAGCATTATATACGTTCAGACTATGCGTAGCACGTAGTAGAGCAGAAAGAATACATGTTAGAAAAGCAGTATTATGGGAATTTCCCCTAGGTGCTCATTATGCCTGGTTGCTCTTAGTTTTTACTATGACAACAGTATACAGTTTAGCCTGTCCATTGATTACACCTTTTGGTCTGTTGTATCTCACAGTGAAACATTTGGTATGACATTTAAACATCTTATGTTAAATTATTTGAAATGATATATAATGATAATATGAGAAAATATATTATATTTACAACAAACATTGCATATTATAGGTGGATAGACATAATTTATGTTTTGCCTATGGGCCAAGTATTGGAGGTGGTCAATTAGCTGGTGCAGCAGCAAGTGCTACTGGAGCTGCACCAATTTTGGCTCAAGCAGCACTGTTAGCTCTAGGTTTGGTAAGAAGAGGGCTATCACCTTTAGCTGCAGTACAACTTAGTGGCCTCGCTGCAAGTATTTTAGGTCTTGTTACCGGAGCTACTTTATCTTCATCAAAGTATAAAGTACAGTTGTATTTTATTAGAATTTTGAATACAAAATCTAATCAATGTAATCGAAATTATCCAAGTAACAAAAATAATTTTTATAGATACAAATGCAAAAAAGAGACCTATCAGCTGGTCAAAATTTTGTTGCACCAGTGTTGCGAAACAAACAAAACTCATTAGAAGAAACCATATCCACAGCTTCAAATTCTGATCTCAGTCCACAATGTTTAAGAAGCTCTAGTGTACCTTCGATACAGGATGATCCGAAACTTTATCAAGACTATGGTAAAGAATCACAAGCTTAATAGCTTTTGAATTATAATATTCGATATTAATTATACCAGTGATGTATTAAAATAATTTAATGAAAACACAGTCATGAAATATTTTAAACACTAATTTAAATACTAAAATATCATATATCGTATAAGTAAATACGATAATAATATTATTTTGAAAATGAAAACGAATTTATTTGTAACATGTAAAAAAATTCTGTAAACTGAATACTATATAAAGAGTATATAAACGTAATTTCTCATTGTTAAAATCGCAGAAAATATTGAAATTAGGTTATTCACTATAAAATTATTCGATAAGATTCATTTGTATAAAATAATTACAAACAAAGTAAATGTGGATTCTTATATGTATAGCAAGAACAACAATGGTAATAATAACAATAATAACCAATATTATCTACCTTCTTTCTTAGATATTTTTGATCATGCACATTCCTTATAGATGATGGTCATCTCATTAATAATATTTTGTTATTCATATCGATACATTTAATTTTAAATATTTCGTATATTATCATAATTAAATAAAATTTTATTACAATTTTATTTATATAGCGTAGTAGAAACGAAGTATTATGAGTATTATTTCATACTTCCCCACAAAAAGATTAATTCTATCTTTATTTTATTTATTATCATTAATGTATTTGCAATTATTAAAATTTTTATAAGCGCTATGAAATAGGAAGTAATCGTAATTTTTATTTGAATTATGAAAAACGTTTTGCATTTAATACTATTCTTTAGTTCTCTATTACAAACGCGCTCATGTAATATATATGTACAATTTAAAATACATAAGGAACACTGTTAACAAACTTACATTAAGTTTTCCATTTCATTATATTCACATTTACGTAAATTTCTTAACAAATAATTTTTCTTTCTCAATATTATTGTAATATTTAAATCCAATAAAATGACTTAAACGTTTTAGATCAATAAATTGAAAACATAAAAATATATTTTAGGATCTTATTATGAAATATGTGACAAAAATTTTATTTCATTGATATCTTGTGATATCTTCCTTAAAAATAACACGAATTATATAATACAAACTTCCAAAAATTCACAAGGCAGTGTAAAGAAATTTACTATAATCTCTCAAGTATCTAACTACTTCAATGGGTATTTTACGGATACGACACCTTAATGGATAAAAATTTTAAAGTACAATGTAAAAGAGATAAAAAAAAAATTTAACTAATGCATAAATATATTTTACAAAATAAACATCCTCAAAAGTTTATCTACACAACAAACGTTTAAATTAATTCAAAATATTGACTTAGCATAATATAATTCTAAATACTTCATTATATATCAAAATAGAATGAAGAAATATTCTATGCATACGGGTGCATATTATTTAATTATATTCTATTTATTTGTAAATTAAGAGAAGTATTCCATGTCAACCCGATTAGATGAAAGCATATGCAGGTGTGTGCGTATGTGGGAACATATACATATATATGTACACAACTCATAAATGCAATACATAAACATGTATATGCACATAACTCATTAAATTATATAACACAGGTGTACACAGTAAAAGTATTATATTAAGAATAAAATTTATTCTTTTGGTAGCAGAATTGGAATTTATTAAAATTTGTTATTCAACTGATCCCTTTGACATGGAATGAGTGTTTTACAAATAATGTATACAATTACAAATACTACTAGCTCACACTGGCGTTCACAGTTATGTTGAAATTGTCATTACATAATTTGTTATTTACCAATTGTGAAGATATGAAACTATGCACATTAAAATATGTTCCATAACTTAATCTGAATCAATGGGGATAAATTGTTCACTCAAATAGACTGCCACCGATTATAGCCTCCAATTGACTAGATGTAAGGGTATTTAATTTTTCTACCTGGCCTTTCTCTTCGTTCAATCTCAGAGATAATCGGTGTAATGTTTTTCTCTTCATACTTTTTGAATTGTATTCACAAGGCATAAAATCGACAGTCTGCATTGCTTCTTCATCATCTTCTCTTTGAGATTCTTCACTTTCTTCACTGCTTGGATGCACCTATAAAGTATATTTCATTATCTATCTTCCCTATAGAAAATCATTTATTTATAATAATATATAATACATTACACAAGAAAGACATTCCTTCGTCTATTATCTAAGACACTACTGTTGATAAATACTTAAAAAGCATAATACTTTATATAACTTAAAAGGTATGTTTACGTTTAAAACCAAATTACATGTCCTAAAGTGCTACAAGTAAAGTAAATACCCACAATGAAAATTATGGTCTAGTATGATGGGATTTAAGTATCTGTTATGCTCAAAAGAAATTTACTCACCAATTAATATTTAAAATTGTATAATTAAATAATGGTAACTAAACTATTTGTTACAAGCTATTTGTTAATTACAAAATAATTTTTCTTACTATGATCATATTATGAATCAGAGGTCCAAAGAGATAATACCAAAAATATACACTCACTTGAACGTATAAACTTAAACAGAACATGTTTGTTTGTTACTACTTCTCACTACTGCCAATGTCAGGGAGAGGATGCTGGGAACAGTGAAAAACAATTAAAAAAAAAAAAAAAAGGTTAATTGCTGTTAATCTTTTTCTTTCTACTTTTGGAAATATCCTAATATAAATGTTACACTAATAACAGTATTATATTTGTTTATGTAAAATTATAAAACATTGTATATTTCTATGATGTAATTTTTTGTATATGGGTAGAAATACATAAAATAAATGAAACATAGTATTTAATAAAATCTGAAGTTGTAAATGGAATTTTTATATCAATATCAAACCTTATATTGCAATGTATTATATCTACAAAAAATATTCTGAAAATATTTAAAGTAGAAATATAATATATATTTTAAAATATAGCCATTAAAAGACTTAGAATGATACGTTCTTGTCAATAATTAAAAAAAAATCATTACTTTTTCTATTTTAATGATCCGATTGATTAACCAATGAACATTTTCCATCCTTTGAGAAACAAATTATTCTACATATATAGCAATTCTTTTCATGCTTACCACCACCATCATAATTGTCAACTATGGCTTGTCTTTTATTGTGAAAATAAAAATAGACAAACGAAAGCTAACAACATTTGAAACGTAAAATAGTTTTGGGAGAAAGCTTAAAATGCATAAAAAAAAGAGATTGCTCATCTTCTTCGACAATTTGAAATGTCAATGCCTTTAACACAGTTTCATCTCACCTCTACTATAGAAACTCTTGGTGATGGCTCACGTGGTACTGACTTCTCCATTGTTAACAACGGACTATTGGAATCTGTAGAAGAATATTCTTTGTCTGTCTCAGTATCATTATCCGAATAATCTTTTTCATCTTCAACAGAAGATTTTTGCATATCCATACTTTCGTGTAGCTTACAGACAAAACCACCTTTTTCACTGTACTCAAATAGGTTTCCATCCAAGTGTACTATCAATAACGGTGATTAATTTTATGATACAAACAAGAATGTGAAACATAAATAAATATATTGCAAAATTATTTACCTTGACAAAAAGCAGTGCTACAGAAGGAACAATGTGCTGATGTTCTACGCCGACATTCCGCGCAACGGTGCCAAGGACAACTAAATCTTGAATCCATATCATCAATAATCACGCAAGCTTTATGATACTTCTTATTACATGTTTTTTGATCGCAAACAACGAATTCTCCCAATTTTTCAATTTCTTGTCCGCAACTCCAACATAGTACATGTTTTCTCGATCTAATTATTTTACAATGATTATTGTGCACAATTAAACAGATCTTATACATTGAGATGATGGACTTTTATAGAAGGAAATAAATTATGAAACCTTAGACAAGAAAGCAATATCGGTAGTATAAAAGAATAAAAAATGCTGATTTACTTTTTCTACTATAATTATACCGAACTATACAATATTTCGCTATTTATATCGGGAAAATTAGTATACGATATGCGTATAATATGCCACCATTTACCTTCTTTGACGTTTTATTTTATCAATTTTTTCCAATTTTTTCTGTTGTATCGAAGGTGTTGTTACTTGTGATTTCTGTACTTTTAAACCTATAAACCCACTACAATTTGATGCACCACACAAGCAGGGTTTTCGAGTTTCTCCATCACAAGCTAAGTTATAATTAAAAGTCAATTCTTCACCAGGCTCAATATCGCACAACGCAAACAGACCTATACGCGTATCTCCATTTACTGTCCATTTTTGAGTCTCGCAGTTTGGTGAACATGAATGATCTAACAAGTTTTAAAAATGGCAATTTGAAATGCAAAAGATACATTTATTTTTGATCTTCATTTATTAAAGTAAAGCAAAAAATACTCACTCATAAATCGACTTAGATTGCCTTTTGGTTCTGCGTCGATCATTCTATTATTATCTATAGTTAAAAAATAAAAATTCTCGTTCTTTAATTCCTTTTTCCTATGTAGTCTTCGTTTGTATTCAGCCTCATCTATAACTTCACCTACATATTCTATAACGAATTGTCCAACTTTAATTGGTTCCAAACTTCTAAGACCCCAACCACGACCAACAGTATGAAATGGTTCCATAGCTGGATATTGTCTTCTTACAAATGCTTGATTGTTACATTTGGGACCAGCTGGACAAATACCAGGACTGCATTCAACTAATAATATTCGATTGAGACAATCTGTTCCTGGCGCACATGGATTTTCCCATTCTGCATCACAATCACATGCAACGATACTTTCAACTTCTACTGGTTTTACATTGCCAACTGGTTTATTCACCTTTGAATAGATGCCAATTATAAATTTATATATATACATATGCGCACATAAAATATCTTTGTTATACCTTTAATTTAACATAAGGCGGAGGTTTCAATCCTCGTGGTCCATGATCTTTAGCTGCAGCTCTTTCAATTTTTAACTGCTGATGAATCTCGTTAGCTTCTTCTAATGCTTTGCGATAAGTATCGTCCCTATTTTTTTTACCAATTGGCGGTTTTATGTTGGCGTCACCATCTTGATAAAGAAAAGCACGTCCTCTATAAATAAAACCACAATTGCCATTATTAATATATTCTTAATATTCATATTCAATCTAATTAAAAAAAAACAATTAGGAATATTACTTACCTATGAACCCAGTGATAATTATTCGATCCCAAAAACATCACACAAAATTTACCAGGGCTGTGAGGTATAGCTTCTATATTTTCAGGAATTTCATGAGGATAACAAATACGAGACGGCCACCAACGGTAATTACCAAGTTTAACCCACACAACTTCTCCATATAAAGGTAATCTGCCTGTTTCACAATCTTCACAAATAAATGCACCATCTGGAGCATCAATACCTAAAATTATAATTATATGTAATTAGTTATATGATATACACATACTATTATTACTACCATTATTACTATTATCACTATCAACTATCAACTTCAAATATGTCTATTACATTATTTCATTATTACTAATACTAGCATACCTAAACATTCCAAATGGAATGATGTTGGGCATGTATCGCAACAGATAAGACTTCCGCCTCTTGTACATAAAAAACACCATGCCGCATTTACTGGAGGTTGTGGTGCTTGGTAATGTTTTGGACAAACTATTTGACTACCGGTTAATACAATCGAACCAGCAGGTAAACAAGACGTAGATGTATGATATGATGACGGACAACGAACACATCGTGCTAATTTTTCATTTGGAGCCCTTGAATGACTATCTTGAGGATTATCTGAACTGCATGTATGACATACATGATATGGACAAGTTAGACGACCCCCCTGCCAATGTGACTAACAAGAAAATATTTGTTAATACTATACTTCAACTTTGATATTATATAATTAATATATTTATTATTGAATATTACTTGTGGCCATGATTTCAAGCAAGACGAATGATAATGTTTCCCACAAGCTAATACAGAGCACCTTATTCTATCTCCTTCCCTTTCATTACATATAAAGCAAGCAGGTGCTACACCTGATAAACAATCGATACATTTAAAGAATTCGTCTTCTTGTTCTTCCAATTTACCTAAAATTGGAAATAACATACATTTTGGTTAAATATTATGGAAAATGTCAAAAATATATTTGGTAATTCTCTATACCATTATTCTCATCGTCATCGTTATTACTTTGTTTAATCTCCTTTATATCGTCAAGAATTTTATCATCCATTATATTTTCATCAATGGAATGTTCTGGACTAGATTCTCCTGGTTTCACGCAAGAAAGATGAAAATATGAATAACAAGGACCTTTACACCTAGTTAATTTTCCAGTTTTTTCACATATTTGACAAACTTTTTCTTGTTTCATTCCTTTGAAAAGATTATAAGGTCTATTTTTTTTTGTTTCTGAAATACTTATCTCTTCTTTTTCAACTTTTATTCTTGTCTTTTTGTTATCTTTAGTATTTCCAACTATTTCTATTAATAATTCATCGTCGTGATCCGATGAATTTTCTTTTGCATGGGTACTACTAGTGTCTGATGTTACATATGACCGGTATTTCTTGCGAAAAGAAGAATTCATATTATCCCAAGTCTTCTTCAAATATTTCCTAATATCATGTTCCGACGCATCCGGATATTCATCTTCTAACATATCTCTATTTCTTTCGTAATAAACTTCAAAGACACCATCTACATCTTCTTCAGTTCGAAATTCAACTTTTTGCATAAGAGAAACTTCATCATTGGAATCTTTTTGACTTAAAGGAGATAATGGAGGAGTATCTGAATTGAGTTTTGAATGACTTTTACCATTCTCAAAGTATTGCAGCATTTTTTGTTTTGTCCCATCTGTTTTATCTTGTGATAACTTATCTACCTCATATACCTGTAATATCATTTAACATAAATGTTTCCAATAATAATAATATATTTCAAATTAATTCAATTCCATATTAAATGTTTCGTTCATATACTTACATTATCTTGCTTAACTCGTTTAAAATCAGGACCATTTGAATCACTTGAGTGTTTCCTTTTATTGAATTTATCTTTTTCCTCAGATGCTTTTAGTATTTTACTTTTTACACTTTTTTCCTTTGGTTTGAACACATGTGCCCTATCATTATTGCTCATTGGTTGAACTTCCATAGCTTCTTCAATTGCGCTTTCCCATTTTGATTTTATACCAGGTTTTACAATGAATGCTGCTGCATATTTTGCATCTCGCTTCTTAACCTCTGCAGTTATTGATTCTGATAATTTTTTAAAGTCTGCAAGATTTGTAAATGGAATCATAGAGTTTGATGAAACCCAACTGTGACGTCCTTTATCGCCGAAGTATTGGACATGTATCATTAGCGTTTGTGATCTGGCAGTAGCTGGTCAAACAAATATACGTATATACACACACACACACACACATATATATATATATATATATATATATCATGTAAATTGCACCAGTTACTATGCAATTACTACATTTAAATTGCTAACAAAGAAAATTATTTAAAAAAATAGAAGGGAAAAAAGAAATTCTATAGCCAATTTGTAACGTTATACTACCACATTGCATTTTTACAGATAATACATAAATGCTTTATAAAAGATCAATATTGTCTAATATCAATTAATTAAAGATTTCATACTTGTTTTGGTAACAAAAGAAGGAAATAAATAGAATAAAATATTATAATGCATAAAGTAAAATGTACATTTATATGTAACCTTTCTGATAATTTAACTCATATTTAATAAATTTAACTGAAATCAAGAATCTTACCTTTTAATTTATGATATACCATTAAAACTGGATCAAGGGTTATAACGCAAGGCCAAAAAGGAAAGTTACCAACTCTTGCCCATGCTAATTGACCTAACAACCAATTGCACTCTATAGATGAACTAACCAATTTTGGAGTAGGTTCCTCCATAATACTTAAGTTAATAGAAGAATCACTTGTATCATCCATATCATTAGCTGTATTATTTTCATCTGTACTATCATTACTACTATCAGGTGAATGTTGATACTTTCGATTCTTTGGCATTTTAGAATTCTGCAAGTCACATATATCAACATTATGTCATACTATTAAATATTTCTATTAATATATTTAATTGGAAGAAATATAATGATAACTATAAAAGAAAAAGACGGTTATACTATATAATAAATAAATAAAGTACATACGCGCGCGCGTATGCAAACACACACACGCGCACACATACACAGAGACAGACACAGACACAGACAGAACACGCAAAAAATTATACGCTAAAACATTAATGAATGCTACATATAGTACCATAGTTTGTTAAGAACGATATTGATCTTTAATCGGAAAGATTATAATTGATCTTAAGAGGCATAACATGCCTTTGGAGAACTGGCAATCTCATTCTTTGGAGACTTAGGTTTTATTGTTCTGCCATAACGACTTCTACCAGGTGAAGTTTTGTTAGAACTGACAATGAAGTCCTTTTTGTCATTTTTAAAGATGTTGTTTGTTGTTCCCAAATTTCTGTCGCATTCGTCAAGTCTTGATTCAACAATAATGCCCACCTTGTTATTTATTCTGTTGATAGTACTCATTGTTTTCCAACTAATTTATCATCTTTATCTATTAAGGAGGACGATAACTCAGTGGTATAAAATCTCATACACTTTTTCAGTGATTAACACAATATAAACTCCAGAACTTGTGTATAAAAGGATCACGTATAGAAAACAATTTTCATTATCGCTGAAAATAGCTGCGATGGCCGATTTTCAAGGGCTACTTTATTTCTTATAAACACAATACGTACTTTTGATTAATTTATAGAAACGATGTATATTATGTGTAAACTTAAAAAAAAAATAAATTCAGTATCTCATAAATAATTTCTTTTCTTAATATTAAGAAATTATAACTGAACCGTACGGACCTCTAAGCAGGAACAGGACGCGTTTCCCGCGATTTTGGGTGATTCTCATAACCAAGTGTACTTTAATTTTTCACTATATGTAATGTTTAGTGATTTTTGTTTTATAGGTTATTTGAGTTTCAATATATATGGAAGTTTACATACTTATGCTAATAATGGTTATTTTGTAAATGATTTGTTACTTGTTGATTAAATCATATATTTAAGCAACAAGTAATAGACTATGTATAAATTTGTTAATGTATTTAATTTAATTGAACAATTATACATAATATGTGAATATGAACGTACATATATCCGTACATAACTGTATGTGCATTCATAACACTAGCATTTGTAACTATATTTAATTTAATTGAAAATTTTAGGTAAATTATATTATAGAAAATGTTTAATATATGTTGAATATCAAGGTGAAAATTCAAGTAACTTATATTATTTATTTGCGAAATCTGGCAGTATGATGTTCTTTAGCATTTATATCATTAATTTCATATAACCCATGATGCTGAGCCATACTTTTTAAATCCTTTACAAAATTCAGTAAATGTTCGTCTCGTAACTCAACCAGATACTTTTGTAATTCTACCAATATGATTCCTGTTTCTTTCAGTAACGGTGTAAGAGTAGGTAATTGTTTCACCATATTCTGAGCTATCCAGATAAAGTCAAATTTATTAACATATTCTGCTTTATGTGTAACAATTTCTAAGAATGTAACAGGATGAAAGATTATCTGAAAGAACAATGTAAATTATAGAGAATTATATGTTCGTTAAAATTGTTAATTTTATATATTATATAATTCTTAAATAAAATCCTCTAATACTTTATGATTTTGAATATTTATCCAAGATAGACTGTTTTTGTATTTATTTCCTTTTGTTTTCCATGATTCTTGCTCCATTTCTTTATTGGGCATTTCAATTACCAATGTACCATTTAATATAGAAGGATCTCTATGTGATGCAATGAACTTTTCACATATTGGTTTTTGAGTCCTGATTTTATACAGAGATTGTATAATTTCTCGTTCAGCTATATCAGTTGCTCTATATCTGCTGTGTTGTTGTTATTCTTAATGTTATAATATCAATGATAATATCAACAATATACAAATTTAAAATACACCTTACATATAACTATCTTCTTTTGTCTGTAAAACCCAAGTAAAAAAAGGACCATTTGTAATGTCTCCTAAATAGATATAAGGTAAAAATCCAGGCCTTCGTTCTATTACTTTATTTAATAATGTTGGGTTACTTCTAATAGGTTCTCCTTCTAACCAAGTAAATGCAATTCCATTATTTCTCCAAAATCTGACATCAGAATAAGATAATTAAATTATAAATATATATTGGTATAATAAAATTTTCATAAATATATAACAATTGATAAATATACCGATATTCTTGCAATGTTAAATTTGAAATATCTCTATATTTTAAAATCATATGATAATCCCAATCAAAAACACCATCTCGATAATCATATCTTGTTTTCAATGATTTTCTAACTCTTTGATCCCAATACTCTATAATAGGAACATTCTCACGTGTTGCACATTCCCAAAACCTTGTAAAACAAGTGTACTTAACAATAGAAATATATTAAATATAAAAAAGAATTAAATTTTTAATTTTTTAAAATAAACTCACTTAAAAATTGCTTCTAGTTGGTCTCTATCTTTATACTTAAAGTGTTCCAAACTTAACCAAGGACATGCAATTGTATTTGTTGGTATATTTGATAAGTGATTAGAGGACTTTATCAAATACTTGGCTGTTGCAGATCTTATTAGTGTATTTCCAAATATCTCTAAGTAATATCTAGTTGCTTCTTGCAATCCTTTGATATGTTCCACATTTTTTTTTTTTTTTGTAATAACATAAAAGTAATTGTAATAAAAACATTTATATATACTTTAGAACTCTTAGTATACATACCCAAATTTGTTTCTAAACAAGTATTTAATAAAAGAATAGATCTAGCAACTTGTTCCAATGTTGATTCAATTACATTATATATAATAATGCGATCATTATATAAATAAGATGATGCTATTGTTTTTAAAATATGTCTTGCATCACTAGCACCAACAATTAATACTTCAAGATATTCATTTGGGCAATTAGTTCCATATTTATTAATTTCAAATTGTATGTCTAATGCAGGACTGTATCCCCACCACATGTTATTATATTTAATATTTTACATTTATTTAAAATTAATAGACTTTAAAAAGATTCTATAAGTGTCAATAGTCAAACTTTAATTAACAATAATATCGTTGTCAAGATATGTTATTGCCATGGAAACATCTATTCATATATATATTAGACACTGCGAAATAGTTTCAACGACATATCCTATATTTCATGACATAATTCTTAATGTATGTCTATTCAATTCTTTGTAGTATTATATTTGAACTATATCAAGCTGTAGCTATAAATAAAAAATAAACGTATAATTTGTATTGTATGTATATGTACTTACACATGTTTATATATACATATAAAACAACAGACTTACTATATCTATAAAAATTAAAAGTCGTATAACATAATTGTATAATATAATTATAAACGTGTTAATGATACTCATGTTATAGTCTTATAAAATCATTTATTTTACTCCTACAATATAGATTCTGACACAGATAAAAATAACGCCCTCTCAAACCTTGCTCATGCAAGGATATTCCATAAATATATTTACGTTAACTTAATGCGTGCAATAACTCATTTATCTCGCTTCTTTTGAGCTCGTTTATTGCCACACCGTTGTAAAATATCTGTAATAGGTCCTTTATGTTGAAATATAGCAATAAGTTGCGTGCGTGCTTCAGTCATTCCTTCACTAATTAAGCTACTACGTTGCATATTCCCTTTAATTAATTCATTTACACGTTCCAGACCATCATCTTGTCTATTTTTGACATTTTGTTGTGATTCAAGCATGGTTAATGTTGTTTTCAATTTTTCATGAACCTATACAAAGTTTACAATATTACTCGATATTACTATATAAAATAATATAGAAACTTACTTGTTTCTCAAGATCAGCAATATCTTCCATTTGCGCAGTAAGATGATATACCTTCCAACCATTTAATTTTTGTAGTACATGTTTCTGTTGAGCTATTTCTGCAACTGTAGGTCGTCTTTCCTCACGAGGTCGAACTTCGCTTGGTCTTCTATAATGCTGAAGTCTACTACCCCATCTATTCTTCCAAGAGGGTCCTGTACAATTGAAAATAAATAATTTCATTTAACATAATGTTTTTAGTTATGTACTTCTTTCATGTACCTAATAGACTAGGCGTAGGCCGTGTTCGTATTGCAATTGTTGGTTGTTGTACAGGGGATTTAATAATATCGCACTGTGTGTTTGAAGTTTGTCTTTTCTCTGATAATTTTTCTTTCGATTCTTCTTTAAGTTCTTTTTTCATCCTTTCTTCTGTAATGAATTGCATTTCTTCTTCTGTACATCTTGATTCAGTTAATTCTACTCCAGTAAGTTGTTGTTTTCGAGGTTTTTTTCTCTGAGACATCTCTACTGTTGGGTTTATAGTAATCCTAGATTGTTCTGGTTCTTCATCAAGTCCAGGTGATGATGTTGCTGAAACTGTAGTAGACCCTGAACTTTGACAACCACCACCATCTTGATCTCCTCTTGGTGAACACGGTGGACTGGATGTAGTAACAGGAGGTAAAGATGCAAGTACAGGAACTAGATTTTTTGCCGCACCTAAAGATTCAAAACCTTTTTAACACCCTTTTTTTTATTATTAATATAGGAATATGAGGGAATAAACTAAAAATATTTTTTCAATTTTTTATTCAATTTGCACGTTTCATACCTTTAATCGGTGAATTATCATGATCCCTTTTTCTAAGTATACTTGGTCTTGGAGATGCATTTGTTTTAGTATGTGGTTCATCATATCCAGGTTCAACAAGTAACCTCACTGGCGTTTGACGATATTGAGTATACGTCCCTAAGTAATATTATTAAATAAAATTTATTTCGAAAAATATCAGCACCAATGATCAATAGAAATTACCTGTGGGTTCAAAGGAATAATAAGTAGCAGTATGTGAAGGATGCAAATATTGACTCTGAGCTGACTGAGCTGGAGTTGTATTTGAATTATTATTTGTATTATTGGCAGAAGAAACTCGAAATCCCGACTGTTGAGTGGACTTAATTTGTACAGTTTGTCCAATGTTTTGTGCCTGTACTGTTTTAGCAGGTGCTGATGTAACTCTTGCAGGTGCTAAAGGTAAAGGATGTAAAGACATGCCGGTAATTCTAGCAACAGTAGTTGATGTAGGCTGTGATATTCTTGTTGTATTTGATGTACTTGCTGTTGTAGCAATTACACGTGACACTGTGTTAAGACTTGACAAAGATGTTACTGTTTGAACAACACGTGGTATTGTTTGTGACTGTGGTTGTGATTGCTGTTGCTGTTGCTGCTGGTGCTGCTGCGGTTGTTGCTGCTGCTGCTGCTGCTGGTGTTGCTGCTGCTGCTGCTGTTGTTGCTGCTGCTGCTGCTGCTGCTGCTGCTGCTGCTGCTGCTGCTGCTGCTGCTGCTGCTGTTGTACCTATTATATGATCAATCCTGATCAATATTCAAAGCACTAATAAGATACCTTTTACATAATAATATGTATAATGAACTAACTTTGTACCTACTTGCTGAGAAGGGATTACAATTCTACTAACAGTTGATGGAGTAGCAACAGTGTTAATTGATAATTGTCTTCCAACTGTTGGTTGAACAGTTACTGAAGCTGAAGCAGTTACTCTATTTGCAGTTCCAGCTACAGGTGCTGATACAGCTATACGATTTACAATACCTGTGGTATTTAGTGGCCTGTTTGACTGATTAGGCTACGATTTGAATTCAAAATAAATATCTTATATATTTTACCAATATTATTTTGCAATTTTACTTGATTAATCAATCATAAACAGTAATGACTTACTTGAATAGTTTGAGTTGAAGATCTGCCTGGTTGTGTAGTTTGTGATATATTTGATACATGAGGGGCAGATGGTCTGCTTTGTGTAACTGGCAATCTTGTAATACTATTGTTTGCTTGAAGAACAGGTGCTATTAATCTGGACGGAGTACCAGGAACTCCAGTAACCATTGTAGCTTGTACAGGTCTTCCTTGTCCTGTAGGTGTAATTAGACGGGGCTGTTGATTGGTATACACTGTTGACGGTGGCCTTGAGATTCGACTAACTGGAGGTGCAGAATGCCTTTGTGGTTGTGCATATACCACTGATGTTGTTTTTGGTTGCCATTGAGGATTTGAAATTGCTGTATTTATTCTAAAGAATATAGAAGATTGGTAATAAACCTTTGTACCACAACTTCTATAATATACATATGGTTATTAACATAATACTTTATTAAATACATAAAATAAATTTTATTTCTCTATTTATTATTCCTACAGAAATATTTAAAAATAAACTTAATAAATAATAAGAAATACGATTTCTTACCCTGGTCTTGTGGTAGGTATAGTTTGTCCTGTATTTGCTCTAACAATTGGGGTAGCCACTGTTGACCTTGGAGCAGAAATATTAGCAACTGCAGCTGGTCCTCGAGGTACATGATAAGTTGCTGGCATATTTGTCACCTGTTGTGTTTGTTGCAATAATTGCTGAGCCTGTGGTTGACTTTGACGTTCCACTGTACTTAACATACCTGGAGAAATTATTCTTACTGTGGAGCCAACTGAACAAATCTATAAATATATAATCAATATTTATTATAATTTTTCATATGATAAAGGTAATTGAAATTTGAACAAACAATGCAATCTAATTCAATTATAAGAAACAAAACATTTAAATATTAACAAGAAATTTCCTTTACCGTTGTGGTTATTTTGTTTGTTTCTGAAGTTGAGGTGGTACCAGAGGGAACTGCAGATTTCATTACAGGTAATTTTGAATTTGTATCCATTGACATTGATTTACCTACGAGAGTAGTAGGTGCTCCAACTGATCCCACTAAGTTCTGCGTTGATTGAATATTTTGTATGTTACTCTGAACAACACTTTGCACATTTTGTATAGTTTGCATAGTAGTTAAATTTTGAGCTATGCTTTGTACAGTTGTCTCTGGTACATGTTTATCACCGCCACTCTCGATAGAACTTAATGTTGTGTTCATGTCTATATCTCTAAAAATTATCTTTTTCAACAAGATATATTATAATAATATATGTTAAAAAGGATACTTTACATAAAGATTTATTAATCTTTAGATTTTGTTTTATTTATTACGCTTTACTATAGTTACTTCTCACTTTTTTAACTTTATACAAGTTAAAAACTATTACATATAAATTAGTCAATACTGTAAAAAAATTCGAAACTTTTATATTATATTTAGTTTACCTAGTTTTATAATAACTTCATAGCTAGTCAGATAATAATAGTAAGCATAATAACAATGCTACAATAGGTATAACATTAACAAATTAAATATTTCATATTATAAAAAGCTATATACTTTCTTGTCTTTGAAACTGACAGTAATTAGTATTTTCTGGATATATATTGAAAAGTGTATGCATACCTTTATAAAAACATAACACGGTAAGATCATTACCGATTTATTTAAACGTACACATATGACATTTTTAAAATACTTCTGTTTCATTGATATTTTACTAGATAAAAAACATTTTACATTCTAAACAGCAGTTTTCTGGTCACTACAGCAGTTTATAGCGTCTAAATAAGCACGATTCAGTACAGGTAAATTGTTTTCATACAAATAAATGTTCTATGCTTTACCACGTTTTTCTTTTCATAGGAACATTTTATGTAGTCAAATAAGTTTAAATAGGAATAAATACATAATTATTAAAATTTAAATGAACGATAGAGTTAAGAATTTTTAACACTTTTATATATAGCAGAATAAAATGTATCGTAATACATTCGTTACTAGTACAACAAATAATATTTCACTAAAAAAATCGCTCATTAAAATAAAACTAGTGATTTTTGTTATAAGTGTAAAATTGGTTAAATTGCAATAACAATAAAATGGTAAAGTTGACTACTTAGTAAGGACATTTTTTCTGTTTCCTTTTCTTTCTCTCTCTTTTTTTTTTTATGTGAAAACAAATTTAAATACAAGCTCTTTTTATGTTGGTATTATATATTTTTAAAGAATTTTGATTTATACGTGTAAGCAATTTCTACCATATTTTTGTAACTGAATATGTGAGTGGTGAATGTAAATGTATAGTTACTTAAAGGATCAAAAATCATGACCATATAGGAATTTTTTTTATTTGAAATTTAAAATCATTATATACACAAGAATCCAGAATATATATTAAAAGATCAATTGAAAATTCCAAAATACATACCAAAATATATATCTTATTATAAAAAGACACCATTCATGATTTTATCTTTTATAACAAATCATAATTACCTTTTAAATGACAAAGTAATTTTTAATTTTAAAAAAGTGGTATATTTTACATTTTATAAATTACTGTTATATATAAAATAATCTATTGAAAAATAAGTAAATAATTATTATAATTTTCTTAAAAGAACTTTAGTTCATATTAAAGAATCTTTGATAATGGATTATAAAATTGTATATAATCATAAAACCCATAACGAAATATATAATTTCCTATTACTTCCTCAATTTTTGTAAATACATAAATTGTTACATATACATATATTTACCGATTTTTCTATTACATGTTTGTATAAAACATATTTGAAATTAACTGTATAAAAGTGTTCAATTACTGACATTATATATAATGATAATCTGCTATATTTATAAATCTTTTAAAATTCAATAACGCAGATCATTTACAAAATCTTATATAAGATCTTTCGTTGCGTGATTTCGATGCATCGAAGATCCCTTTTCTACTTACATGTAGGGCCTTACATGTAACATAGGAGGAGTAGGGAGACGCACCAATCCGGGCCCGTTTACTTTTATTCCCCTACCCGCAACTTCTGCAATTCCATTTTCAAACGCATCATTCCTCCACATTCTGTCTTGTGATTCCGTTGTTGGTTTAGATCATACGTTTTCTTGTTCGTCGAATTTTGTTTGGAGTATCTTTTTATTCACAATCTACGTTTCGTTAAGTTTAAATATCGTTGATCAAACAATAGAAAATGGATTTGTTCGGTGGCCTTGGATGAGTTTGAATTCGGTCCACGTTTTCTAATTTTATTCGTGACTAGATCCACACTCATCCAAGGAAATCGAGCTGATATTCAAAGACGAATTTCAAGATGCAATCGATTCATTGGATTTAAAGAAAATACCTTATTTAAGAAGTTCTGTGTTTTACCATAAACAGTGCATTAGAAAAAGAAAATAAACAAAAAAAAGAAAGAATCATTGAAATATTTATTGAATATGCATTCTTGTGAATACATACTTTTGTGTGACCGTAAGTAGTATATTAAAAGGACGAATTTCTTGTATTATATCGTTTTGTGTTGAAATAAATGCATGCATACCGATTTTGTATATTTTTAAATTATCTGTATGTATAAATCTTATATAAAATTGAGAAATATACGGATAATATTTAAATTCCAAACTGATGACTATAAGATTTCTTTCAATTTCTTTGTGTACGAACACCTGCTGTATTTCCCCTCCAGTGATCTCCCTCTTTTCATTGGTAGTAATAATCCCGCCGCCCTTAACCCGCCCCTCCTACTCAGTCTATCTTTGTCTAACTACTGTCTCATATTCCAATCATCCTTTCTGAGTAACGGTAAAAACTAGTCTTTAGCCCCTTCCTCCCTATACCTAAAGATTGTTTTTACTTTTAAGCAAAGAATTCGTAAATAGGATTGATATATTATAATGTTATAATTCATCTGTTTTTTCTTTTTCTTTTTAAATACACTTTATTCCCCCTTTTTCCAAATCTTGTTTGTTAATATTTCTATTAATACTTCATTTGTTCATACGTACTCGTTATAAATTAAAACAAAAGAAAAATGCTATCTAAGAAATACCTACAAATGATTAGACACACTTCATTGTATACTACGTGCAATATTATACTTGCAAATATATACTTTATGTAAATAAAGGTAACAGGTATTTACACAGAATCAATAAATACTTATAATTTTTTGTTTCCTTTCATAAATATGTAATATAAATCATATGTATACTGTAATAGATTATTTAAAAAAAATAATATTAATAAACGATAAGCGTTTATGCATGCATATGCTCTCTCTCTCTCTCACACACACACACGCGCGCGCGCGCGTGCATATATATATATATATATGTATGTATGTATGTATGTATGATGTATGCATGTACATTACTTATATTTACATTATTTTATTATTATAAAAATGATTCTTAGCTTACAGAAACTTAAAAAAATATGTAACTAGAACAAAAATTTGAAATTATGATAAAGTTTTGATAAATTACGAATTTTTATATACTACTTTTATATTATAAATAAAGGCAGATTGATATTGCATATTGTATAAGATAAATCTTTTTTCTTTTTGAAATATCTAAGATCTACATCAGGTATTTCGAGATTCTAAGCTTAACTGTGCTATACATGTATGCTCATCTTGATTTTCTTCTTCATAACATGTTTCAGGTGTTGAACGCATTTCTTCTATGGCCCGTTTAATTTGAATCTGTAATTGACTGGCAATATTTCGCACTGCCGTGTAATTCTGTTTTATTTGTTTCATACATGACAGCAAATTTTTCCATGGAGCAACACTTGTATGAGCAAGATAAAGTTCTTTCCATAACTGAATACTAATAGGTGCAACGCTGGGCCAAATAACTCCCGAGTTTGGTTCATACAAAGGGTTTAACCATTTCTCTAATATTTCCGGTTGATTTATATATGACCACAGACTACACGTTCGTTCAGATAATCGAAGATTATCTCTTTCTGCTTCTGAATCACCTAAAACAAAGTTTTATTATACACAAATATTTCAAATATTAAAATGAAATACTGAAATGAAAGCAATATTATTACGTGTAAATACCTAGAAATGTCCCATAATTAGAGCAATATGCATGATTGTATAATTCAATTAACAATTCTATTGTGTATTCAAAACTAAATTGGAATTGGTAATGAAGTTGGTACAGGCAATCAAGAAAAAGAAGGAAAGTTGGAGCATGTGTTGAGCTTTGTGAATTTGATGAATGATATGGTCCATGACGTGTGCGACTAAAAAATTGATGGCCAGCTTGTATCCATTCACGTTCAATTAAAGCCTGAAGGCCACGTACTGTTCTACAATCAGGATTTAATATTGCTTGTGCCAGGCTGGTTACCACTAAAGTAGAATCTCTACCAGCACTTCCTGTTCAAAGTATAACAAACATCCTTATTTAGTGATACTATAATTAATATAATTGTATTTGCTTATTACACACCATGAACTAACACAGCTGCAACTTCTTGATGAAGACATTGAGCAGTTACACAAGCAGCATTTAAAGCGCTTTGCACAGCAGATAACCATCCCCCATTATCGAGTCTTGAGATCCATTGAGAAGTAGAACACGTTATGTCATTACAAGCTTCTATTAATTTAAAAAAACTATCAGCTAAATCATGTGGTCGTGGAACAGCTTTGTGCACTTTCCGCCATTGTGGATAAGCAGCATCCATTTCTGTACCACCACCTTTAGCTCTGGAACTTTGAGCTTGACTGATGGACCTTGTATCTATTATATAACTGTTGGCAAATTTTGTGCTAATAATATCAGTTAGATTGAAGAAATATATATGTTTATTACTATTGTTAATTATAATAATTGATATATCAAGTCATGGTTTGAAATTTCTAAAATTAGTTGAAGTGCAAGTCTTAAAAAATATCATATTTACCCGCGTCTTCCTGGTCCTAACACTGCATTTAACAATCTTTCATCTTCTTTACATCTTTTACCATTAGTACCACACATTGGTTGACTGCTTCTTAATAAGATACTCTATAATATTATTTAGTCATTTATTAAATATGAATTATGTATATGTACCTGATTATACCTATTATTTTATTGTTTTTGTACAATATAATGTTACATACCCCTCCTTCATGTCTATAACATAAAATTGGAAATCTTCCACCATCTCTAAAATTGGCAGATGATATTATAATTTTATCTTCTATATGACATGGTACTATAACAGTAGAAGGGTAAGAATTGCAAATTTTGTAATCTTTATTTAAATAACTAATACGCCATTCATCTGCATAAGCAGTTAATAATCTGGACCACTCCGATATTGGAGTAAATGCAATCCATCCATTTTCTATTTGTACCATAGTATTATTAGTTATTTGTGGTCTATTAAAAAATGGATATTGTAAAGTTTGCTCTATAATAAATCACAAAGTAGTAATTAACACAAAAATGTATATATGTATAAATGTACAAATATACTTTAATAAAAATGAAGACAAAATTATATATTTCACCTTGTGATGTTAATTTTTCTATAGATAACACAACGTTTGTTAAATCATCTGTTGAATTAATATCCAATTGAAGAATACGAAAATCTTTACATTTTAATATGATGCTACCACCTGGACTTTGTGTATTCAATTTTTTTTCTATAAGATCAATATTTCGATACAGTAACTAAAAAACAGTGAAAGAGCATAAAATATAAATTCGGTAAATTAACTTATCAAATAACGGTTCTTAATACTAAAATAACTTTTTGATAAAATTATACCCAAAATTCTTGACCATCGCCTTGCCGCGAAGACCAAAGAAGATGGTGACTACTAATGCACAGTGTCCCATCTATGCTTTTGTTATTTCCACCATTTTTATCTATTAATGCAACATTATCGAGTTTCGGAATTAATATTAGGTCGCCAAGTTCCATTATACGTTTTAATCAAAGATTATTGGCGATTATTAAATCGAATATAATTTGTTTTGACAGCACTACATAACCTAATGTTTTTATCTATACAATCAACATTGACAAATTTTTATTCGATGAGTTATAATTGTAAACGTTGATTTAAATTTAGATCCATAAAGAAATATTTGAAGGTTTTATCAGGCTTTATAAAATATACCTATATTTTATGCGAGTACTTTAACATACATTTAAAAAATAAATCGTCGTCAATCGTTGCACTTCTGTTTACCTTTCTTATGCTTTATATCATGATTAGTAAACGTTTCTTTTCTTACATATATAGTGATAGACTTATTGTGTTTTACATTAAAACTCTCATAGAGGGAAGCACAGGATCATATATTCGTATAACCTATTGCGCAGTATAACCTAATATATAATGGAGTACTTTACGTTGTGATTTATTGTTTATTTGATGTATTTGTGCAGAAATATGGTGCGATTCAACATTAAACGATTTCGAAATGTTATTGGTTTATATTTTATTCGTCATATATATACTTGGCAGATGCTAAATACATTAGGAACACTTAAACATGTTTTAAGAAAATTAATATATTAACGATAAGCATCATATTTCAAAGGATATCTGTTTACTAATAAAAAAATTTGAAACTTTTAAAATTATGATGAAATAATACGCATAAAAGTGCATGAGATAAAAATGTTTAATATTCATTTTAAACATTTGTATGACATATAAAAAATATGCTTTCTTAATGAAATACGGAGACAGAATGTGGTCTCTATGAAATAAATTTTGTGTTGAAGACATATGCTTGTATATACATAATAACGTAATAAATAATAAATAAAATATGGAAGAAATATATGTCATTTATACATATTATAAAGCACAAATATTTAAACGCACATGTGTGTCGTGAAACTTACACATGACTATAGGTATGTAATAGATTAATGTATTATCGATTTGCAATACTAAGAATTTTAAAAAAATTGACAAACGCAGCTTATAATAGCTTGTAAATTTCAAACATCACGTGGTTTTTTATAGTTAACTACAAACATTACCGAGCGATGGAGACACTAGTGGTAAGAAGCCTGATACATTGGAGGGGGGAAAGAATGTTCATGCTTTTGATGCAATGTCGTGTTAGTAAGTGATATATTTCGTATATCCATGTTGTTTGGGATTTGCATTAAAAGTGATTTACTTGACCTGTTGGACACATTTAAAAAATTATAGAAATCATTGAAAATATTCTTATTAATTTTTATCCCCGGATTCATATATGAATTCGATAGATGGTAATTGTTTTGTCTATATTTATATTGTAGTAGTGGATATAATTTAAAACTCTTTATGTTCACCTTACTGTTATTATATGTCCTATCATATAATTGTTAATTAATATGCAGTGCAATAATATTATTGGACAGACATTAGTTACTTTTGCTTAATGTAAACTTTTTAATCAAAGTACTTCACATATTGATTATTACAATAAATGCAATAAAAATAAGTAAGCAAAATGATTTTGTTGATAATTTGTTAATTAAATGATGAAAGAATTATAAAAGTAACCTTATGTAGATAAACTATGACAAATATTTTTAGTAATAAAATTTATATTTGTCTAGTTCTTTCATTTTGTATCTTGAAATATTTTACTTTTTGTATAAAAGTTTTCAATGTTCCTATTAAATACATATACATACACATATATATATATATAATAAAGTTAAGTATGTATATATATACATACATATTTATCAATCATATATTGTACTTGGTTGATTAGTTAAAATATGGAAAGTTACTTGAAAATTCAATTTAAAAAAGGATTTTTGCTTTCGTTATATAAATAGTTCCTTGCATGTACAAAGATTTTCAATTGTCTTGTTTTCAATATTATGTTCAAGTAAACATATATTCAACTAAATGCATGCAATGAGTCAAAATGACATCGATAGAGGCGCAGAAGGGTTTTACAAGTTCTTCGCATCTGCAAAATCCAGCTATTTCTGAATCACAAAAGGAAAATTCACAATCAACAAATCTTCAAAAGGAACATAATACTATCGATAGTGTTAACAAGGAGAAAAATAAAATTGTCACTACAGATATAAAAGACAATGTTAAAGATGCATTTTATACTACAAATTGTGATCAAAAGAAACATGAAAATGAGGAGGATGTGATTATTTTAGAAAACAATAAGAAAGAAGTCAAATGTAATATAAATAAAATAGAGCATAGTCAGAATGCAGGGAAGTTGGATATAATTTCTTCTGTTTCTGAAAATGATTCTAAGATAAATAAAAATGAAAATGCAAAAGAAGCTACAGGTAGAAGTGCGAATAATCTAAAAAGAACACGACGAAATTTTGCGTAAGTTCTTTATGAATTACTTATAATTTTATATTTTTTCTATATAATCGTATTTATTAATATGAATAAGTTTAGATAAAAACTTGGTATAAGCTGATATACAAAAAGTTGAATTTCTAAAGTTTTTATCAGTATTAATAACACTTTATAAAGAAACTAACAAATTTCACTCATATTTTAGTACTCAAGAAGTAGATATACTCTTAGAGGAAAATAATTCGCGAAGTAAGCGAAAGAAAAAGAATACGAACGATAGATTTTGTTGGCGATGTCACAAGGAATCTGTAGAAGCACATTGTAGTGCTTGTCCTAGGTCATGGCATCGTAAATGTATAGGAATGCAACAAACAATGATTCAAAATTGGATATGTGGAGAATGTGCAGCTATTTTGCGAGCAGAAAATGCAGAAACACGTTCTACAGCTATGTCTCAGCTGTCTGTTGATCAATTATGTTTATTATTGAAGCATGTAGTCGAAAGAATGAGAGAATATCCTGGTGTATGTAGTAATTTCTTATTCATATTAATTTGTGTTGTATTATGCAAAATTAAATTTAAGTATTTTGATCATAGTCAGAACCATTTTGGAAACCAGTAGAGATTTCTGAAGCTCCAAATTATTCAGATTATGTGGTAAAACCAATGGATTTAAGTCTTTTAGAATCGAATGTTCGGGCTAAATTATACGGTAGTACAGACGCGTTCATGGCTGATGCTAAATGGATACAACATAACTGCATTGTATTTAACACATGTATGTGCAAGTAAAACCTTAATTATCATTGGACTAAATTGATTAAAAAAATAGTATTAACTGGTTCCATTTAATTAAATTACACAGGTGGTGGTGTATATACTGATACATCTAAATTAACGAATGCCGCAAAACAGATTATTAAATTGGCACGTCAAGAAGTATCTGAAATTGAAGCATGTCCTGACTGTTATGCCCATGGTAGGAACTTACCAAGACCACAACCAGCATGGTTTATTGAGCCCTGCCGTCGTCCTCATCCACTTGTATGGGCTAAATTAAAAGGCTTTCCATTTTGGCCTGCAAAAGCTATGCCTCGAATTAATTCTCAAGGTTTTATAGATGTGCGATTTTTTGGTGAACATGATCGAGCTTGGGTTTCACCACGAGATTTATATTTATATTCAGAGGATCCACCTGTTCCATTACCACGAAAAAGAAAATTAGATATGGAAGAGTGTGTTAGGGAAATTACTCGTCACTGTCGAAAGCTAGAGCTTGTATTTGGTCAATTTAAATTTGCGCCACCTAAAGTGCAATATAATCCGCATGACCCAATGCAAATAAAATTAATGTTACCAAATTATGATCCTCTAAATTCTAATAACTGCATATCACCACATCTCTTGGTTTCTAAAAAGGCACCATTTTTAAAAAAGCGGGTCCATGTTAAAATCAAGTCGCAAAGTGATTCGGAGAAAGCAGATAATTCTGATACTGAAAATAAGATGTTGAATGAATTTAATGCAGCTAACAAAGGGAGTAAAATTGAAAGCAAATCACTTAAAATAATACAAGATCCTAATAATATTCATTTAACCGAATCTGTCACGATTACAAGTAATAGTTTCAATGAATTAATGGGAAAAGATAGTAAAGATAATATCTCAGCAGAGAAAAGTGTACCAACAAAGTTGGAAGTGGTGATGAAAGAAGATATAAAGCCAAGCACAAGTAAAATTAATGCGAATGATGAAAGTGATAGAAATAATTTAATAAAACATGACACAAACGAAACAAATTTTATAATGTTGAAACAAAATAACAATTCTGAAAATATGGTAAACGATAATGTAAAGTCTTTAGAAAATTTATTAAAAGAGGAAGTAACTTCTTCAAAGAAACATATGATAAAAGATGTTCAAATGCCCAAAAAGGATTATCCCTTTAAAATGAATGTTAATAAAAGCGATCTTAGCCAAAATTTAAATTCACAAAAGAATAGTTTCAAAGGTAGTAAAAATATAGAGAAAGTTTATAAACCAAAGACTAGAATAGTCGATAAAATGAACGCCGAGAAAGCTTTAAAATCTACTACAACAGAACAAAGTCAAAAATCAAATACGACAAATTCGACAATCTCGGTTAAACAGCAAAATGATCCAACGACCTTGAAAGATGGATTTAAAAACTGTAATAGTAGTAATTCAACAACATCAGCAATGCCAATTAATAAAACATCAGATGATGCTGATACCAACGGTGACATTGATACTCATAGAAAAAATGCTACAGATCAATCTGTCGCGCTCCTTTATGTTGTAGGTGATGGTACATCTGATACCATGAAAAAATCTATTGATAATTCAATTGTTGAGAAAGAGAAAAAGAGTGATGTTTCAGTTCAAGTTCAACAAACTTTGAAAGATTTATCACAAACATCATACCAACAAACAAAAGAAAGTAAAGCTAGGAAATCATTTCCTAATAAAGCACGTAATTGTCCACAGCTTATCCCACGCTCGTCTACAACCGCGCTATCAAATACAATTGATTCTATGGGTTATATGCCTACTCATGTTGAAAATTGTGTAGAATACCAAATGCTACCGCCAGAAGCAGGGCCTATTAGTGCCCGTTTGTATCATGGTGCTCAAGATTTAGCTAGAAAAATGGCTAAATTAATGGAAGAAGCATACAAAGAAGCAGCACAAGAGAGTCAAAATTTTGAAAAACGTACTATGTCCGAAAATCATCAAGCAACAGTTCATTTCTTAAGATTACAAATAGAACGTATGAGGTGGCAGCATCAGCAACAATTAGCAGAGTTGAAACACAACACTGGTACGTTTTCACATTTTATATTATCTTATCTTATATTTTATTGTAGTTACTTATAAATTAAGAGAATTGCATATACACTTTGTAAATATTTTTTATTTTAGATAGAATATTACGAGAAATGAAAGCAAGTTTAGAAGCTGAACGATTGCGTGCTATTGAAGAAACTCGTAAAGAAGCCGAAGAAGAGAAGCTACGGTGTATCGAAGAAATCAAACGTAAACAATGGTGTGCAATGTGTGGTAGAGAAGCATTATTTTATTGCTGTTGGAATACTGCGTATTGTGATTATCCTTGTCAACAATCACATTGGCCAATGCATATGAGAACATGTGCTCAAAAACCTTCATTCACTACTATTGTTACCAGTTCTACAACAAATTCGAATCAACAGCAGGTGATGCCCAGACTTATGATAAATACACAGCATGTGACATCAAATATGTGGAGGGCCTAGAGCACATTGGTGTAAGTCCCTGAAATCGAAACCAGGAGTTTAATAAATTATAAATACTTATTCTCTAAGCTCTAACAATATCGTTGTATTTTTTATTCCATGGCTCTTCGCGGTTTGTATTTATATGTAAGTGTTATTGTTACAACGTTAAAACAAAATAGTACTTTATACATAAACTTTTTGTAATGTAAAAATGCAAATAACATAAAATAAAGGACGTGTATTCAAGGAGTAATGCTTGCTCCGATAATTATTTTATATAAAAACAACCAATTTTACTTTTACATGTACTATTTAAAAATGATCTCATATGTATTTGTTGGGTGTTTTATATTTTAGTTAACATAGAAATTTATATTAAAATTCGAGGATACATAATGAATATTTCAACTTACACTAAATATGTCTTTGGTCCCTTCATATCTTCACTATTTTCGTTCCATTAATAATTTTGATAATCAAATAATGGAAAAATTTTTAATTGTGTAATTATGAATTATCTTTGTTTTCGACTTTACACGACACTCCAACAAATTTCTATGTTTTTCAGAATCATAATATCAAAGCAATCAGCCCTACTAATAGGACATACGAATTATCTCATGATAAACTGAACAAGATATCGGCACCTCTATCCTTGTGTTGTTCTGAAACTGAAGGTAGTGGAAATTCATCATAGTGTATGTATACTTTTTTTAGAAATTTCCTGATAAAAGAAAAATGAAGAAAGATTATTTAATTCAATACATTATATTTCTAGAGTGGTAAGAAGCGGGAGGGGGGATTAAAAGTAAAAGAAAAAAGAAAGAAAAAAAGAAGGTGAAACGAAGTAAATAATATTTATATTTCATTTTGCACACATATGAAGGATTATAGATATTTGTTCATTATAAAAAATCAAAATAAATGAAAATGTTATATGGTATAAATAATTTTATATATTATAAATTGAAATATCCATTTATGAAAACCACGATCAAGTTACATATAATCATGTATTACATTCTAAGTTTTTGGGGTAAACACGCGACTGTTCTGTACTATTTTTCTTCCAAAAGATACTCTTACCTTCTTCACTTAACGATCAGATTATCTAGTAGCAGTATTCTTATTTTTTAAAACAACATAATAATGTACAATTTATCATTTGTAAACTTTTGTTTATATATCTTTTAAAAAGTCAGCTCTACGAACCCAGTATGTACATGATTTTGATTCACTAGTTACTCATCTTCAAACATTTAGCTTCTCACTGCTATCTCTCTGATTATATGCACTCCAGATCCCTGTCATGAATCGTATAGAAACAAGATAGTATTAGGCTAATTATTTTTGACAATTCTTAAATATACTAACATATAATATGTTGTAGTAATATAGTTAATTGCTACTAACATATAACATGTATATACCACTCTTAGAGCGTTAATTTATAAACTGTGTATAAATAAATATTCTACTAAATTTTATATAGCTACTACTATACTGAATGTAATCTTTGATTAGTTATTTGAATATATTTTCCTTAATACAATCTGTAAATTATAGTAAAATGGTGTCATTCTTAAATCTATATTGTTTTAAAAAGTACATGGCATAATTATAAAATTACGTTAAATCATCATTACAGCGCATAAAATCAGCGATAGAGTATACTAAGCGATAGAATGTACGCGTTCAATAATATCCAAATGTATGGATATATGTTTTATATAAAGCAAGTATATAAAGAGATTGAACAATGTTGAATGTAATATTGATTTAAAACTAATCGTGTCAAGATATTTTTTTATATTGTTATTACGGATATCATCCCATGAAAAGTTAATATTGTCCTAAATATTCAATTGCTTTTCAACTACAATTAGTTGAAAATTTTTTCCCTTTTATTACTTGAAAGTATAAACTTCGAAACAATCTTAATTACCATAGCCTCTCAGTCAGTACTGTTGGTCAGTGCGTTGATTCATGATTACTCTATATTTCTGTATGAACTATACGTTCATACGTATAAGTATATGGATCGTAAACAATATAGCGGATATATTTTTAAGATCAATTTGTTACTTTCTCATTCGGAATTTAAATATGTATAAGGAAAATACTAATTATTCATTATTAGTTATAAATTTATAGTCACTTGTTTTTCACAGAGGTTATTTTATTTCCTTGCTGTAGCTACATATTTATTTAGCTTTTTTACTCTTAATTTTTCTCATATAAAATTCAAGTTCTTTTCCTTCAAGTATGTAACCATCCGCTCGACCGCATTGCCCAGGCCTACTTGATATACAGGCTGAAATCAAAATTTATGTTTATAAATAACTGGGAATGTATTAGAGAAGAAAATTATGTTCAAAATAATTTGTTTTCCTTATTTGTATAATATCATTATGAGTTAGTATTTTGATTAGTTGAATCCTTTCGTTACTATCTACAATCTGACTGTCTAACGTCACCTAAATGTTTGACGTTCACTTCATATCAACCGTAACTATAATTATTCAACCTCTGACGCTCACGTTTTCTAAAAGTGGTTTTAGATACGCGTAAAAATTTCTTATTGACTCATAAGTTTGGTAAGGCAGAGTACATCCAGAGTTGCGATTTTCCCATACCATGGTAGTGTATTTGTGAACAAGATTGTTGTACTAAACGAATTAATACTACAGAGTAATATATTGCATAAATATTGCAAGAGTCTTAACATCACATCACAACACAATGTATGAAAATTTAAACTAACAATCCTATGAATAAAATTGTAATACATAAATAAATAACGAATTAAGATAATATGCTAATTTATATATTGTAAGTAATGTTTTGTTTGTTAACATCTTACTTACCAAGAACTCGTCCTGTAGCAAACTGCTCTTCTAAAGCAGGCTCAACTTTAGCAAATCGTTGCCTTGCTCTGTACTTAGCTTCTGTCTTTTTTGAACGTTTTTTATTTAAAACTTCTTCTTCTGCTTCAGTCTACATACACACAAGTATTTGTAAAAATTTTTTGTTAGAACATTCTATTATTAGTGATATTAAAAAGTGAAATATTGAATCACTAACCAATTTAGCCCCTCGTTTACGACCCAATGGTAGAACATAATGGCTTTCATACCATTGTCTAAGAGGTGTTGCATCAATGGTAACAATTGCATTCTTTACAAGAGTTTTAGTTCTGACCAATTCATTGTTTGATGCATTATAAACTACATCGATAATACGTGTTTTTCTTGTTGTACATTCAGAACCCCATGAAAAATTTCCTGTATCCAAACGAAGAGCTCTGTATTTCTTGTTACCACCCCTTGTACGTACCTAATTTACATAAAAATATAGAAAATCCATGAAGAATATTATTTTGTAACAAATAAATAATATATAATGTATAATTTCATTCAGTACGCTGTGAGATATAAGTCAACACAATATTCAGAGTAGGTAAAGATAGTCATCATTTTATGTCTAAATTATGTTACATTGTTTTCATGAAAAAGTAAGTTTATATACTTTTATACAGGAATAATTAATTTTGAAAATAAAATTTTAAAAGAAATTTAAATAGAATAAAACACAATAAATAATTAATATATATATTTCACTTTGTTTATGGTTATAATTGTTTGTAATAATAATAATGATAATGCTACTGAAAGCAGCAACAACAACAACAACAACAATAACAATAATAATAATAAGCAAAGAATACAATTTTAATATGGAAGGTTCTTAAATAATACCGTATGAATACGTTGAGTTCCAAGTTTTGTATTTGCAGCTGGACGTCCTAATTCAAATTTTCTCTTCTTACGAATTGGTTTTCTTTTACCACCAGTTGCTCGCCTCTTATGCCAATGATCGCGAGAAATACCTGTGATAGATACATATTTTCTGTGATAGATTCATATATTAGAAAATATAAAAGGGACACTCGTGTAAAATGACTTATTATTGATATACTCTTACATACCAATGATAATGTATAAAATGAAAAATGATAAATATGTATACATATATGTATACAAAATGTAATATATAACGTGAATTTATATACTTGTAATAAATCAATACATATAATATAACGAAATATATATATATATATATATATATATATATATATATGAATTTTAAATCAATAAAAGAGCATAAATCATATCAATACAAAGTATACATAATCTAAATGAAAATAAAACAGATCATAAGGAAAAGTTTGTCGATAAAAAATTCTAAAGTCACTGATATATTACAGATCTTTTGCAGCTTTGAAGATATACTTATGAAAATAATATATGTCAGCATAAAATAGATTAGTATTTTTATAAATTACTAATAGTTATTCAATGGCAATTTTTATTCTAAAAATATTGATTCAAAGAGATGAAAACAAAAGTCATATTAAATGGAATAACTCACCCATCGTGCTTCGGTCAAAAAGAACCTTAAACCTTTCTGATATTAGTAGGTCTTCTACTTACTTCCGGTGTAGTCCAGAGGCAAAGGTGCCCTCTAGGAATAACTAAGTAAAGTGTATAATAGTAGCAAGGAAGAAAAATAAAAATTACACACACACACGTATCCATATATATTCTCTTTCTCTTTATTTCCTTATGTATAGAGAAAGGGAACAAAAATTAGTATTATTTCTTTGACTATTGCAATATTTTTAATTGCACTATTTTTCCAAATTGGAGATCATATTATCTTATATTTATGCATAATTTTATTCATATTAAGATGAGTTACATAGAAATTATCACTATGATTACTTTATAGTTATGTGTACAAATATTCTTAATTTAATTTTATTTGTGATTAAAAATAATTAAAATAATATAGTGATGGTGTCATGATATGGTTGCTAGTCGCACATTGTTTATGTTTGTCTTCTTAGCGATCATCGCGTAAAATTCAATATGGTGTCCGTCGTGTGAAGAGTTACGTTGGAGTTCTGTATTTTACAATAATATTAATAGTAAAAATGATTGTTTAATTCATTGTAATTATGAAAATTCGATTGAAAAGTTGGTATGACATTTAAAAGTTCTAATGCTACAACGGTACATTGTAGAAATAGGATTATTCTATAAAGATTGTCATCTTGAAAATTCTTTATTCAAGTTGTATCTTAAGGAAAGAAATTCAGATATTTAGAAAATAGAAACGTTGGAAGAATAAAAGATGGATAAAGTGGAAACAGAGAATGTTATGGATGAAAATGAATCAGAAGGTGAACAAAGTAGCATTGAAGAAAAGAATGAAAACACCCTGACAGATATTGCTAATTTAGATATCACATCTCGACTTAGTCTGAAAACAACTGAAATATATGGAGAGTCACATAGAAATGGTGTATCCCAAGTTAATGGAATTTGTAATTCTCCTGAAAGAATTACCAGTATCGGTAATAATCTTCCACAATCTGAACCTATGGAAACTAGTCATTTAAATCAACATGGTATAAGAAATTAATCTTTAAATACTTTCCCACAACTTGTGCATATTTTAAGTTAAAACATCTTAATAATCAAGTATATCTCATGAATTCTTTTTATGTTGAATATTCTTTGTATATATTTAGGTACACTCGAAGGTACATTATCATTGGAAACTAGGGAAAATAATATTCGATATGTTAGCTATACGAGTGAATTACAAATGCCCAATATTATGAAATTAATTCAAAAGGACCTAAGTGAACCATATTCTATTTACACATATAGATATTTCATTTATAATTGGCCAAAATTATGTTTCCTGGTATGTACATTTATAAATTTACTTGTTACATTCAAACAATGCTAGTAGGAATATCTATTTAACAATGTTATGTATTTTTTTATGATTCTGTCTAAAAAAGAGTCAACGCTATATTAAAATTTGTATTAGAAAATATTAAGAAGTAGAAAGAATTGTTAGCCAACTTTGGTCGGATTCCTTTGTCTTGCAGGTGTAAAATTTACAGAAAACTATTGTTTTTTGTTCATCAAGGCGATGCATGGTGACGAGTGTGTTGGTGCCATTGTCTGCAAGTTGGACATCCACAGAAAAGTCGTAAAACGTGGATACATTGCGATGTTAGCTGTTAATGTGAAATATCGAAAACAAAAGATCGGATCGAATCTGGTAAGAATAGCGATTCAAGCTATGGTGGAAGATGATGCAGGTGAAGTAGTTTTAGAAACAGAAATTACCAATCGACCGGCGCTACGTTTATACGAAAATCTTGGTTTTGTGCGCGATAAACGATTATTTCGATATTATTTAAACGGTGTAGACGCTCTCCGATTGAAACTATGGCTTAGATGAAATTCATCTGTATTATTATATCCCAATAAAGACCTAATTAATTTTAATACATTGAAGAGATATTCAAGTAATGTTCAGTAATGTCGAGAAATATGTAACGTTAATGCCAAGGAGATAAAAATATTGTATGCGCACAAAAACATTTGTACCTGGAAGAAAAATAATGTATTGGATTGTATGGCGCATGCGATTTAACTTTATATTTAATTACAAATGTCTTGTTAGTTTATATTTATCACATTATTGTATTATGCAAGTATGTATTACTAGTACGAAAATATAATAGAACGAATCAATTGATATGTAACGAATGATTTTATGTGTATTGTTGATTATTGATATACATAGTTGATTATCGGGATGTACTCTTTGGTGTTAACGTTCGTTGGAATAGTATACAATTACAGCTTAAAAATGTAACAGTGAAAAAAGATTACAAAGATGAAAAAATGAAAAGATGAGAAATATAAGGAGTTTTGAAAGTAATCAATATGTTCTCTTGTGCCTCTTACACGCTACTCGTGTACGAAATCTGATACAACGTGCTAGTAAAGTAATTTGTGAGTTTATAATGAAATCGCTCAGATGAATTTTTGGAATTGACTCATTTATAAATGAGTTTAATGTAAATCTTGAAATTTTAGTCTAAATAATAGCTAATAATAGCTAAAGTGTGAACTGAACAATCGTGTAGTTTATTTATTCTAATGACATTATTTTTAAATATTCACACATCTCACAATTATTTTTGTCGTATCAGATATTGTATCATTTTACCATATAGGTAATAATTTAGCGCATACGATAAAACGTAACGTTGTGAAAAATGAATGTCAGTACATTATGAAAATATATTCAACTAAACATTTTGAAAAACAGTTAAAAATAACGCGTGCATAGCGTAGAGCATACATTATATATGCTCGTATATACAGTGGCTCATAATGGAAATCACTCATAACGTCTAACTGTATATTACTGTATATAAAACACTAAATATCAGAACATATTTGTTGTGAATATAAAAGTATTTATAAAAGTATTATGATTTAATTAATACGCAATATAATCTGAAAGCATAAAGCTTTGCCGAATAATAAGTGAACACAGCATTGTAAATACATACATATATATGTATGTGTAGAAGAATGAAATTTATTCAGTTTAATTTGATTGATATTTTAACAGCGCTTTTTTCAAATGTATTATAAATATATGTAATTAATGGAGAATTCTTAATTTTTAAAGTAATACAGATGCAGAACGAATAACTAATTTGTGTGTGTGTGTGCGTGCGTGCGTGTGTGTGTGTGTGTGTGTGTGTGTGTGTGTGTATCTTTACGTATTGTGATACGATTCCTATTTGTAATTTGTGCAATTTCATTTTATGATTTATTTTGATCTTAATGAAAAAATTTACTGCGATTTTCTTCTTTTTTTTTTTGAAATTTTAGTTTTATAAAAGTGTTCGGAATATACAAATCAATGAAATAATATAACGAAATTTTGCCAACTGAAAAAGAATTAAATTTCGATACTTTAATTTTGAGGAAATCTGAAATATTTTTAATAGCTGTTATTAGACATGCTTATGGCTTATTATTATTATCTTTTCTTTTTCCTTTACCCAAACAAATCATAATACAGATTGAATATCATCACGTTCATTATAAAGATACTATGTTTATAAAAATAAAGGTGATGAATGATTTTCATGGCGAGTCATTACATATAACATAACACGAATGCAGAGAAGAAAGGGTAAAACTGCAATTTGCCAAATGAAAATATTCCGAAGAAAGTATATTTTACGCGTTTAATACGAAACAACATTTATTGCTATCTCCTTTTCGCGTTTGCAGCTTTGTATAAAATAAATACGAGGCACAGATCATAATATAATTATTAAAATAAGTGTAAAAATGTTAATAAACGTACTTAAACGTTTTTACAAATGGCTATTATTATTTTCTGCAAAATAATTTTATAAAGAAGCATCTTCAACGTACATACGATTGAAAGAGAAAAGGGAAAGTAACAGAACGTCAAAAGAGAAATAGAAAAAGGGTGAGGAAAAGAACAGAGAGGGAGGGGGATATCATTTTTTTTTTAAGAGGAATCATCTTTTTACATTTTGTTTCTTTAAATGAGCGTCAAACTTTATAGTGTAAAATAATGTGTAAATAAAGTGTACAATGATTCACAAAATGGTATTTAGTTACTTATCACTATAAAAAGATTTATAAGTAGTAGAGAGAAAATTGTAGAGAAAGAAGTGCTAAAAATTATACAAGTTACTTTCAAGAATCAATAAAATAAGAGTACTAACGTTTGACAATTAAGTTTAATATGTCATATATATAACAGGTTGAAGGAAGAAAATAATAGAAGGATAAAAAGTGATGCTAACTCTGATTTTGGAGTTTTCAGTGAAAATTGCGTTTCCGATAAGAAGTTTTTCCGCTGAAAATAAGCATTTATCATACATATATAAACCGCCGATTGTGTAATAAACATCGAATATGTCACCTTAAGAAACCTTTATATATCTTGCATAATATAATGTTTATATAACGTAAGAAGTTTATTTTTATTCTGTGTCTTTTTCATCTAAAACGAACATGTTAAAAGAATACACGGAAAAGTATAATAGTATCTAAGAGAAAGCATGAATTTCCATTGATAATTGGCGGAAGACGTATATCATGGAAACAGAATAAATATATTTTTCGTTTCTAATCAATTGGAAAAGGAAAAAGAAGAAAGTATATTTGCACCATCATGACTGCATCTTTTAAATTAGGTATATATTTCACAAAATTCCGTTGAACGTTCAAAATATTTGTCAATAATAAATAAATTTAGTGAAAATTATGTAAAAAAGTTACTACGGGATAATAACAAAATTTACATATGTAAGTTGCAGCATGCAACCTAAAAAATGTTGACTTGTTTATAATTTTATGATCTGTGCCTACTCGTATCTATTTAGATAGTTGCATGCGGTAGTTATATTCGGTACGTGTGATAAATTTGAAATTCAGCCAAGTGTTGATTCTATATCTATGAGTTTGAGCTGTATTCTGTAAGTTTATAGATTAACGGAGAAAAATTGCAACTCATTTAATTTACGTTTAGATAGTTGAAATGTAATTGATACGAATGTCATCCCTCCTTTTTACCGTGTTCTTCATTTATGATTTTAGAAATGAAAAATACCTTTTAACGTGAACAAAAGTATAATATACTTAATACGGTAAATAAACATATAAGAACACAAGAACACATATAACAGAAGAATTCAAGTCTATGATTAGTGTTTAATTAGTGATTAATGTGATGCTCATAAAGCGAAAATTACCGATACCTCAGGCAAATCGATCGTTTTACTCGCTTTATTCTATGTACGTATGGAAACATATTTTTCATTAATATCGAGAAGAACATTTGGTTTTCGAATTATAAAACTTCATCGATTTAACAACAAGCTTTCTGATTCATAGTTGGAATAGGCAATTATAAATCATATATCGTTGTAAAAGGTTTATATTTCGAGATTGATATCAAATAATTACCTACCAGTTATTTGATATCACGTATAATTAAAAGACGACACTTAGGTAAGTACATTATCTATTTACATAAATACTTTGACAAATAAAATAGATATTTTGCTCTTCTAGTTTGTGAAAAGAATTAATTCATTATACCTTTATGTTTTGATATAATTAACTGACGATCTTCGGAATAAAAGTATTTATAATAACGGCTATATAATAATAAGGACGCTGTTAGTCTCTGAAATGATCGTATCGCCTTCCTTGTATGACTCTACCTTAAATTTCACTGCGAGTTATACTACTTACAAGTATAATTGAAATTTTGATTTCGCTTAGCAAGCAATTATGATAAGGCATAAAATGAAAATTTCTATTCGAGAATAGAAATGTAGATTGGGTTTGACATCGTGGTTTAGTGAGTCTTTGAAAATTAGCTTTGAATAAATGTTTTACTAAATATATATACATTTATTTTCATATAGAAAGTTCTTTTAGCGTTTTCTAGTGGTTTAAACAATTCTGTGAATGGTAATATGAATAGTAACTATATAATTACCGATAAAATGTTACAATTGCTTTACTTGAACATAGTTACTGATAAATTAATTGTCGATTGTTATGGGAGATTGAACGTTTTATCGTGATAGAATAGTGATATTTCGTAACCATGAATATAGTTTGTACGTACCGTAACATAAGGTAGATTTACATTCGTATAAAATGTCGAAAAAATATTTGTCTGCTTCTTTTTAAACTTCATCGCTACGTGCATGCATGGACGTACGCATACGCTTATCTATATACCGCATGTGTATATGTATGTACATATTAAAGGTATGAGATTCATACTATGAGTATGCGCGTTGTATCTCGACGAGCATCGTTTTTCACACGGTATGCTCTCAGATTACCGCAATCATTCCATAGGATAATGAGATGTTATTGCGGAATTGAAATTGGATACGAGCGAAAGGGGAGAGCTCGTTCTCGAGGATGGTCGATCGAAATGGCGGTGTTATCAGTTTTTATCAGCGAACATACCCTTAAAATGTGTCTGCTTATCTAGGATATTCTATCGAGCAAGTTTTCGAGTAAAATTTCAAATCGCGCATACATAAAGACAAGGATAAATTAAACCGAATGAACCGACGTATGTATACATATATAATCGACTTGGTAATGCTGTGACGTTGTATAAGTACGTGTTTCAAATTTTATTTGTTATCGGGATTAGTATGATATTTAACGGCGGATTTTTCCATCAATATATATCACTGTCTCCTACTTTCTACACGACCATCAAAACTTAATATTTCGAAACGATAACGATGAGGTTGAGCAAATTCCTTTTTTTATTCTTCCCTTTGAATAATAAATTCAAATTGATGATATTCTGGATACGTTATACATATTATATTATAATCGTGTAGAGCATTATATAATTGCCTACGTTTTAATTTGCGTATATAGTAATTAATATAAAATCTATTATGGATAACACGTGGTAGTTTCCAGCTTCCAGGGAACAATTCTGTACCGTTTCTGTAACATTTCATAATATACATACATAAATATAAAGAAGAAAAAGCGGTAATTATTTAAAGAAGGAGGATCTTACCGATTTCGATGACTTTTAAACATGTAAAAATCAACATTTTGAATAACTTTTTCCTATACATATAACCGCCGCTCAGCCTTAGTTTCCGAGATGTTTCCTTGATAAGATTGCTATTTCTACATTGAATTCTGTCTATATGTGCGCATCTGTGACTCTGTATACGTCAGTCCATATAGCCTGTATACATTCTTATCTCTTTCTACAAAAAACGACATGGCGACCAATGATAAATAATGTATATAATGTGTCAAGAAAATTAAAACAGGAGATGAATGCGTGGCCAACCGTTCGGATTAAGGTTTATCATTCTTGTCGCCATGAGGTGGTTGGCTAGTTAAATCGATTTTTTAAATACACCCGTTATACGCGTCCATTGCCGGCCGTTTTGATGTGTTTATAGAAATCATAAACAATTGGCGACTCAACGCTTATACACACGCTGCAAAAATTTCGGAAATTGAGGCCGAGCAGCGGTTACGTACATGTATGTGCATAGGAAAAAGTTGTTCAAAATGTTGATTTCTATAATATACATATGTATATATTTAAAAATTATCAAAATCAGTAAGATCCTCTTTTTCTAAATAATTACCGAGAAAATACTTGTTTTGTCGTCTCCATCTTTTCATTCTAATATTTTCCTTTACTCTTTTACAACGTGGAGAGTGTTTCTCATGCGTATTGTCGATGAAAATTTGGTTAACGGTAACGATAACGGCATAATTGGTACAATATAATAAATTATATAGATAAATAATAAAGCAGTGATAAAACGAGAGATAATAGTAGATAGAAGATAAAAAGATGAAAAAGAAGACAACCGCGCGCGCGCGCGTGTGTGTGTGTGATATGATACACATAATAATCGAAAGGAAAAAGATTGGGGCGAGAGAGAGAGAGAGAGAGAGAGAGAGAGAGAGAGAGAGAGAGAGAGAGAGAGAGAGAAAGAGAAAGAAGCCTTATCGATAGAAAAATATGTATACAACGTATCAGGATAGAGTCTGATACGGAAATATAAGGACACTAACAGTAAAATTAGCGACGATAAAGTGCAAACGACGATAACAGTGGAAGAATGACTGTCCTGAATCCCGAAGCAACACGAGAAAGGAAGTAACACGACAATCTTGAAAATAAGTTGAAAATGTATGTATGTCGTAGCAAATGTGCTATGTACATATGTATATGAATCCAATGATGCCGTAGAGCAAGTATATACACAAGTATGCATATACAATATACTCCGTCAGCTGTAACAGCTTCTTCGATTTATTTCTCCCGTGGTATAATAACGTACAATCGTGTTACTCTTCGTTTCATCATCTTTCTCCTTTGTATTTTATTACTACCTTTGTTTGTATAACAATTTCTATTTCTCCATCTATGCTAACTTTCGCGGTATCTTTATTTCTGTTTAATTATTAATTTTTATTAAACAAAATATCGATCGTTAACGAACATTTTGCAACTTTTTCCAACAAGTTAAAGTATGCTGTGTGATGGTGCGATTCATAGATAAAGCATACATTTCAATCACACTCTGGTCATTTTCTTTCTTCTTTTCTTTTTTGTTTTTTTCTTTTTCTCTCCTTTTTCTTTTCTTGTCAGTTTCGAGAAAAGGAAAAATACATATGCACGTACTACGGAAGAAAAAGGACTATGCTGTATGAATTAACAATTTTGTAGGGTTTTTGCGTATAAAAGTATTAAAGGAAAACTAAACGTGCATTGTTTCATGTTTGAAACGACACTTTCAATTTCTGTTAAATCGCGTTCTCTTTTACTCTTTGTCCTATATGTATTTGTATATACTTATATACCTATTTTTTTTCGCATTCATAATTTCCTGTAAAATCATACTGAGATCGAAAGTACAATGCATTACGTATCGCGTTACCTCGATACACGATGAATAATGATTCGATCACATGCAGTATAATTAAAACGATATTCTTGATAACAATAGACAACAGATAATAACAATAAAAGCAGATAATACTAAATACCAGTAAATAGGAAAAAAACATTCATTGGAGTTGATGCATTATTAGCAAAGGAAACCTTCTCTGAATTTCGACATTATTCAACGACTACACCCGTCTATGAACATTTTTCTTAGTTTCGATCACTTTGTTTGAAACACGTTCAATTTATCACGAAGGGAAAAGAATGAAGAAGGGACAGTGAGAAAAGAATAGGAGAAAATAGGAGGAGAATAACGAATAAATATACGTGTTCTCGGCACGGCTAGATCGTTGACCAATCGTACGTGTCATTATTCAACGTTTATTTGGCTTTTGAAGAAACAATAAGGGTTTGAATGATCCCGTTAGCGATCAATTGTAAACGGTATTTATCAATCTTTATTTTCGATTCCGTTTCGTATCCTTTTATACCCTTTATAAATTTCGCGTATAAATTTCAAGCATTAAACATAGAATTGAGAAGATCGAACAGTTTATTAAGAACAATAATAATTAGTAATTTCAATCCCTTTTTGTTCGTTTGTCTAAGCTTCGATGTTCCACGATTCGCAAACAAGTATATACTTAATACTCGGAGAGATTTATTACATATATCGTACTTGTGTACTAAATATGCATATAAAGATATGTACTTACAATAATCGATTCGGTATCAAATCTCAGAGGATCAGAGAACTTTCGCTTCTTCGAAATTTCTTGACGTGTTACCAGTGGTTAGTTCGAGGACGATCAATTCGTAATCTTCTGTATTGGAAATTTTTATTCGCGTTTCATTTGGTAACAAAGATTCCTGGAGAGTGTTATTCCCATTATATTTTTTATTATTCTGACATCCTTGGGTAGTTCTCGAAGTGTGGCTACTGGACGTTTTTGGAAAACATGGAAGCACCTTCAAAAGAATTCATACAGGTGAGAGTTGCGATGGTATTAGTCATGACGTTTTGCTCATATTGATAAAGATAAATCAATAAAGCTATATTATGTACGTCACGACATACATATTTCCATACATTTTTCATTTCATCATTTATATATTTAATTTTTACTTGTTGGTTCATACACGTATTATATACGAATTTGCAATTTACGCATACCTATTTTGATCTGGTCAAAATGAAAAACATCAAACATAAGTACGTATAACTTGAAACAGCTTACTCCGATGCTCGGCCGTTCGAGAGAATGTCATCGGCATATACTAAAAAGTTAGCAACGTTCGATAAAACTTGTACATTGCGATGTAAATAGGAGAACTTTCTCTTAGAAGCTTTCTTCTCACTTAGAATCACGGTAAAAGGAATTTCACGTGGAACGGAAGTTTTCCACGAACAATTATCGCATATTCTCAGTCTTGGACTGTTTTAGACTCTCGCGACTTTCTTTTGCGTGCAAACGAAACGAGAAAGCTTTTGCTTGGAAAAATTAAATTAACCATTTATGGTATATTCTTGTATATAACGCGTACGATGCATATAATATGTACGATTTAATCATATCGATCATTAGCAAGTGATCGGAAAATATTTACGTAAAATAGCATATTTCGTTATATCTTGCTGTTTCTCTGTGATTGTAAAACAAAAAAGGAAGATAAAGGTGAAAAGAAAGGAAACAAGATGAATGAAGCAGGTAAAACGAAAGATAAAAGTATAAAAAATTCGTACTTGCTTAAATTCTTTGCGAAAGTTATCGTTGAGCCAGGCGTAAAGGAAAGGATTGTAGCAAGTGCTACTCATAGCGAGGCAGTGCGTCATGAAAAAGCAGAGCCTATAATAAGTCCAGTCGTTGGCCGGCGAATAAAAATCGTCGATAACATTGACGATGTTGAGCGGTAACCAAGATATGCCAAATACAGTAACCATAGTGATCAGCATCCGGTTCGTTCGTTTTTTCTTCTCTTTGTCAGCCTCTTCTCTTTTACTGGTCTTGTTAACAAGTTTCGTTTTAGCCCTATCATTCAATCTAATCGAGACGCAGATATAACAAAAAGCGATCACGAAGAAGGGTAGAACAAATTGCAGTATAGAGGTGATGGAACTAAAGATTTTGCGAAATCGTTCGTTAGGCCAATGTTCTTCGCAATAAGTGTGCGGCTCCTCCAGATGCATGTAAAGCCCATAAGGTAAAGTGACTAACAATGCTATTACCCAAATTCCGACGATCATGCCTAAACAAACTTCGATCTTCATACGAGGATGAAATGGATATATGATTACCACGAACCTATCGATCGCGATACTCGTTAGTGTCAGTGTGCTGATATATACGCTAACACCTTGTGCATATGGTACTAAATGGCATAGAGTTCTACCGAATACCCATCGTCCAAGAAATGTGTATAAAGGAGTAAACGGAACCGCCAGAACACAAAGTAACACATCGCTCAATGCTAGATTCGTGATAAATAGATTAGTCACAGTCTGCATTTGTCGATTTCGTGCTACGACGAAACATACCAACACGTTACCAAATAAGCCCAATGAGAAAATATTTGCATAAAATATGTAAAACGTTAATTGCACTAAACCATTCGAGGTTATATCGTTTTCGATAGTTGAACGATTGATAGTCAAGTTATTGCCGCTCGACCAATCCTCTACGCTCTTGTTAGATGGAATCGGTACATCATCCATTTCTCGATCTCTCTCCCTCGCCCTTTCTTTCTCTCTTCCACTTCTACCACCTCTATCCTTCTTCTTCTTTCCCTTTCTCTTTCTCTATCAACCCAAATTGATTTCCCTTCTTTTACATTAATCCAAAATTATTTTTCCTCTATGGTCTTCCGAGATTATCTCTGCCTCTCCCCGTCTATTTTCTTTTGTTTTGAACGTTTTCCCTTTCAAATCTTGCAATTGGACCAACTGAATGAAATCAAGCCGCGATTAAAAATATTCCCTCCATTATTTCACCGTTTATGATTATCATGCTTGTACTCGACACGCAAGTAAATAATTAGGTCTTATAAAAGATAATTAATTAACTTGATAATGGTAATTAAAGTCATTTTCCCTTACTCTTGCAGGAAAGTTTTGTTTCTACCACAGCAATAACACGTAAGTGGGCATGCGTGTATAGATATATATAGTATATTCAGATATATATCATAAAAATGTATATTTTGTGTTGCCTTGAACTCCACCAGATACCACACAAATTATAGAGTACAAATCGATTTTTATTCGATTTATACGAATAAAAAGCTTTCCTTATCACATTGCATATTATATGATAACCGATTTGGCCGATACAAATAAATAGTTGCTTTTTTGTTTAAAAAATTCCTAAAAAACTGCTTCCACCCATTTAGTCAAATTAGTCAAATTGAACAGACAATCTTGAAAGATAGTGAAATCTGACGTTTCTCGAGATTACCGAGTTTTAAGAAACATTTCCCAAAAATAGAACGATATTGCATGATCGATGAGTCGTCCTTCGATCGATGTCAGTTACATAAAAATTCCTCTATTCGCTAAGAAATTTTCAAACTAATCGAATATGAAAGAAAGAATTAATCGCTACCATTTCTCTTATTCAATTATGTAAGTAGTTACTTATTTACCATTACGCACACAACACGCGCGCTTGTATATACAGGTTCTTTTCCTTCCCTCCCAAACCCCATCTCACTCACTCTTTCTCTCTCTCTCTCTCTCTCTCTCAATTTTCCACTTCGTGTTACGAATTAAGTCCACTATTCGCAATCTGTTTAGTCTCGCTGCGGTATCGAAAAAATTATTTAAAAAATGTTTAAGCAATGTACATCTTTTGAAAACAACTTTACAATTTTCTTTCAAACCACCTGTTGACAATTTCAATCGTTGATGATCTTTGAGTAAGATATCTTTTCATTATTTCTAGTATACATACCGTAAATACAGAGCAATAAAATAAAACAAATAGGTAATTGGATACGAAATGGTGAGGGAATATTAACTACTAAGTGATTGAAATTATTTCTGTAACGATCGTTGAGAATTGTTTAAAAAGTCAATTACAATTGGTACCCAACCACAAGATATTTTTATTACACTGATTGAGATTATAGTGAGAAAAATTTTGCACTGACAGTAAGTACCGACGCTAACTGCTGCCAAGTCAAACAAAAAACACGTAACAATTTTACAAATCACTTTGCACACTTTTTTTCATAAATCTCGAATATTTCTTTCTTATAATTATTTTTCTCCTGGTTGTGTTGTGAAATAATTTTCAATTTAAATATTTGTATACAAATGGAAGGCAATTCCATCGATTACGTAACGTTTTGTCTTTAGATAAAGAAAATTGAACACCACGACGTTAAACTTGTTACGATTTTCAACGATGAAACGCTTTCGAAGTGACGGCCGGCCTTTTCCATCGATAACTGAAAATGGAAAATTGTTGGCAAAATCTAACTAGACAAGCCGCCGTTTTCTTGCGCAGGCGTCCGCATTACCACCTGATCTGTATCCTCGCCCTTCTACTTACACGCCCTTGTACTTAGAATTAGTATTCACAACGACGTGTCGCTTTTAATCCATTCGTACCATGAGCATATCAAGACCATTTTAGATTAATATCACCTGAGGTTTTTAAACGTTTTCTAATGTCTACAAAATTAATGATCATGTTGGAAAATATCAAAGAATCATTTTATATGACACTTTTCTGTTCCTTTAAATTCCATACATTTCTCGTTACATACGAATATTCTTTGTTTCTTCTTTCTTTTCATTTTTATCAAATACATATTACATATTTCATTATGTTATTGTTATCCATTCTCAGGTAATATAAATATACGATAAAGTTTACATTTGACGAAATGGTAAGAAACTATTCGTAAATACATAAAATCTTGGACGAGCTGTTTTTTGAAAATTTAGCATTTCATATGAAGACACGAACTTTTAAAAAGTTTAATCGAACTTATTAGTAACATTTACTTACATAAATCATACAAGGTTAATTTTAGAACAAACAGAAACTATTTTTTAAATCTATCAAGCTATTTTCGATATATACAATGTATTATTATCATTATTTTATTATTTTTTTCGCTGTTTACGCCCTTATGAAACACTTACCCGTTAAAATCGTTATCAATTGTTTCTTTAACAAACATATTTTAACAATTACAAACAATAAGATTTAATTAAAATTTGCATGTAAATAATAAATATAATAAGAATTTGTGTTACATATTCATAATAATAAATATAATATATTTTTCAAATAAAAATAGGCAAACAGATAAATAGATAGATGGATTGAGAGATAGACAGATAGATGGGGATAGAGAAAGGGGGATTGGGAAAGAGAGATAGACAAACAGACAGATGGGGACAGAGAAACGGGGATTGGAAGAGAGAAAGAGAGAGAGAGAGAGAGAGAGAGAGAGAGAAAAAGAGAGAATGTGAAATGACTGTTTCACATATTGAGACAAATTTATTAACTTTGAAATTTCGTTTCATTAAATAAACACATTACACTGCTCTCTTTTTTTACAATCATCATGCACCTTTGCTATTATTAAAGAAACTTTGGAGAAAAGTAAAACAAAGTATACTTATATTTTACTTTATTAACGAGATATTGTTATTTTGTTATAATATCTAAAGTATTAACAAATTAGAATTCAAAATGATAAAGAAACATTTGATATTTAATGTACAATTGATTATCTAGGAAACTTATGCAATGGACGACATACATGAAATAGTACATGCGGAGAAAAGTAACTGCTATACATAATTGGTTCTTTTGTACTATAGAAATTTTACAAATATTTTAAGTTTATACAATTATTACATACATACACACAAATGTGCGCCCGCGCGCGCCCATGTGCGGTATTAGCCTACATCTTTCCTTTCTTTTCCGACATATATCATCGGCACAAAATTTGCATATACATTGATCAGAAATAGTATTTTGATGTATAAGATTTAACTCTTCTGCCGACTTTATTCAAGTATTGAATACAATCAGTTCTGTCTATTCTCCTAAAATTCAAGTCCTCTTTGCGAGTCAGCGTATATAAAAACACATAATGTGGTAAATTTTTATAAATAATAACTAAAAGAAAATTCAAGAATATGGAATTCAATACTCATAAGTAAATTCGAATGCAAACAATTTGATATGACAAATAAAATTCCATTGTTAAGAGAGGAAAGTTCATAATATCATTTTACCCAAAAATAAATTGAAATTACGTATACACTATGCTAAAAGAATTCTTCTAAAAGGATAAAGAACTAAATGGATAATGTTTCCTTAATCAATTTTTTCATTGTATTACCCATTGTTGTACTCGATGGGCTAGAGGTTGTAAATGATAATTTAAACAGATAAGGTTGTATATCAGGGTACGATGTGTCAAAGATCAAATCCAGTTCAGCTTGATTTGGCATTTTAGGTAAATAATCATGTCGATTCATTACTTCTGTTATATAAAGAATCTTATCCGTTAATAGATCTCCAACCTTTTCTCTGCATATCTGTCGTTCATGTTCTGTTGCTAATTTGATAAGTTCCAAACGTACTGTCCATACTTCCCATGGTATGCATTCAGGTTGAAAGGGCCAACGATTTTTTTTCTTCTGAAAGAATTCCAAGGATATTTGGCCAGAACCTGGACTATCGGTGGAACGTAAAGCTTCAGAAAAACCTGATATTTCACGTTTCAAAGTTTGATCCAGATGTATCGATGAACAACAGACATAAGTGAAATCGATAAAGTCACAATCGACATCTTGGTATCCCACAGTACCTACTGAATAACTACCTTCTTGTTTATACTTAAATTTACCAAGACTTCGATGGAAAAGAACGCTATGGAAGATACTTGCTACTGCCTCATCCACTTGCCTGCCCTCCATACTTAATTCAAATAACTGAGTTCTGGCATTCATGGTGATTCCTATCCAATAAGATGTTAATATAGATCTATGGAAATTTTCATAAAATATGTAATACAATTGCATAAAGTAAATGAAGTAAATTATGTAAAGTGGAAGTAATATAATATTCTATATACATATATTTAATTAAAATACCTGAATTTTATATTGTTTATGATAAAATTTTTATTATCAATTTACTACAGATTTTTGATTGAATAAAGACAGTTAAAATTACTTGAAATAAGTGAGTTATATTTAATTATACTTAGATTAATGTGATATTAAAGTCTACATATACATTTTTCAATGTCTCGCGAAAAAAAGAGGTACGGATAAAAATAAAGGAAATTAATTCTAACCTCGTAAAGGTAGTGGTAAAAACGTCGATTATTACTGGAGACTTGCTGTGGTACTGGATGATGTTTGGTCATCTTTCACTCACAGAAAATTGTCCAATACCCCAAAAATATAATTAAGTAACCGTTGAATAAAGGTATAGGAATAAGTCCTCTGAGTTTTAGAAAATTTTAAGAACAAAATATCCAACATTGAAATGAAATCGAAGCTTATGAATATAATTTCCTTGTTTCCTTGACAATTTTATCCTTACTTTTAGACATTTAAGAGATATATGTATGTAACTTGGATTTTTTAGCACAACTTTAATTTGCTATTCTGTTATCTTTCTCTTTCTTCCTCTTTCTTCCTTTGGCTATTGTATTTTAATTTTTTCGTTCCTCTTGATAAACAGGTTACAAAAATTTAATCCAAGATCATTACTAATATTAATCACAAATAGTAAACCAAATGAAACGGATATTTTTACATAAAATTTTTCAAAACCATATTTCTTGCACAAACACTTTCACTACATCATATATCTACCATCATTATCATCATTGTATAAATCGTTTTGCTATTCTAGCCGACTGTTTACTATATTTAGAACTTTCCCTTTTTATTTTGCACTCAGTATTATTCTCTTTAAAATCTCTTTATGCAAAAATTCATATGTCCAGGATTACACAAAATCATTTGCATCAAACCAAATTAGTTTTGTTCTTTCTCTTTGATAAATAACAGCTGTTCTCGCCACATTGCGCCATTTTACATTTCCCTTAATACTACTTCTCGATTGTATGATTGGTATCCTAGTAATTTAACTCAACGATTAATCTCACGGGACCTACTCATGTACACATATTACACAGGCGGCAATGAGAATGCGTATGACAAAGAGGGCGAGGAGGAAGCGGGAGAGAGAGGAAGGTGGGAGAAAGACTTACAATTTTGCAATGAATATTGTCCACCACGATTAAATGTACATTAATTCATATAAAACAAAATAGTAAAAGCAAAATGCATTTATTATTAATATAAAGCTATTCCAATTTTGCTACTCTTGCAATAAAACCTTAAAGATAAAGCTTTGTAAAATAATAACATCGCAAATATATATGTACATAATAGAAATCATAATGATATTTATCCATTAAAAATGAATATAAAATAAAAAATAGATTGAAAAGCTACTAAAAACCTATGGACGGGAATCGAACTCTGGACCTTCATCATAAGAATTTTTGAATGCCGTTGTTGGGCCACAACACCATTTGAATAAGATATAAATTTATAGTTAAAGAGTAATAAAACTTTAATCAAAAATATTTCAAAAACTATTGTGTAGTTGCACCTATAATGATATATTTTCTTTAACTGCATGACGAAATCTACAAATCTGCAAAGTTTCAACTAAATCGATGACCCGAAGGACTTGCACTTTCCTTATAAGTTTTATCAAACCATGTTTTGTTCAAGTTGATTTATATCTTTACAATCAACGAAAATATAAATTTTGTATTAATATAATATATCGAAGTCACAAAAAATTTTATACACATTACTTTTTTAAAAAGTGCTGAAATAAATGTTTAAAATTTTGTTTTAAAGTAACATTTTATGAAATTAGTAATTAATTCAGTAGCTTGAATTTTTTTTGATCTTCTGATCTAAATAACAAAATTTTTAAAACTTGAGTATATAATATTCAATAGTGTATAGTAATATTTTGGAATAGTAATTGTATATAAATATGTAACTTGTATTTAAGTTAAACTTTATTTTTAATAAACATAATTAAATTATATTTGTAAAAACTATGTAAGTTAATAATAATTTACACAATATTGCATACAAAAGTATGTTTTATACAAATAATATATAGCGATATATTGCTATAGTATAATACGTAGTAATGAATACAATTCTTTTAATAGTAATTGCTCATTTAGCTGGTACAATTTCATCATACTTATAATCATAACTATATTTCACACATAATGTGATTTTGATTTCAAATATTATTTTAAGAATATCATGATACATGGGTCAATATCTTGGTTCGTTGATATTGATTATGTGGTTGTAATTCACCTGATGTGATACTATCTAAGACCCAAGTTTCTTTTAAACCGTTAACACCAATCAAAACCCTTGCTGTTTCTGGATTTTCAGTAATAAAACCACCAGCAGCTTTTATGAGGTCTTTTAATACATTACAAGGTGGCATTGTACTTTTTTCAACATATATATATCCACAAGCAGTAAACAATTCTGGAATATAAGATTTTCCAAATAGTTGCCTATTCTTACGGTTTTCCTAGAAATTATGTAATATGAATTAGTAACATCATATGTCAAATATGTTGTATAATGTATATGAGTGTTTATGGAGAATATATTCTGATTCATTTCTATAACTTTTCTTACCAAAATTGCTTCTGAAAAATGCACCATTTCATACTTTTCAGGATTTAACCATGCATTATTTTCTAAAGATTTAAAAACCCACTCAAGGCTAACTACCCAACAGCCTCGTATAATACCATGCAATAGATTTATTGTACGCACACCTGTTGTTACAACATGTGTTGTATTTTTTGTAACACTTGATTCAATCTTTGCTGAATCAAGAGCTCTTACAATATTTTTAACCATGTCCTTATCTCTATGAAAAAAACATAAATATAAATATTTAATTTTTAAATAAAATCAGATATTTGCAATAATTAGAAATGATTTGTAATTTTATAACTTATATAAAATAATCATTACACTTACTCATTAGATAAACCAGTTGTAACAATATTTAGCTTATGTATTTGTTTTTTTTTTTTAAATTGTACAACTGATGGTCTTTGTAAAGGTTGAAAGTCATCTAATGAATTTCTTCCAGAAATATAAATATTTGTTGCTTCTAAGTTATTCATATCCTTTGTATTTTTTCCTAATTTCCTTAAAATGTCCTTATTAACAATTTTCTTAACAACAATATTTTTTGTCCTTTTTTGTTTTCTTTCGTCATAATTTTTATTTTCATTTTGATCAGTACATTCTGTATCATTTATATTAACTGGTTTATTAATTCTGATCGTCCTTTTTTTATGTCTTTTTTTACATATTGAGTTCGGATGAGATAAGTATTTTTCATTTTGCATAGGAGAAAATGATAGTAATTGTGAAGATTCACGCAAAGGAAACAACTTTCTTTTACATCCTTTTTTCTCAGAAAGCGATACAGAATTCATATTTTGATCTATGTCTGTTTCATTAGTATGAGTTCTTTCTTTAATGATTAGAGATTTTTGTGAGTTAATATGTGACATATTACAAGATGAATTGTTCAAAGCGATTGGACTATTTACAATATTATTGTCTTTACTATTATGAGTTTTCAAAACATCAATTTTATTACCATTATATTGCAATCTAGTTGAAGTATTTAATGATGTATTCATCTGTAATGAAGTGCAAACAGTATTTATACTTTCCTGTGTTATCTTTAAGCTTCCTGCATGTATGTGTTTTTCTTTATTTTCAGAATTTCTATATTTTTTCTCCTTACAACTTTTTTGTTTATATTTATTTCTATGTTTATTATTAATACTTATCTGATCAACAGATGTATTTACATTTAAGGAGGTTTGGTTTGTATTTACATTTTCTACTTCAGCTAGACATGTGCTTTTATTAACACTTTTTACCTTAGAATTATTTTGTAAAGTTTGAGGTGTATAATTTATATCCACCTGTTGCGATATTTGTGTTAAAGAATCTGGTTCATAATTATTTTTTGACACTTCTTGCATTAAAGAATATTCAGTTATTATATTCTCTATTATGTTCTGTTTCAATGATGATTTGTTGCTTAATATAATTTCTCCTTGAAAACTTTTTGAACTTTCACTTATGTTAAATGGCTGATTTTCTATATTTTTAAAGTGCATTTCTTTTTCCATATCTAATTCACTATCATTTATCATTGTAGAACATCCAACTGGTATTGGAGTAAAAGTATTTTTATTTTCATAAATATTTGAAAAGGATAGAGATTTATCTTTATAAATATTTTTACTATAATTTTTATTTTCCGATTGTGTCAAATATGGTTTCAAAATATGACATTGTGAATTAATATTATTACTAACTATATTCATATTGTTTGAATGTTTCTTCAAATTTAAAAATCTTCTTTCTGAAATATCTTGCTTAATCACTTTATTAATGTCATTATTTTCACTTCGATTTAAATTTCTTTTTATATTTGTATGTTTGACATTACTGATCATATTTGATACTTCTGAGGATAATTTATCTTTCATAATTACATATTCAATATCATCATTTATGTAATCGATTCATACTCTGAAGTTATCTATTATTACATCTGTGTAAAAGATATATATAAAATTAACATTATATTAGGTTAAGTAATTTATTTATAATGGACACATTATTTTTAAAATATGAAGAAAAAGAAAACTTTTAATATACTAAAGAATATTAAATAATTTATTAATTGATTTAGTATTAAAAGATACATTGTAAATTTAAGCTGTTGTCATCATTGAAGGACATGCACTAAACTTCGAGATAATAAGAAAGATTTCAATTCCGTATTAGTATAATATTGTATCTTATAGAGATGAAATATTTTGTTTGTGGAATAATTTAGAAGTACTCACATGGAGAGTGCAAGTCCTTCGGGTCACCGATTTAGTTGAAACTTTGCAGGTTTGTAGATTTCGTCATGCAGTTCAAAAATATATACCATTATAGTCGCAACTACTTAATAGTTTCTAAGATATTTGATTAAAGTTTTATTACAGTTATAGGTATACGTTTGACGTTGGACACAGCCATCTGTGTCCTCGTTGCGGAACTCGAACTTCGAGTTTAAAATCATTGATGGCTCTGATGTTAGTTTACTAACTCTGGTTATGTGCTCCTAATATATTTTAATAAATTAAATCGGCAGTGGAAAATTCACAAATTACTCAATATCTGTGATTAATTTACGAACTTTTATAATTGCACCGTAAAGGCAGATCCTTCAAGAACTTTCCAATATATTTTTCGATATAAGTTTGTCCCTAATTAATTAATTATTAATTATTATTCTACGGAGTGTTTGAATTGTTGTCGAAGACGCCATTGGTTTTTCATTAATTACTATCCTCTGCGCAACTAATTTATGAAACTTCATGCACGCAATAGAAAGGCAATGTTCTTGCGAATCTTCTCATATAATTTTTGATCACATTTTGCTTCTAGTTTCGTTTAGTATTAATTATTTTCAGGCAAGATCAATAATTAATAACTAACAAATTAGCGATAAATTCTTTACGAAAATTAAATAAGAATGTTGTTTAAAGCTTAAGCTTTGCAATGAAATTATAAAAGTTCACAAATTAATTATGGAAATTGACTAATTTATTAACTTTTCACTGTCGGAGCTCTTCTATCCCTTTCTATCCTATCTCTGTCCTTGTCTGACACGTGACAAGCTCTTCGACAATCTCCTCGCATGTTCTATGTTCTTATTACTTTTCCGAGTATGTGACCCAAAATCATAGATGGCGTTGATCACAGGCGGTAAAATTTTTATTTGAACTAGATACCTCTTCTGGTTATGTGCTCCTAATACACCTTAATAAATCAATTCGGCAGTTGAAAATTAATCAATTTCCAAGTTTTTATAATTAATTCATGAACATTTATAGTTGCACAGTAAAGTTGGAATTATAGGCAACATTCTTATACAGTGTTTAATTTACTAATTAATACTTACATGAGCGATAGGTTTTGTATTTCCTACATCTAACGATTATTTATATTTTCATTTTCTTTCTGTAGTAAATAAGCTTGCTGTAGAAAACTGTTTTTTCTTGCATAGTATTCTTATTATTGTGTAATAAATACATACTAATGTAAGAAAGCGTAAAAAAATAAATTTTTTTATTAACAAATTTTAGTTGCAATTGTTTATTTACAATGTTTTCATAGGCGAAAAATGAATACAAAATAAAAAGTAAATGGAAAAAGAATTAACCGTACTACGAACGGGAATTGAACCCCGCTCTTTCAGCATAAGAATTCCCGTCTGTCGCCGTTAAGCCACAAATCCGCTGGAATAAATTTCGAAATAAATGTACATCTATAACTGTAATAAAATTTTAATCGAATATCTTAGAAACTATTGAGTAGTTGTGACTATAATGGTATATATTCTTGAACTGCATGACGAAATCTATAAACCTACAAAGTTTCAACTAAATCGCTGACCCGAAAGACTTGCACTCACCTTGTCAGAGATTGGTGTTAGTACAAAGTTGTCAAATATAGCATTGATTATAATTAATTACGGGATAAGCAACATGGAAGTTGCTGTACAAGATGTTCATGATGATTATTATTTAGAACTGTCTTCTGATCCAATTAAATTTGAATCAGTTAGTTGTGTGACGAACGTTTTTTTCGATGATTCAAAGCAACAGGTTAGAAAATATTTTTCTATTTTATTTATCTAATAATAAAATTTGATAAAGTAAAATTTGTTTGCAATTTAGATATTTGCAGTTCGATCGGGAGGTGTAACAGGTGTATTAGTTAAAGGACCAAGTCAGAATATAAGTTTCCGAATGGAAGATAAAGGTCCAGTGATTTCCATTAAATTTTCTCCCGATATGAATATACTGGCAGTACAACATAACTATTCTTCAGTTGAATTTATAAACTATTCACCAATTATTGGACTAGATAATATAGAATATTCGCAATCATGCAAAGGAAAAAATGCTGCTATATTGGGATTTGTTTGGACACATGGAAATGAAATATTACTTGTTACTGATTATGGAGTTGAATTGTTTCAAGTAAAAAAGAGAAAAGTTTAATTGAATATTTTGTGTGTAATTTGTGTTTAGTACATACATATGTATATACATGCATACATACATATACATAATTTCATTATATGTAAATAGATATGTAAATGCATTAATCATTTAATCATTTTAGGTAAATCCAGATAAACGAAATGTCAGAATTTTGAAATGTCTGAGTTTAGGTGTTAATTGGTTTGTATTTTGTCCGCAAAGTCATTTAGTACTACTATCATCAGGTACAATAGGAAATCAAATGCAGACATTGCATGTAACACCTGGAAATTTACATAAGTTAACAAAATTTGAAGGTAAGAAGAAATATATAAAATTTGGATTAATATATAATAAAATGTTGGGTCAATAATTATAACCTATGATAAATTTATTTCAGTGGAAGCTGGTATGACAAAACCAGGAAAATTGGCTATTTATGAGAGAGATGTAGCATTGGCAGTTTTATATGACATTCCGTGTATTATTTTACTACGTCATCAACCGGGTACTAATCGTTCTAATGGGTCTGCTTCTGTATATGTATATACTGTGCACAAGTATGCTTTTTAGAGTCATTAATTGATTTAAATCTAAATTCATACCTACTATTTGATATTCTGTATGTATTTTTATTCTATATTTTTAAGTAGAATGACAACTATCAAAAGGAGTCATATCTTGAAGCTTGATGTCAATGGTAAATTTGCGATTAATGTTGTAGATAATCTTATTATAGTTCACCACCAAACTACAAAAGTAAGTAAAGCAATGTATAACAAGTAAGTAAACTATAAAATTTCTCAGTTAGTGAGAATGACAAAAATGACCACCCAACATAAGCAGATTTTTAAATATGTAAATTTTTTCAGACTTCTATGATTTTTGATGTTATGCTACCTGGTGTGAGCGACGGTACTGTTATGCATCATACTAGTGTAGTACCGGCAAAACCGATCAAACCGTATAATTTAAAAGTTCCAGGAGCAACCTTGTCGAGCGAAACGTATCAGCCATGCCAACTATGTATCCTTGATATTTCTATACATCTTGGAAATGAGATTCACACATTAAAATATAATAGAATATTTCTATGTTCTCTTTATTTTCTATGTTTTTCTTCAATGTATCTTACTAACAGATTCGCCAAATTGGGTTGTTTTTCAGCCAAATATAATAATTGATGTTAAACTAGGTTGTCTCTGGTAAGTAATATTTTATCTTTGTTGTGTCGTTAAATTTCTTTTTTGCTTCATGTACATAGTAAAATGAAATAATTTACAAATGTGTCCTTATGTATACAGGTACATTGAATTAAAATTGAAATCTTTGATAAAGCTCATTACGGACAAAGTGCTATTAGTCAAATTTTTAATGCAAAGAACAAATGCAAAATATATTTTGATACAAGTGTTACAAAATTTTATGATGCAGTTGCCTATTAGTTTAATGGACATGCCAATTATATTTGACAAACTGAATTCTGTGTACAGGAATTACCTTGAAGATGAAATACAAAATCAGGTGATCATGATAAATCTTGTTTCTCCTTTGTATCTAGATGATTTTCTAGTTACTTCATTGATATTCATAATTCTAGTAATTCATTGATTTTCATTGCACACAATGTTTATTCAGATGGGAACACCATTGCAAAATAATATGAAAAATCTAAACATGACAATAGAAAATTACAAGTATAAGTTATTACTTGATCAAAGTGATATGTATAGTTATATATTGTCAAAATTTCCTGAAAACACCATTGAACCGAAAATGATTGTATGGGTTCTTCTAGAATATATCAGGTATTACTTCACCTTTCTTTCCCACACACATGTTTGAGTCTGTTTCTGTCTTTATTTAAAATAGCAAAAACTAAAGAAAAAATGCCTACTTTTGCATATGATAATGTGTACGATATGTGGTGCAGATCCCAAAATATCAATGATTACATTTTCCTGTATTTTTCATTTCAGATCATTAGCGGAACACGATATCCCTGTGCAGCATTACTTACACGAATTAATTATTACAACATTAGTTCAACGTAAAGCCTATTACCAACTTCATCAATTACTACAGTATCATGTAGTTGCCGATTCAAAACCTCTGGCGTGTTTATTGCTCTCTTTAGAGAATCTATATCCAGCTGCTCATCAACTTGCCTTGGATATGTTGAAACGATTAGGAAATGCTCATGAAGAAATAATCGAGGTTCTTCTGTCGAAGGGATACATTCTACCAGCGTTACGGTAAACATTAAGTACCTTTGTTATAGTAAGATAACATACATAGAGTGAGATACATATAATGTTTAAGACAAATTTATCAGATATTCTGAAATTGATTCATTTTTAGTCATATTTCCTTCCACTTTTTTTTGTCAATTTTAGTTATGTTCGATCAGTTGGAATGGTGGATCAAGTGTCGGACAGAAAATTTCTTGAAGCGGCAAAAGCAACCGAGGATGCAACACTCTTTTATTCAGTTTTTAAGTTCTTTAAACAGCGTAATTTGTATTTATATAATGCTACAGTTTTTACAAAAGGAGAACGTTATCAGCCTTACATTCAACATTACAAGTATTTATTCGAAGGAACAGATAATGGTTGTAATTCGGACACAAATTCCAATGTCACGACGATTTCTTCGTGAGCTTCTCTTCCCTTCTCTGTTTGTTGAGCAATAATGCAATTTGAGTCTATCGTAACATGAAACAACACTGAATATATTTAAAATTCACAATATCTTACAATCAGAATATTATTTTAAAATTTATTTCACCTTCTATATTCCCATTTGTAAAATAAGTTCACATAACTGTGCGCGCTTGCTAGCTCGCTCTTTACACACACACACACACACACACACACGCGCGCGCGCGCTATTCAATCCTTTCACCTACGATAACGTTTGAGACTCGCGGTAATGAAATCGGGCCAAATATGAATATCACGGGTAAGAGTCATGGTTTGCAAACAGAGCCCAATGTAAACAACACGGGTCAAACTTGTGGTTAATTTTCACCAATATTTCTGTCTCAATTACATATTATTCTTCACCGCTTTCTCACGAAATGGCTCGATGTGTGACCAATTTTGCCGTTGACTATGGCACGCGCCATCGCAACTTAAATCGTAGTGCAAAGGGTTAATTATATTTTGAAATATAAATATCTGTAATATTTTGTAGCATTTTGTGCAATTAATACAGTCTGTTTAAAAATTATATGTATAATACTCATATTTTTTATTTCTGGATACGCGTTTAGAATAATATGATAAACTATTTGTTTCGAAATTCGTATAATTTATGCCATTATAACAATTTATTAATGCCAAACAATGTTATACATTTTTACCTGATGATTGCATGTTTTATAGGTGAAATAATGAAATCGTGATATTATTTAAACAGGAAATTACAAATTTTTGATGAAGAAATAATTGGTTAAGAGATTTTATAAAACACAAGAAGTTGAAGTGTTATTCAGTATTGTAAAACGTTTAATCGGTGATCATCGTAATATAAAAAATTGATACCACAAGGATATTTCTGATCCTCTTCACCACTGACAATAATAGTACTGAATTAACTGAGTTAGAATAAAAATTAGTCTATAACTTTTTCTGTTTTACTGCTTGGAACCCAACGATCTTGAACGTGAGCGGTATCAATCGGTGACATTGTTTGGTGTTATAATTTATTACCTTGTTATTTTATTTTCCTAAGGGCTATATATACAAAGTCAAATAGAAAATGGACAAATATTCATTGAACTTTTAATAAAAAAAATTGTTGGGTCCATTATTTTTCGGTACTGTTTAAGTATTTAATACGTGCAACAAATTTGTTAATGTTTAATTGAAACGTTGCAGCAGAATCATTTAAATGGTTTGATTTGATATGAATATTAAAAATTTCATTATATTATACGCGTTCGTTTTATTTTTCAATTATATCACTTATCGCTTTCATCGTGTATATGCACTTTTAAATTTAACATACACGCACAAACACACGCGCACTCACTATTGTATAATGTTTACAATTTTAGACAAATGGACAATTGTCAGATATTTTAATAATTCAATATTAACGTACAAACGGACGGATTGGATAAAAATAGATACAAAACGTAGGCAAGTAAAAAGTAAGAAACATAGAACGAGTCAATAAAGGGGAGCAGGGGGGGGGGGATATTTGTAAGAGGAAGAGTGGATTTAATCGTGGTTGGTCCATTTTTCATTTTCGTTAAAAAATGCGATGGTCGAGAAAGATCGAGAAAGGAAAACATTAAATATTAATCATATTTTTACAAATACGTTATCAAAACTAAAACGATTTGGTCCTTTGTTTATCATTAATTAACACGTGCGACTGAGACCGATAAAATCTTTCGTCGATATTGTGTAGTTTTTGTTGCTATTTTATAAGTTGATATCGCATATGAGATCACAACACTTTCATGTATTATATCAGAATCGTGCTAGTTATTAAATGTGCAAATATATTGTGAAGGTCATCGATCTTTATAAAGAGTACAATCGAAAAAGACGAAACCTAGAATGATCGAATGTACATAGTACATGATTCGCTGCACGATATCATCTCGTTAGCAAATTTTACGACGACTAGACAGAAAGTTAAATTATGTGTAAAAAATATGAACAAGAACAACGGTGGCGGATAAATTACGAGATACTGCAGTCGTCCGTGTAGGTGTCTCTAATTTGTTGTTTGGTTTTTCGCGAAGTGCGACGAATCAAGCTACGACTGCGTGGTTTGCTCTTTGCCTCCTCACTGATAGCAACAACATTTGAACTTTGCGCTCCGACCACTTGCTGAGAATTGCCAACAGAGCCCGTGCTTCCGGTTCTACTATGTGGACTGCCAGATCTAGCGACTCGATCGCTTCTGTAATATATGAAATCGATCAAATGACGATCGAGTGTTATATGCTGGAGAACTGTTAGTAATAGTACATTAGTAATAGTACATTACACAACGCCTTAAGTTATTCCTTTGTTGATTACTCCGATAACTTTTTTACGTTTGCGGAATGCTTTCAAAATTTTCGATAATGAATATATACATATGCATGTGATTTACACAGTACACGCACAAGTAACACTGTATCGTGTTATTAGAAATTCGTTAGCAGTTCATTTACACGGAAATATGATGAATATCGATGAAATAAAAATTTTTAAAACGATAAGACATATATTGTGGGGTTTGTACCTGCGTGATCCGTATGCCGAACATCTTCGTCGAAGGCCTGACTCGTCTGACTCGCCAGCCTGATTCTTTGGTACGATTCTGGATAAAGTGACGAAACATCGGAAAATATCTTTGACATTATAATCATCCTTAGCTGAACATTCCATTACTTTGGCACGAAGTTTGGGTAACTCGCAAAATAACCATTCACTCACGTCTTCAATCGGTACTTCTCTTCGCGTCGTTGCAAGGTCCAATTTATTTCCGGCAACGACTATCGGTACTTCCTGTTGAACGGTCGAACATGGAAAGAAATGAATATGAATATTTTCAATTAGACCTCCCATATATTGTTAATACTCATCAGCTATCAAAATTGTATTCTTCCCTTCGTTAATCTGATATTAACCCCTTGACATACAATGACGTCTGGGAGACGTCATTCATTTCATGTGCCATTGTAGACTTCGACGTCTCGGAAACGTCAAGAATTGTCTTCGGCGAACGTCGCGCAGTATATTAGATTCTTTACCTGTTTCAATCGTGCGTGGATGTTATTTTGTTTAAAAAATTTGGCACATTTGCCCGAACATATGCTTGCGACAAATAAAAAGCAACATCCTGCAAACAGATGCCATGCGTGCATCAAACATAATATAAGAAGTGAAACAACTTGGCAGTGTAAAACATGTCTGATTCCACTACATATTCCAAAATGTTTTGAGATGTATCATATTTTATAGAACTACTAAATTATTATTTTATAGTATTACTTAATTATTGTACATTAACGTTATATATCAACTTTATTGTTTTATTTACATAGCATTAAATTTGAAAATAAAACGTTCTGTTTCTAAGCTTGCACATGAGTGTCCGCAGTTGAGCCAAATTAAATGCTATTCTACGGACTCGTCGATGCGCATTTTATTTCTATGTCAAGGGGTTAATTTCTTTTTTTTTATGAACAACCTGAAAATCTGGTCGCTGTTCTCTGACTTCTTCAAAGCATCGTTTTACACATTCGAAGCTTGGTAATGACGTGGTGGCGTAAACAAGGAGAAATGCATGTGCGGTAGCTATACTCAATCTTCTCATAGCTGGAAACTGTAAATCACCTGAAAATGTGTATGCATATAAATATATTTTTTTCTTTTTTCTTTCTTTCCACTGTAACGGACGCCTGATGACGAAAGATAAAAGAATTTACCAGCTGTATCCAAGAGATCGACTTTGAGGGTGAGCGTACCCAGAACGCATTCTCTCGAATAGAGATCTTCGACGGTAGGCCTATACCTTTCGCTAAATCCTTGGCCGAGTAAACGACGTATAATCGCACTTTTCCCGACACCAGCACCACCTAATACCACCAATCTGATTCTTTCGTGGTCAGCCATTTCGCGAATTCTTTTTAATTTGTCGTAATTCAATTTTGAGAGGATATAAATTTAGTGTAGCGAATAAAAATGTGTATGCAAGTGTGAATTTATAGCGATAGTATAAAAGAATCCTGGTTCAGGAAGCCATTGAAAAATTTGTTGTATTCTCGGTTTCACTTATCAGTTTCCCTTTTTCCTCTTTTTTTCCTTTATTTTATTATTTTTTAATTTTTTGCTTTGTTCGCAAATCGCGTATAACACGATAAATAGGTCTAAAATAATATCTCAATTTTTTCTTATCTAGATGGCGTAGAAATAACGATAATTCGTTCAAAGATCCCAACCATGTCTTTTTACAGCATTCGAATTTTAGCTAAAAAGAAAATGTTCGATCAATCATCATATTTACATGATAAAAAAATGGAAAAATCTACTATATATAATACTATCAATCGAATAAAATACACAAGTATGTATTTTACAGAAAACTTTTTGTTTATAAAATGTATATTCGAATCTCATTCATTCGTAACATACGAAGTGTCTAATATCTACATCGAGATCTATATCATCGACCTTTAGGTAATAATCTACATTTTAGGTAATATCTACATTTTCGTGCAAACCATATAGATCTCGAACGAAGAAAATAGAAATCGATTTGTCCGATTTGTATCCGATGGATCATGAATAGATGGAATAATATCGAGACAAATAACGTGGAGTATCGAGATTCAGAATGTTGATATCGGTGATTATTAGGCATTATTAGGGATTAGAAATTTTTGACTAGATAAAACGAAGAATTTTCGCAAAAACTGCAATACTCTATGGGGTATTCGTACCACCGATATTGCTGCAGGCAATCGTTCGTTATTATACGATTCGCATAGAATGTATATTCGTCTTGTGATAGGAAAAAGTTGGATAGCAAACAAAAGAGACGTTGAAAATGTCTCGCATGCTCTGTGATCGATCGAAACGTGTTTTACCCAACGCCAGGGAATTAAAGCAGAGTACGCGGTAAGAAGGATCTGGGTCAAGAAATTGAAACCTTCGTATACAATGAGGTATCAATTGAAAGTAATTCCGGGATATGTACTCTGTTTCGCGTGACTCCTTGTCAGAGTCTAGTGCGAATCTAACGTGTTGCAATTCTTTGTTATAATTTGTTTACAATCTTTTCTTTCCTTTTTATCTTACCGAAAAATCTTCTTTACTAACTACCGTATAATATAATCATATTTATAGAAGTTATATTTTTTCCTGTTTGCTCGCGATTATTTCGATATATATCATCTTGAAAAATTTTTGTCAAGTACCTTTTATTTATTTTTCACCGGTATTTTCGCCGGTATTTTCACCGGCACAACGATATTAACGATAATTTCTAATGTGAAAAAGGTGCTTGCGATTGCTCAAAAAACATGAAACTATAGGAATGATTTGCATTCCTATATTCCTATTCCTTCTTAATCGATTTAATTTGCAACTGTCAGTTATTATCGGTACGTTAAAATTAATTAACGCGTCAATTGTTGAAATTGTAAAACGTGAACAACAGCAAATAGTATGTATACGTATGTAGTAGGTATGGTATAGACGGATTGACAGAAATTGTGAGATTTACGATTCGAATTGCGCATTAGTTGATCGTTATCCAATTAAAGATTGTCTAAAAGGTCACTGGTTCTCTTCCTGTATCGGTATTTTCTCTCGTGAGGCAATCAGTTATCAAAACCGCATTTCTATTTGTCAAAGCAATAACTGTGACCATACTTTTCCAGCAACTGTTGAAAAAGATCAATGTGTATATGTATAAATGAGAAAAGAAAAATTCTGCCCAACGTATCGATATGCGTTCGGAAGTATATACATACACATCGTATATAAATTATATTTAGATGTAAAACCGAGGGGAAATAGCGCTAATGGTAGTTTAGAACTTATGTTTAAAACTTATGCAGCAGGAACATAAGAGAGTTCTATCCATACACGTTCTATCATTCATAGCGTAATGATGTCTCTAAAAAAAAGGAACCAAGTAAATCCAAATTACGGTATATAATTATACTGAAATATATACTAGTACTAAATCTTGGTTCGATTTACATATATGTACATATACGTATAGTTTCATCGAATACTGTCAAGTGGTAGAACGGTGGGCGAACGAAGCAGCAGCAGCTGTTGATTTGTTTGTCATTGTGTGCTAACTATGCTACATCATCAATGTGTTTTGTATCACCTATGATTATTAGATAGTAGATGACTTTGCGCACTGTTCACAAGTTGTTGGCGTGCGAAACCAACTTCTCGGGACAGATGCATCTCGTTTCCGTTCGTTACATGCTTACCCTACTTATTTATCGCAGTCGATTCAATAGCAAACAAGTCTTGTGGAATTTTGTTGATAAATCGAGAGTATGTACGAATAATCGTCTCGTTCTAATCCAGCCTCCAAATAAATCGGGCACCATTTATTTATTTACGAACAAGTTTCATTGAACTTTCCAACATTCCCTTTTAACTTTTTATTCATGATATTTTTCGCGAATACGCTTACTATACTTTACGTTATTATTATTATGTAGTTATGTAGTTAAATTGGAAAATTTACGTGTTAGAAAAACGAAACGAAATTTAGGAATTTGATCATTACCGGAAATTGAGAAATAACGTACGTACACATTCCGAACGATACATTTAATGATGCGTGTGCTGTGCGTGTGCGTGTGCGTGTGCGTATATGTGTGCGTATATGTATGTATGTAGATAATTAGAAAGCTATATTTTTTAAATAATCGAACGTTTCAGATTATATGATTATAATAAACTTATATGCGTTGCTTTTTCCTATGATCTTGCTATTACGCGATTATTAGTTGCCTTCGTTCACAAACGATGTACGAACGGTTTAAACTTTTTATTCACGCGTAGTACGTAGCGAAACAAACCATATGTCGCTATAATATAAGCTTTGAAACAACTCTATGTATCCTCCGTAACGATAGATAAAAAATATCATTTACCTTTTACGTAGTATTTTTTCGTATTAGCGATCATTGGCAGTTTCGATAACCTAATTCATGTTACGCGTGAAATGTACGATTTATATTTGTTACTTCTTTGCAGTGAAGACCGAAATAAAACGAATGTATGAACATCGAACAGTTTATGATCATTTCATATGAGTTGCTCAACGTGCTAAAAATACATGTAACAACGGGGATTTAAAGGCGCACTCTTCATATATCGGAGTTGATCTGCCGTGAAACGATCAAAGGCAGGATACGCGCGCTGCTAGTTGTTCTATTTCTATGTCGAACAACCTTCCCTTTCGTCCCACCATGGTCGGCTTGATCATTCTCTTTTTCATCGCTCTTTTCCTCTCTTTTTGTCGCTTTCGAAACGATCCTAAAGCTCATTTATCGGAAAAATTGTGTGTCGTGACGACGAATTTTCCACTCGATCCTTATAATCGATTAATTTAGTCTTGAGTAGATTTCTACTTTAAGAAGTAAAATGTTTCGCGTGCTTATCGATATGGACGATTACAAATATTTCTTCAACGATGCTGTATGTTTGTTCAGCTTTCTTTCTGACAATTTATCTCCTCATTTTTATTTTCTTTCATATTAATTTCTGTGTAATGCCGTCAGACACAATTATTGATCTCTCGTTAATATCAAAGATCGATCCTCGACTATTGTATAACATTACGATTATACGAGTAATTAATGTCTGTTTTTCAAAATACACTTATCTTAAGCCTGTTAAATATCCGTTCTGTGTCGTGCAACAGTTTAAGGTTATCGAACATACGGTGGTTTCGCTTTCAATAGTCAACGATGGTCCTGACACTTTTATAAATAAAGAAGGGTAGACAAGATGAAAGAGAGAAGACACGGAGAAATGAAGAAATAAAGGTTAAATAAACGAGCGCGATTTCTTTGAAATATATACATACATATGCAGGTATTATGACGTTGGTCATTGGAATGTTATGGATCTCCTAATAACGAAAGGATATTTCGAGGAAATGTATGATTTGATAGAAGAAAAGATGGCCTTAAAGCGTTATTGAAAACGGCATATTAATCGCGATAATTTTCATATTAAGATCGGAGGGTATGCTGCAATATCCTTTAAAGATATAATAGAGAAAAACGCTAATGTTCGACAAGATCAATGAAAAGAAAAACAATGCGATAATTATTACTACTATGTCCTGTGATATCATTCCTCCCGATATTTCAATTAATTGTAACGCTATATCTGTGACTGTTCGTTCTACTTCTAGACAGAATCGTTTTACTTCTAACAAATTTATATATATTTATTAAATATAAGTATCACTTTACTTGTTATATCGACATTATTTATTTGTTATATCATTAAAAAGCTTGAGTAACGTTATTAAGATAATTAATATCTATTATTCAATTAAAATGCTGAAAATTTACATGCGTATACGTATGTTCGGTAATCGACAGAATGAAGCGTAAGAGATATATGTTTGTATGTATGCATATAAAAAATAGATCTTTTATCACTGTATCCTTTTCACGGATAAACGATTGTGCTAAATAAACATTGTATTTTGTTTGTCCCGCTAAATCTATACAAATCATTTGCTGCAATTAAACCATATTACAGTTGAATATAGTGTCAATCAGATTTTCCGTTCATCGTCTATACATATATGTACATAATTTTCTTTATCTTCTAAAATAATCTTAATTTGTCGATAATTATTATTTAATAATGAAACTTGATCTATTTCTTTTTTTTGTCCTTAATTCTGTGAATATTTATTATTTATGTTGTCCATAAAAAAAGAATAAAGGAAAGAAAGAAAAAAGAAAAGAAAAGAAGATACGTTCATCTACATTCGAAAACTCAGATGCATTTGTTGTACTATATGTACAACTGAAAAAATTACCTCTATCGGACATAACCTTAAAAAGTTTGTTTTTTAACAATGTAAAAATCAAACCTGTACTTTCATTTTTGAGAGCGAAAACAAGTAGAAAGGAAGAAAAAGAAAGAGAAGCAAGAGAAAACAAAAGGATAAGTAGCAAGATACAATTCTCATGTTACACCTCATTTTCAACAATAAAATATAACATTTACGAGAAAAACATATTTATCATATGTACGTAGTCTTATAAGATGAATGCGCACGCGAAAAAAAGTACTTATCGTTTCGTCAACCTTTGAACCAGGAAATACATCTCTCGCTTCCTTTTTTGATAATTTTATATAGTTAACCGCATGTTATAATCGCATTACCTGTCTATGTGTGTACAATCTTTTGGTTTGCAACACCAGTCCTTCTTATATAATAAATTAATAAAACTAATGTTAATATACAGTTTCAAGTTTAATTGAAATAAAATTTATTACGTAAGAGATTATATATATATATAAGTGTATATATACATATATATGTATATATACACGCGTGTGTGTGTGCGCGCGCGCGTGTGTGTCGAAAATAATCAGTTTCAAAACATTATTTGTAAATTATTATAGAACATGGAATAAACATAACTTACCACGGCACAAATAGAATCGGTAATGGATTCTAGTTTTGGATGAATGTAATAGAATAGATTATACGTTGGACAACGTGCGACAGTATACAATACGAAAAAAACGAATCTAACTCCAATCTCGGCTGCTGTCAAGGCGACACTGAACAACCCCCTTCGGAGTGTTCTGTTATGACTTGCGTTAGCCGCCGGGTACTATGAAAATCAACTTCCCTTTAAGGAGCGTGCGCAGCATTATTTATTTTCCGATAATGCGGTCGATTGTATCTGTATAACGGCACATTAACTTTCTTTCACCTATTATGCTATTCTTGCATGCAATTCAGAAAATATAGACACCAATTATTATTAACACTGTTATATGTATATGTTCAATAATCAAAATATAGTGTGCGATTAAATATGCGTAAGAATTTGAATACAATGATAGTATTTGATAACGATCATCTAGTGTAATAATTCAATAATTTTCAATAACTATACAGTTATCTAGTGCAAATTCCACCTGATTCATAGTTGATCGATTTCATTATAGTTCTTTTTCAAACTAATCTGATTGATAAATAGAATTATTAAACTAGAACAAGATAAAATTAATTTGCTACAAAACAAAGTAAACGATTAACCGTTTATAATTAGTATGGAACATTGTACATTTTCACCAGTATCGATAATATATTACTAAATTATACAATTTTACTATTAATAAAATTTATTTTTTGATTATAATTAATGTGGATGGACGAGTTTTGTATCAATTTATAACAGGTTCCATGTAAAAATTTCATTTCCTTCCATTTTTCGCCCTCCCCCTTCCCCCTCACTGCTGCCCTCGACCAACACATCTTTCCCTTACTATTTCCTTTTTTCATCCATTTCATTTCTTGTACTCTCCAAAGTACAGTACAGTACGTTGTTCATTATTTTCGTAACGTTATATCATTTTTTTTTTAGAAACGTCGTGTCGTTATTCACTCGTATAATTGCAAGTTATTTAACTAGGCGACAGGTAAATCCGCTCATTTCGTAAAACAGAATTCGTGATTTTACATGTAAAGAGATAAAATACCAAGACTTGTTTGTTATTTTAATATAAAGGGGAAACATAAAGAATACAAATAACTTTCCTTTATAGTCCAATACATGCATAGCTTTTCAAATGTACATTTGTTCGTAAATGGATATGTTAATCATCTGGAATTGGCATTTTTCTTGGTAAATATATAATGAGACGCAATTATTATGAAAATGTTTAATCGATCTTTTATTGTATAAATATATCACCACATAATGTTACTATAAAATCATGTCCGCGAAACGAGAGAATATAGAAAGAAAACTGAAAGATACAAAATAAAAGAGGAGAACTGACAATAAAGACGAGGAGCAAAATCAAAGATATATAAACAAATTGTAACTATATTATCAAGAAAATTGTATGATAAGCATAAAAGTGGTGAACTGTCAGTAAAATATTATTAGTTAGAACGATAAACAATTGATATACAGTTCTCCCTATCGAGCGTTTCCACGCTTTACATCGTAATTCACATGGATATTAATCAACACTATCGACATCAGCAATATTAATGCCAATGTTCTTATCTTGATCATCGCAACGAATGCTACTTGCTGCCGTTTATATGACGCAGTAAAAAATATATCTTTTAAATTTCTTTAAAATTCCTTTACAATTATTATTTCATAATCATTAGAACAATGGCAATTTGTGAAGATCGTTTGTTTTCCTTTTATATCAAATTGAACTGTTTTTTTTTTATTCAGTCGTAGCCGTACATCATTATTAAGAATAAGCGTAATGTTTTTATTTATTTCTTTTCTAATATAATCGACAATTTGTACATTAATCGTCTTGATTTCCAAGCTCTTTGACAGCAAAGTTATTCGAACATAATGCTTGAATTTTACTTTACAATATTATTATATAGAACATATTTCAGGCTTCTCTGAAAAAGTGAATAGTAATAGAAAACAGTAACACAGTCGAATAACTGACTATGAAACATATTTTCTTTCTTCCTTTTTCCTTTTTTTACCTCTAACAAAGATTCTTCCTTTTCTCTGAAACTCGCCTGCTCAACTTCCACATAATTATTTACAATATTATCTGACTTTCCTAATTGTATTTGCTTTTATGGCAAGTACGGAATGTTATATTTCACGAATTTCGCCTCTATTTTTTATGGGAGAGAAAAGGGGAAGGAAAAAGTACATAGCTTTCTGTATACGTGTACGCGAGTCGTGTACAAATTATAAATACGAACGAATTTTTTTTCTAATCATTTCAATTCAGCACTTGCGCCTTTATATTTTTTCCTCACAATGCGGAATTGAAAATGAAGTATCATGATCACATTGGTTATTACTATCGTTAACAGAATGAAGAAACAATAAAGGAAATGTATCTAAAACGTACAATAGTGTTTTTAATTTAAATTTTTGTAGCTATCGTTTGCATATTTAATAGTAAAGATTTCTTGGAAAAGAAACTAAAAATTAGAAATATTAAAGTCAACAACCATCGAGAAGTACATACCCTTAGGCTACCGTTCTTAACAATAATAATTGTTTGGAAATATTATTCTACGGAAAATTACCTAATCATCTCTCTTCGTCGTTGCTTACTTTCAAATCAGTCGCGAATATCGCAAAATCTATCGTTGTATGTCTTATCGTTAAATATAATAACCGCAAAATATATAATATACGACATGTAGATGATGCGTGCATATCTATCATCATCGCATTCAGCGACATCTTATACACCTAATTTTTAGAATAATAAACACGAAAGACATATCTCATCAACAATACCAAGTATAAAACATAATATAAAATATAAAGTATAAGACACAAACCATAGATCATAGTACATTCATTTTATTACAACGATTTCATGTAATAAAATTTCTTCGACTCGTTACTCTACTTTACGAATGTTATGTATTGTTAAGAAAATTTCGCCAATTGTCGTTTTAGGGATATTTTTTCGTACGAATTTCGCAGCATAACAATAGTCGGTATCAATATCGGATGGGTTGCCAAACACCGGTAGTTTCGTCTCGACGATAATAATGAGGTCTATTATCACGGAAGACGGTGACGGCCGGGAATTGATTATCCTGTATATACTTGAGCGTGGCTCGTACCTAAGACAGATTATTTCGATGAACGTGAATGGAAAAATAATCGCACAATAGAATAGAAACATTTGTCAATGGCAGATCTTGCCATTCGAAAACGCAGTTACATCGTATTACCTGTGACACAAAATGTGGAAGTTCTACTTCTGGGCAAGTCGAAAGATGTTGAAGAATAAATTGATCTGACTGAGCTAACCAAAGGTCGACTCCTCTTAAAGGATCGTAGTTGAACGGGCCGATTCTAAGTAAACCAAGTGTACAGTCGTAAACATCCAGAACCTGTAAAAGGAGAAAATATTATCGATATAAATAATATAAAAATTTGGTGTACTATTATACAATTTTGTGTGATTTAGTATACTATGGTAAACAACGTAAATTAGATTAAACAAGATTGTACTGAAATTGCATTTACGTATACTGCGATCCCTTGGGGATAATGACATACGTACTTGTTGACCTCCGGTTAAATGTCTGGCGCATCTTAGCGCCTGATCAGGTCCTTTATCAGGGAAGGTTGCAGGAAATATCTCGCCCGTTTTCACATTCAAACCGATACCATATATTACCGGCCAATGAATGCCACCTCTTACTGTTGTGTTCAATTCACCCACGCAACATAAAGTTAAGTCGATTTCGACTGGTTGTTTGTGAAATGCTGGGAGAAAGATAGAAGCCTTACAAAGAATATTGCAAAACAATTCTTCGGAATAATTCCTTGGATCGGAATAACCACCGACGAGTTGTAGTTCTAAACGACCCTCTGGAAATCCAAGGGCGAGTTCGGTTACCCTTTGGATCATCGCTGCTGCTGCATCTTCCGTACCAGCTCCATCCAGATGCGCTAACGCTGCAGCACCTGAACCTAAACACCAATAAACGAACCTATTAATGCTGGCATGTGTACGTGGTTCAACGTATTTTGTTTAAATAAGTCATTTGATTTCTATTTTTAACATGACAATACTAACAAATAACGCAAATCCTTATACTACGGCTTACCGGAGTGCCTCACAACGACAATTATACAGGTTGTCATATCATCAGAGCCAATAATGCTCACGTTTTCTGAAAAAGAAAGATTAACAAAAATTTTTCAATTGATGAGTACGATACGATTCTGCCAGTTAAATACAGAGATAAAAATGAAATGAAAATGGAATAATAATGAATTAGTAATATATGAGGTCATATTGCATATCAATGTTGAAAAGATGTTAATTTTCTTTTTTTTCATGCACGTACGTACGCACGCATGCAGGTACACATATACGCACGCAACAGACGCAAGAAGAGAGTATCAATTACAGAGTATCAATGAATAAAAAGGATAGTGTATCAAATGAATAAAAATCATTACTGTCGTGTGGTAAAGTAGCGGCCATTTCCCGTTGACGTACGTAAAGGAGACCCATTGGACCCATCAATTTTGCCGGCATCGAATGAAGTTGTGCCGCTGTTTCACGATATACTGGGTGAGCTGCGTACAAAGATCTGCTATCTGCTGGAATGTCCTCTTGTAGGACCCCGTTTACTACTAGCACCATCTTGTCTACTCTAAATGAGCACATAAATAAAGAAAATATACTTTTCAATTTGCTTCACTTGCGAACATAATATTAGGTTTCGTTTGAAATCAAAGATAGTACTAGTGATGAATTATACTGGTGACTTCATAGTAAACCACAATAAAAATGACATTACGCAAGGATATATTTTGTAACTCAAAACTGTTAGATTGAGATACACAGATAGTTTTGCGAAGTATACATGTATAACATTGTCAGTTTCTATATCAATATTCTCCTCACTGAAGAAATGATAAATTGTCGATTAATCGAATACCTGATTAAACCTAAATATTGAAGCAAAAAGGAATACAAAATGTGTAGCATTTCTGTTAAAATTCGATAAAACAGATTACAACTTATCTGGATCTATGATCTGAAACATGTTACATTAAAGCGAGATCAAGAGATCGAAGATCAGCGGCAAGCATTGTTGGCACTCAGACTCTGTCGTTTGCGTTAATCGTGTTAACGATAAAACCTCGGGACAACCGTGCCAGTCAACCAACCAGCCAACCATCCAGTCAACCAGCTAGTCTGCTTCTCCTCCTAACTTACTCGAAAGGTTAAGGTCATTTGCCTCGAATGACATTTTGCGTTTAACCTTTCGTTTGTTTAACGAGATTACTAACAAACCGAGAAATGAAACTAGAGTGCGATGCTTTCTCGAGGCGGATCGCACGGCTGTCTTCCGAAGGGAGGTCCTATTCAAGCGTTTGCTCGATTCTGATCCTTTATCTATAAAATTGACCAATTTTGCGAATATTTTCCTTTTTCCTAATATTGCTATTTAATAAAAGAATAGAAAGGAAGCAAGGGCAATTTCAACGATTAATTTATGAATTCGAATAACGAATATAATAACAAAATATATTTTATACAGTATCAAAATGTTTCGATTAGTGTGAGCCATCATGTTTTTCCTCGTGTTTCCAGATATATTACGTACAATTGGAATTATATTACGAAATTCTCTAATATGAAACTAACAGATGGGGAGGGAGGAAGGGTAGGGAAAGGGAGAGAGAGAGAGAGAGAGAGAGAGAGAGAGAGAGAGAGAGAGAGAGAGAGAGAGAACTGAAATAAGGTGAACGTTTCACTTCGATGTTTTTTTCATCTTTTCATAAATCTCACCTTGTGAAAATGCTATAAGATGATTACGATCTTCAAAACGGATAAAACTTTTCTTGATCGAAATCGTAGTGCTTAAAAGCGAGTTAGCAACGTCTAAAACAGGACTGCTTGGTAAAGCTAAAGCACCGTTGTTGTGTTAATTGTTTGTTAATTGTTAGTGAAATCGAAATTTATTTGACTAATTTTAATCGATAATGGACGCATTGAAATTATATATGTGTTTGTGTATATTGATGATATTCAAAACAACACAAGAAGCAGAGTAACATCGAAGAACTTTAGAGCAGGAATTTGATTCATCTTTGGTAACTTAAACGAATATATAGGTAGGAGAAGCGTGTTGTTTCGCAAAATTGGACGTTGTTTGGCTCACGTAGTTTATAAAAGACACACAAAGACACACGAAGTCGAAAAATAGTATTATTCCATTGAAATGTTTAATCGTAGTATATGACAGTTGATCGACATTTTCACGGGTCGGTGTAATTCCTTGAGTTTCGTCGAATGCACAACGTCTACGTGACAGAATAATAAATAGCGATTCGATCGCAAAGAAACATTCAAAAGGACATAGATCCGAAGTCAAGCACACGGCTACGACTAAAGCATTCACGACGACGTTTCATTCAATCGTCGTCGCGGTTAAGCTGAACTCATTAACAAATCGCGCTAATTATGGCTTCTATTATCGGTTTAAATGCCGATTGGTTGATCGGTGCGATCCATACTTCAATAGTGGGATGGGTTAAAATCCAGCCGTGACCAATCGAAACGGGTGGTACCGATCAGATATCGAGTTGCCGCCGTCGCTGCTGACACCACTACCAAGAAGAATAAGAAAATAACATGTTTGCTTCGCTTCTATCCACCTTCTCCTCTTTCTCCTTCGCTCTCCTCGTCCATCATTAACCTCCACGATCCGTGGTAGGCTTTAGAATCAAAATCTCCTTTAGAGTGCACTTTTTTTTCCTCCATCCCCGAATTATATAAATGATTATACAGATATTTACAGACAATTTGAATATGTTAGCATTCTTATTTACTTTACATCTAGTATTTCATCTTCCACTCTTATTACAGTTTATCGAAGCGTTAAAGTTTACCTTCACTTTGTATCATAATTTGAATAGGAAACTAACATGTAGTAAACATGTTTGAAAATAATAGGAAGAAAGGAGACAAAAGAAAGAAAAAAATGAATGCAAAGAAAGAAGAAAAGGAAAAAAGAAAATAGAAAAAAAAACGTGCGTAAAATGAACCGTAAATACTTCAATGCTAATTACTTATTACGAGTTAAAAATATGATAAATTATTGACTGAACCAATAAGAATCAAAAACGAAAGATAAATATCGGAATAACGATGCGTTCAGATTGCGCGTGATTACATAAACTGTATTTTAATGACTTTTATCTCGATCGGTCCACATAATTTATTCTTTGATATATCCAACCTTTCTTATCTTTTACAAAAAATCTTTTCCTTCCTAACGTGTCCTCGGATAAATATCTTCAGAGTTGAAAAAATCCATTTTTCTCCCTGTTTCCTCCTTTTTTCATTTCTTTTAGAATACAGTTGAGAGAAAGGAAAATAATATGTACATGCTTGAGGACATAACGACGATATGTAAATCGTTTTTGTCTTGTCTCGTTGCTTCCTAATTAGGTGTTTGCGTTAAAGTAAATTCTATTGATTCAAGAAAAATCATTTCGATATGGCAAAACACGTACGTTTTGAATCATGATTAGTAAAAAAAATATCGATTGCGAACGGTCATTCTCGTCATCTTATATCGTGATGATTAAGTAGATAATTATATTAGATTTACTATATTATATACAATTATCAAAAGAGGACAAAATGAAAAGGGCAAATGCTACATTTCGTTCGTTCGTTCGTTCGTTCGTTCGTTCGTTCGTTCGTTCGTTCGTTCGTTCGTTCGTTCGTTCGTTCGTTCGTTCGTTCGTTCGTTCGTTCGTTCGTTCGTTCGTTCGTTCGTTCGTTCGTTCGTTCGTTCGTTCGTTCGTTCGTTCGTTCGTTCGTTCGTTCGTTCGTTCGTTCGTTCGTTCGTTCGTTCGTTCGTTCGTTCGTTCGTTCGTTCGTTCGTTCGTTCGTTCGTTCGTTCGTTCGTTCGTTCGTTCGTTCGTTCGTTCGTTCGTTCGTTCGTTCGTTCGTTCGATGGATGACTGGATAAACGGCTGGCTAGCTGACTGCGCAGATCAAGCCACATGGAAATCTATTTGAAAAGTAGCCATTACCTTAATTATTGGCCTTTCGTAGAGAGGCTATGTGCACGTTAGCCACAACACGGTGCGTGTTCGTCGGTTCTCCTCCGTACTTTACAATCAGCTAGGATTTCCTTTTCACGACATACTTTCTAGAGTTTCTCGTAAACTTTGCAATTCAAGGTGACAAGAATATGCGAAATAATACAAATGTTATATTACTTTACACAAGCACTTTTCAATAAAGATCTATAACCAAGTGAAAGAAAAGTTATACGAAAACCTTTCACAAATGAACCAATGTTAATAGTAATTACAGGATTAAGAACGAAATAAAATTTGAACAGTATACGGGTAAATATTTGACACATGAAGCCGGCAAATGCATATTTTTTTTCGATCGAAACCTTTCTTATCCACACGATCTTTTTCGAGGGTATAATTTAGAAACGGCATACCAGAAACTTCGTATCCGCTCCTCCTCGCTCTTTCTTTTCTGTACCGATTACTCGTAGAATGCACGCCAATTACGTAGTTACACTCGCACCATGTTACATGTACACCTATATACAAGCGAGTGTAATTACACAGCTAGGATGCGGCCACGCAGTTATTTATTTAAACGTGCAAAGGGCCGTAGCTATTAACGAGTGCCTTTCCTCGAATCACCTCTTTCTCTATGGCTGGTATTCTAATGACCAGTGATTTTACTGGGAACCTCTAAGAACAACCTAAATGACTACGCGACTTTGCTCAAACGAAACGAGTATATATTTTCATTCGAATGATTTCCTTCTTTCTACCACTCCCAACCACCGGCCATCTTCCACTACTCACTCATCCTCATACCTCTTACAATCGATCAAGATCCTTTGGTTCTCCGCGACGGAGTAAGCTTTCTTTTAATATTTCTACCAACACGACATCTTGGTTCAATCGAAGAGAGAAGTAATTAAGTTTAAAGAATGATCTTACACTGATACTTATAGTATATACAAGTATATAACATGCGCGGTTTAACAATTAATCAATTGATTTAATTAAATGAACAATTACCATTATCATTGTTGTTATCAAATACAGATCCCGTTGGATAATCGGACCTCGAAGTCCCTGATATAGCAATATGGACATTATCACCTCTAATAGTGTCCAAGATTCACGATCTTCTAAACATAATGCTACACGGCGTGATTAACGTTTACAGTAATATTATCGCAGGAACGCAAAATTATAGCTAAATCGTTGAAACGTGATACATTGACATTTAGCAAAGTTGCGAAATGAGCAAAGTGAGAAAAAACAACATATTATTACAACTGCAATGGTAAAACATAAGTGTAATAATTAGGAAAATGTGTAATATATTATTCTAGTATTTCGAGTCCACTAAGCGAGAAAGATCAATGGAAAATTTCTCGTCGTCGATTCGATTGCACATGTCACGAGTGAAATGATAAATTATTATTACCAACGGAGAACTGTTTACGCGAAATAAGGAGGAAGCAAAACGAGAAATCAAGTAAGAAAATCGAATCGTTTCACGATAGCGACGAACGAAAAAAGAGGTCATCATAATTTAGCAACGCGTTTTATCTGCGATTAAATTGAGTCGCGACCAACGATTGCGTTGTAACGATTATTCGATATAGAAAATTTCAATCTAATTTCTTTCTCCTCTTGCTCGTGCGCACAGTAATCTTATTTAAAATAACGAATCTTTCCTTTTGCAAACTACGTACATAGAAAGTGCGGAAATATAAATGAAAATTGTCAAATTTCCAATGGTTAAAATTGCTTTGCCATGCAGACGTTCAATTTACACTGTTATAGAAACATATGCGAAATTGTCCCATGTGTTTTACGATAGAAAAAGGTAGTGTATAACGAGAAGCGGGTCACCCTATCGTTATGCGTTAACCAATTTGAAATAGAAATTTTTAAATATCAGAAGAGTAGGAAATATCGCGACCAACGATCACCTAGTAATATGCGTTGAGACAATCTTCTTCGTTTATTTTTTCATACTTGGATAGTTATCAACGATATGACGGATTTGTCAATAGGTCTGTACTTTATTTACTTGGTTTCATCAACATTCTACAGAAAACGGTTGCTTATTACAACTCTAACTATTCAATATACATAGTATATGTATATATATACTTACGTCTGCGACGTGCGCAGATTCTGAGACTTGTGAAACTATTGAACGCGAACGCTTTAAATCTGTTCAAACTATCACGAACAAAACACTTTATATACGAATAGTATAAGAGTACTTGGTATATTTTATTACGTTTTACTGTGTCTTATCACTATTTAACACGCTTCATTACATTTTACCATATTTTTTTAAGTTTAACTACAAATCTGCAACAAGTTCGTTGTACCACCACCGTTGCCATCGTGGATTTTCGCTGTGAATAAAGGACGGTGATTGTATCGTTCTGGTCATACGTTTCACAACGAATTTAAACTCTCGTTGAACGTATAATACTTACGTATAATCCGAGATAGAAAATTTATCGAAAAGGTTATCAACGGAAAGCGAGCAAAGGACATTCTAGCTCATCGATTTGCCTGTTTTTATCTAAGTATGACGGGCATAAATAATTACTATTTACGATTTGAAGCGATTCTAGCAATTGGTTTTTTTCCTCCTTCTAGATTATAACGATCTTTCACGAATAAAGGACCAAATCATTTACGATAAGACTAACTGATACAAAAATGTGAGTATTTCGGTTGCATCGAAGAAGAATCGATTATGAATCGAAAATAGAAAAATTAACTATGCACATGCACGCACATATGAAACAGTTTAAAGACGATTCGTTATTTATTTAATATGTAAAGCAATTAATCATTCAATTGTATATTGTTCGTGAATATTCTAAAACGATACGTGCAAAGGGATGAGAAAAACAGCATTATATATACCAAATAACGAATTATATTTCAAAACCATCGATTAATCCCCTGATTCTCTTTTTCTTCCTTTTTCTTTTCTAAATCGAATCAAATTGAATCGAATCATATAGAATTGAATATTTGTAATGTAAAGAGGAAAAAGAAATAAATATATGGAAAAAAAGAAAAATAAAGAAAAAAAGAAAGAAAAAGATAAAAAGAAAAGGCAGCCAATTATTTCTTCGACTTCTGTAGTTAGGACTATTGAATTTATGGTTTCTTCTTGGACGAAGGTTGGACGAAGCGGGGTAATGATAACACGTATAATAAACGCAGTTAGATAACACGGATAGCGCATAAGTTACTGTAAACCGATAAACGGCGCCCAAATATGTAAAAATGGATTTAACAATGCTCGTCACTGAAGGCAAAAGAACCACGTATAACCACGTGATGGTATAATGGTATAATGCATTGGACATTCGAGTATACCGACTCTTTGATACTTCATTTACATGTTATCTCGCTAATTATTGATTCACGCTCTACCCAGTACTTTTCGTTAGTCATAAAACCCTTTTTTTCAACTAAATTTCGGTTAAACGATTAAAAAATTACTGTTACACGTATTGAGTCACGTGTTAATTAAATTTGGCTAAGAATACACACAATTTTTCGTTGGTTTCGATAAAAGAAGAAATTAACATAGTTGGCAAAATTGTAACAAACACGTGTTTGTGATACTCACTTTATATTTTTCTGAATATTTCTTCAGATCAATTGACACGTTCCTGCCGCCATTTTCGAAGAATATCCCACTCTTGGGTTTCACTTTCACCCTTTTCCTTTCTCACTTTTTTCTTCTTCAACTTGTTGCGCGATTTTTCTACAACAAGAAGAAATGCACAAAACCGGATTAAAGTATATGAAAAAATTCGATTTAATTGTTTGAAAAGACCTGATTGAACGAACTTTCAATCGATTGATTTCAAACAATTATTAAAAATTCTTTGCTTTTTCTCTTTAAATTTAGTTCGTTGAAGTTGTACGAAATGCTTTGATTTAATCTCCCGGCCCAAGTGCATGTATGAGTATCTCGTAACGCATAGTATACGCATGTTGTCCGAATGAAATGATGATGAATGATTCCCCCCCCCCCGCCCTCCTCTTCCTTATCCTTCTACTCCTACTCCTACTCCTCATCCTCCTCTACCCTCTCTCTCTCACTCTTTAGCCACCTACTACTTTCGAAGGAAAGTTCTAACAATTGAAATGACTCATCGCAAGTAACGGTAAATTGCAGATTTGTTCACTTCAGATTTCATACTTCACGAAGCATTTGAAAAACGAATTTTTATTGGCGCACAGTTGAATCACATTCAATTAAATACAAGGAAAGAGCTGTTTGTGTTTATTTTGCCTGGAATATGAAGAAGTGCAAATATACTATATAGGTATCTGCTGTTCAAGCCGAATCTTTCCTCCTCTTCGATTCTTTGCTTTCTTTCTTTCTTTGTGGTGATTAATGAGAAGAGGGATGGAGAGGGGAAAACGGGAGGAGGGAGGGGAAAGTGAAGAAAGAAGGAGGGAAGAGAGAAGAAAGAAGAGGAGAAAAATTATATGTATTATAATAACTATACGTACAACCGGTAAGTCGAATTTACATACAGTAGCCCAACAAGCTTGCAACCGACTGACTCTCTACATATTTATGCGTTACGACTTCCTTTGATTGTTTATAAACGTATTCGTTTATGTCGGTTGCACGACGTTACGGACATGTATTTTCTTCTTTCCTCTTTCTTCTAGTGCTTTTTTGCGCATAACGTGCAGAGCTAACTTGTGCGCGAGCTTTAACTTTCGGAATTCGTTCAGAACGCTGTTGCTTTGATGCGAAATCACTAACTCGTCATCAATCGCTGGATACGGAGAGACTAAAGAAAAGTGCAAAAGAAAATGAAACAAATATCAACAGCCATGCGCGTTGTCTTCGAAACGTACATTTCTCGGTATTGCGAATAGTAATGACAATAATAATTGCAGAATCACGCTAGCCTATCGAAAAATTGCGTCGTCACGCGTATTTAGTCTTTGCATATATATATACGTAAGTGTATAGGTGGAAGGAATACGGATAGGATAAGACGCGACGTGAACGTGAACGTGAACGCGTACGTATATACATGTGCACGTACACCACAAGCTAGTCCGCATTCCATGAGTGGAACAACCGGTACACGGTCCAGTGACTCTCAAGTCGCATCTCTGCAAGATGTGTTCGAACGGGATAGAATCGTTATGCAACAGAAGACGAGAGTCAGTGGCCCGGTGTATTCGCGGAAGACAAGCTGTCCTTCCGGGTCCTCTTTTCTTCTTTTTTTTTCAACTATCTCTTTCTTCTCTTTCTCCTTTTTATACTCAGTTCTTTCGTTTTGCCGAATTCACGAAAACACGCTTATGCTTTGTTGATCAATCGAAATCGAAAGTCAAATCGTAAGATGAGAGAAAAATAACGCGCAGATACCTGCTAGCTGCCATTCATTTTGCCTCTTATTTCCTAGCTTCCCAATATTTTACTCCTTTTATGCCTCTATGTGTCTCAATTTTACGAAACATAACATACACATTCAATCGCACTTGGTTCATCTTCTGATCAATACTTAACTGAGGAACGTCTCTTTGTTTTTTGCGGAATGTTATCGTTATCAGTGATTCTTTTCAATTTTTCAATATTTGCACAATACCCATCTATAGATCGATAACCAGTGGGATTCTTTCCTTGGAATATTACCGAAAATCTCGGTACGACGAATTGCAAAACTGAAATGTTAAAAAATCACTAGGTAACGTAATACGTTAACACAGCGAATCCTAGAGACGATTAATATCTTTGGGGCAATAATTTGCCTAAAAGGATAATAAATAGTTCCTAAACAGTTGCATAAACGATAACGATTAATCGATAAACCACGCCAAGGTATTATTTTTAGAGCAAGTGCGTATATCTAAATTTCTAGTACCAAACCACGAGCTAAGCTTAGACTCGAGTTTCTGATTTATGTAGACCCCGTGGGGAGTTCAGTTGCCAGGTCATACTACACACTATACGCTACACGTTACACGCTATGCGCTACACATTACACACACTGCATACTACACGCTGCACACTACGCACTATGCACTATGCACTACACAATACCCACTACACACACTACACATATCTTTATACTTGCTAAAACGCGCGCGTCCATGAACATATACGTACGTATAGCATATTTACATTTATTCCTGGCCTGATGCTACAAAGATATGCATGTACGCCAGGCACATTATTCTATTAGGCATATACGTGTTTTACGAAATATGCATCGCAGCATATGAATATGAACATCGAGTTACGAATACTACACAAAATCGTAATACGAGTGAATATATTCACACGTGTGCGTAACAATGCTTTAACGAAACATACCTATGCAAAATGTTTGCAAACGAAATTACATTTCGTATATTACATAGTAATGCTATAAATATTGATTAAACACCTACACGGTTTAATTCTAATCGTTCTTTATCGGATAGATAACTTGTAACAATGACAAGCTGATACCATGTACAATTTGTATATAATAAATTTGTTTGAAATCTTACTTGAGTATACGTAGAGAGAATTCTGTAGCCTGATTGAAAGAATGCTATATAATTATTATAAAGTATATAATATTTGTAATATTTAATTCATTTAAAATATATAATGTCAATTTCATAACTGTAGATTATTTCATAGTAGTAACGATATACTTCAACAAGTACAATTGCATGATTAACTTCTATAATTCACTCGTATTTGCGTAGATTTCGAGTTATAATTATTATTTAACTTGACGTTTAATTAAATCAAAATAAAATTAATCAATGAAAATTCGTATCATATAATTAGTTGATAATTACGAAATCGATAAACAAAAATGCGAAAAAGAGCTGGGATAGTTCAAAATTTATTAAAAAAAAATACGACGACAGTCTAAACACGTGCTGTCGTGTATAAAATTGAAACGTTATGGAAGATGATGTTGAACGACAAGTAGCTGTCACAGATGAGCTAGCAGAAGAGTAAAAGGTTAACATCCTCTACTAGCCTTAAGAGTGGCTTAAGTCAGTTTGGTCTGTGACTTAAGAGAGATTCAAGTGTCGAGAGACTCATCTATCCACCATCACCATCACCATCACCATCATCAGCACCACCGTCACCACCGCCACCACTATCGTCATCAACACCATTATCATCATCATCAACATCGCCCCTGCCACTGCCGCCACCACCACCGTCTCCATCACCAACACCATCATCTCCACTACCAACTCTCCTCTCGTATTTTCAACTCCATCCCTCACGATCAGTCACCAGCTAGGTCTCGATACATTATTTCTATTATTACAATATGTCTTGTCTCTTAATGATTATTTAGAAAAATTAAAAATCTTACAACACCGAACAAGATATCTTTTTCTAACTATATATCTTCCTTCAATCTATTCTTAATAAACGATAGCTGCTACAGAATTTTAACGTGAAAGTAGAAAATGAGAATTCAATGGAATCAATTCGATGAAAGAGTTCTTCAGTCTGAAATGTTTAAAAATATTTTAATTATAGAAAAACGAGAATAATTCGTGATACATATTTTCATCCTAAACCGTGACTACATGAAATCTACAGTTGTAATTAGAGCGAAATTTGAATGATGAAATATTTTGTTTACCTTCTTCAAATACGACTTGCAACTTGAATTGATTAAATTTAATATCTAAAAATCTAAAAACGTATCTATGCCAACGAAACTAGGAACTTTCGTTGTAAGTAGAATTCATCAAAAGCATAGACTCAACATGCCACTTCTTAAAATATAGCGAAAACAGGTACTGAAAGATATTTTATGAAGTTTATAAAGGATAAAACAGATTCAGAATAGAGGATGAGGAAAAGACCAAGAATTCCGATAAAGATCTCAATAAAAAAAGATAAAATAATTTTCTTTTAAAAGAGAAAAATAAAAGTACAAAGGTAAGTAAGAGTCTGATAAAATCAGACGAACAAAAAAAAGGATAAAGGAAGAGAAAGGAAGGTAACAAAGCATGTTGAGAAAAAAGAGAAGGCAAAGGGAGAAAACAATAAAGAGAGAGAAATGTACAAGAGAAAAATGGTCTGTGAGTGAAAGGCTGAGAGACAATAAAAAGAACGAGAAAGATAAGAGAAAATAGAGGAAAGGAAAGAGAATATAGGCAAAAAATTAAAATCTAGCGTGCAAATAGAAGCAATAATAAGTCGATGATTCTGGCTAACGACAGGACACAGGTATGTGCGCGCGAGCGCCTGTATCTAAATGTACCTATGGATGCACGCACGTGGTGCAAGAAAACGCGATACCAGGCACACGTAGACAACAAGATACAGCCCCGAAGCCCCCAAGCCACGGTCAGATTAATGAAGCTCATTCGTACAGTGATTCTCAATCGTTAATCGATATCTCATAAAACTGTCTTTACTCGACAAATCAAATACTTTCCATGAAATACTAATAAAATTTGGGTAATACCACAACCAGCGAAAGCTGATAAAAAGGGATAAGGATAAACTTCATTTTAGCGGACATCAAACTTTTGACCTTTTTTTCTTTTCATACCATATATCTTTCATACCAGTATTTGCCGTATTTGTAGTATATGTCAATCCGAAAATATAAGTTTTAATAATCAAAGAGTTACAAATTTTATTTAAATTTTATTTTACTTTAAAACCAAGTTTAGCCGAAAGTAAGTAAAAGTTTGCTATAATAAGTATTGCAAAAGGAATACTTTCATCACGCCAACGTATAGACAAGTTTTTAAATTAATATTGTATAATCTCATCGAAGAATCGATTTCAAGTCAGCTCGATTCAAGTACGCGCTTTATTGCATCCAATTTGAAGAATGTGAATTCACATGCGTGTACACATATGCATGCAAGTATGTACGATCTTTTCGCATGATTTGTAATTCACGAACAATCAAGTTCGATCACTGATTTAGTACTCACGAGTATGGAAAGAGGAAAGGCGATTATTTTTTAAATAAAAGTTAATAAAAAATTGCTTCCGCAAACTTTTGCTTATTATTCATTCAATGGTAAGCGATTCTTGATTCCCAATGACTTTCCTTCTGATCGCAAAAAATACTGCAATTTAGATACTAACGGAATGTTAAAAATAATTTATCTCGATTATATTTTCCAAATATATCCATCATTGAATATCGTCCCTTCCGTTTGATCGGTCAATTCTGATTGATCGTAATCGGACATAAGCTAACTCGAGATCTATCGACCAATATATCGATGCACGTATCAATCCACGAAGCAATCTATCGAAAAATAACGATAAAAAGGCAAAAATCAAAGTGGAGAATGAAAAAAGAAAGAAAAATAAATTAATCAACGGATAATTTCTTGTCGATAAAGGAATGAATTGATACTCGATTAGTATCACAGTCACAATATACAACGTGACAATTTTCTCTACTCGCAGTCAGATTACATCGTTGCCTACTTCACATCATTTTTCTACTCGTGTACATACATGTACACATTTTTTATTTTATATCCAATTACATACCGTCAGTTTTCTTTCATGCATTTTTCAATGCGAATGGAACATAAACTATGCGAGGTTTATTTCCTTTATGCCTTTTTTTCCTTCAATGTCCTTTCTTAGAATATGCAAACGTTTTATGTATTTACATGTACCAACAGATCTACACTGTCGTGTAAAATTATAAAATCAAATTCTATATTCTCTTAATCGTTACGCGAGCAATCGGGGGACATTCCATCAGACCACTAAGTATCATGAATAGACATTGTAATAAATAATAAAAATTTGAAAAATGCAATTGAGCACGATTGAAAGTCGATGTGTTAAATCGAGAATTATTAGAGAACAAGTCAGACCTATGAAAATGTACAATAAAGGTTAAATATACGATATTTAATGAGCTCTCTACAAATTCAAACATCGATATTGAATCGATACCATCCTCACTGTAAACATCGTACCATGTTACTACACTCACCCCGTTAAAGAAGCTGATTGCGTCGCGTCCGTTATTTTGCTAACAATTGATGAAATGCTGCATGCCCAGCAATGTTGAACCTGCGCTGAACGGAACGACGAGAAGACGGCTATCGTAAAATCGTAGTTACGCAACAGGCAACTGGTGGGTATACACACGCGACGCAGTCGATCCGAAACGAAACGTCAGTGGACGCGCACCGTTATCGTCACTGTCAATGTTTTTGTCGTTATTGTCGTTCACATGAGGGAGCGTACACGATCAAGCATACGCACACGTGCGCGCGCGCGCACACACACACGCGCGCACACACACACACACACACACACACACACACACACAAACGCACGCACACACAAACGCACGCACACACACACGCGCGCGCACGCGCGCGCGATATAACTACCGACAACGAATCGTTGCGGATATATGAGACTGGACGAAGCGAAAGAATGGCGAGAAAAAAAGCCTGAAGATATTGAGAGAAAAAGTATGATAATCCTGGTAGGTGTGTCACTCACGAATCACCGCTTTCACACAGTCCAGGAAGAAAGTGTTGGGCGCTTTAAATGACAGTCAAATAAAAATACAACAAGATTGTAAATACGTCGCGATCCCTACGTTCTGTTTTTCATTACACTTGTTCACACAACGTCCGTATCGTCCACACTGGCACTTGTATCTCCACTCGACCTCGCCGTCGTGTCGTCGTCGTCGTTGTCGTCGTCTCCTACAATCTAACTTCGTCTGTTTCCGTCATTCTTCGACTTTTGCGGCAACAATGGCGCTTCTCCGCACACCTAAATTTCGTTTTAACACGCCTTAGTTTTAAACCAAATTAATTTATACAATGTCTTATTTCAGTAAATGAAAATAAAAATACTGTTTTACATTCAACACTAAAAATTACTCACAGCTTAATTTTTCAAAAGAATACAAAACAAAATCATGCAACCTATTTTACGTATCTTACTTTAATATTGATTTTAATATTTCTCAGGCAGATTAAAAATATTAACAAATCAATAAAAACAATTGCCAAATTCATCGCCGATATACGTTGAAAGAAATATTTCTATAACTAAATTGAAAATTTTGCAGAATTTTCAAAGTAAAGCAAAAAATGAAATAATGGAATTTGCATAATTGATGATTTCATAATACTACTTAACAATTTTAAGTAATAGCTTTGAATATAGCTTACTTTTCAGTTTATTTTCTAAAATTAACCTTCAACAGATGTGCATATTTGATTATACAAACGATAGTCGTATAACATATATTTGAGGGCGTGGTTGTAGTTGTTAGATTAGCTCAGATAGCGGAATCTACCGTATCGACTAGTGGCAACAATATTCTTCCCATATAATTTACTCTATGTAGATTGAAAGTTGTTTGTTACTGATTGCCTAGTATATGAAACAAGTTCAAATTCTACCAACCTCCTCCATATCTGCATAGTTACTATACAAATAGAATATATTATAATTCACTAAATATATTTAAATAAGACAAGAAACAAAACTCTTTACGTGTCATTCGTCAAGAACACAATAGCTTGAAAAAGTAGAGCAAACGTATAAGTATTTAATCAGAGATATCGAAGGCACGAATATACTGTATAAATATATACATATATATATATGTTTATATACGTTCGCATACAAATATTACATGCATTTACTGATGCCTTGCGCGCCATCTATCGGGAGAAGATGTTACAACATTTTATTAGAATTGTTTTGCCCCTCTATTCAGCTTTTGTGAATTTCATCGGTAGAGCCGAACGTGATTTGAAGATGGCGATACAAGAGTAGGGTTGAAGCGAACGCTTTGCAAGGAACTTTCTTTCTTGCAGTGACAGCTGAAATTCCGAGCTCCGTTAGGCCTGGTGAGTAAAGAGTGATACAACCATGAGAAATTAAACAAAACTTTCATCTCATTTAGAGATCCGATTACCGAAGAATAAAACTTGAAACCGGCTTAAGAGACTTGCATCGGTTAAGCGACGATATCTCGCGATGCGTACGTACAAACCATCTGTCTTTCCAGGCTGGGAAGTTCAATGCGGCGTACAAGCATGTGTTACGTCGCGATAAAACGAGAGCATGAATTCTATAGCGGGTGTTTCTATATGAACGGGAATATGCATAAACATACGGACGTACAAATTAGTCTTTGTGTAGAAGATCGTAAACCCAATGCAAGCAAGAGACACGTAATCCGATAAATGGAGAGAAATGGGTTATTTTTTTAAGTAAACGAATACGACGAATACGTGATAATTAGTCGCTTCGGAAAGACTCTATTACTATATCCTTAATTTGAAAGTTGAAACAGATATATATTATTGATTTGGACAAATTATTATTATTTGATTTGATAGAATAAAACAAAATTACTCAATAAAATTATAATTGTTAAATCGTATCGATGCCTGGAAATGGGAAACGGTAAACTGGAAAATAATAAAGAAATAAAAATTAATCAATGATATATATAAAATAATGATTTGTTCACGTAATTGGTAGATTGAAGTGTTTTGATTAGACTATTAGAGTATAACGTAAATCTTATGCTAACCAACAAGGATACTGATAAATTAAAGACAGCAAAGAAATACCTGTGGTATTTCCCTTGGTTTCTTTCAGATGGTGGCGGGTTCATTTTTCGTTCTAGTCAAGGAAACGATTTGATGAGAAGAGGCTGATGACTGCTAACATAATTTACTAATCGAGACGGAAATAAATTGCTTTCCCACATATGTGCACATATACATGTATGTCTCTCTCTCTCTCTCTCTATATATATATATCTATCTATCTATCTATCTATCTATCTATCTATCTATCTATCTATCTATCTATCTATCTATTTATCTATCTATCTATCTATACGTACACACGACATGCACATGCAAGCATTCACACATATACACATATGTAATTGTATTGCAAGTGACTATGTAATTGCAAATGTCTGAATGGTACTCTCGTTCTTGTGAATTTAACATATACATAATCTAGTCAAGAAGGGAAGACTTAATCCTAGTAAAAAGGAAATTATGACGTTTTGAGATAAATGAAGATCATGCGATGAACTCGAAGCATGCAAACGAAGCACAATAAGCGAATTAAATCAGGAATTTTGTCGAGATCCTATCTACAAAGTATTACGAGCAGAAGAGATGTTTCTAGAAAACCGAGAATCACGCATCGAATATCGCATATAAATAACAATACAGGTAACTTGATCGTAAAAAAATATAAATAAGTTTTAGATAGCCTTAGAATTTAATACCAAAGAGAAACATTTGTTACCAAAGAAATCGATAATTGAGTACTTTGGAAATATCAATAATGAGACGTGTGCAAACGCTTGCGATTAATCTTAGTACCGTTTTAATCATAGATGATTGCATTACTAATAGCAAATTAGTACCAAATTTTTACTAAAAATGATTACATACCAAATTAGTTTTTGTTTAAATATTCAAAAGTATCTATGTAATTAATATTGAGAGTTGGCTTTCATCGTTTATATGGCAGCGAAATATTGTATACGTTACAGCAGCAGTTACATACGTACACACGCACACACATAGAAAATTCAGATATTTTTACTGAGACGGTATGTTTTAATAGATCACATTATAACAATTAGTTACTGCCATCCTCTATCGGTAAATTCAAAAGTACATATTTTCTGACAAATGATAAATTCAAGCACAGAAGAAGAATCTTTTCGTTCATATCTAGCATGGTTAACACAGTTGATTTAATACGATTATCATCGAACGAACAAATGAAAACGAACGAATGAAAGAGAGAGAGAGAGAGAGAGAGAGAGAGAGAGAGAGAGAGAGAAAGAGAGAGGGGGGAGGGGGGAGGTTTGTGTGCGTGAGTGTCTATGTGAAAGAAAACGCAAGAAAAATTTTTAATTCTCCATGGTTTATCGTTTGCCATACAAATTGGCAAATATATATTGGTTCAGAAGAAGCAGTATACCATAATGAAGGAGGTAACCATGGAAGAAAGAGAAGAAGCATATAGTTTATCGCGAAAGTAGGGAAGATGATACATCTGTTTGAAAGAATGCTTGTTTCATGGAAAAATACGCATAACGAATCAAATGCTAAAATTCGCTTAAACTCGTGAATTCACTTTCAAAAAAGCGTATATAAAGAATCATGAGCTTTGCAAGCGATAGAAACAACTAAAAATGAGTCAATGTAGTAGAGGATAGGGATAATGATGGTTAGTGATAGAAAGGGATAATGAAGTGAGTCGAGTCGCAGGAGAGAAAAACAAGAGGTCGCAGACGGGAGAATCGGAGGAGGGTTGGAAGGACGAAAGGGGTATGGAAAGAGTCTGAAGTAGGGAAGGAAGGGTGTCTGAGTGGGCGGAGGGGTAAAATTCAGACTGATATCGACCGCGAATTGCGCTTGCGTGGAAAAAGGCGCGCAATCGCTGTTGAGGAAGTAACGTACTGCCGCGAGGAAGAGGCAGTCAGTCGATCGTCGCGGCGACCATCATCGACGAGTAACAATCTAGACGTTCTATCGTCGTTTTCTTATATGGCTGCCGTGGTTATTTCACGACCAACGTTCCTTCTTGCATTAATATCGATCACTTCATCGGTGAGAGGTTAAAGCACCGCGTATCTACATATGTAATACGCCGACCGATTATCTCACGTAAGCACTAAGCTGATTCCTTGACTTGCGCGAACGTATCAAACTGTTTTCCTTCAACTATCGCTTTCAGCGTTGTTCCATTTCTTCCGGTATCCTACCAACAGCCTCGGTGATTCCAATGCGCGCACCGACTAAACACGTATTTGCAGAAAGGTAACACGTGAGACGGGAAGTTGTTACTAGTAAGCATGCATCGAATTCGTAAGTAAGAAGAGGAACAAAATACGTTCAACTATTTCTACGAAATCAGATTTTTCCGTCTTTGTTCGTTATTTCATTTGCAACGTTTGGATAAATTGTAAGATACAGAATCGACAATTGCAATATTTTCGTCATGTACGAAAACTCATCTTTTAAACAAAAATAAACGTTTGAACGTATTACATTACAAATATTTGCTTTAAGCAACGCAGAAAAAAGTTGATATAGTAAGTTGGGAAGAAAAGACAAGGGAAAAAAGGAAAAGAGTGTGCGAAAGAAGGAGAGGAGAGAGGGGGAGGGAGAGAAACGCAAACAAAGGGTGAAAAGAAAAGGAAATATTGGAACGATAAGAATACGGTAACTGACTGTGTAGTTATTTTATGAACGGATACACATGCTTCATTGCCTTTATTGATTCTAGTTCTTATTACAAGAAATAAACCAAAAGTTTTTTTTGTACGAACCAAAACCAAAATAGAGTTAATCATGAATGCGTGGCATGATTTCAAGATTGATGGGGGGGGGGGAGTGATAAGTTACGAATATCTGTATGTAAGATAAAAGAAGCATAAATGACCACGCTCGATATGCAGCAAACCGTTTTAAGTCAAGTAGCGGGAAACGAACAACCGCAGCAAGAAGAAATTCAGCTGACGGAATTATTACCGGTGAAACAGTCGCGAATCAGACAGAATGAAATCTTTAAACACATTGATACAAATACCGATGCGACCGATGCTTTAAAAATACTTCGTAGTTTCACTATTGTTGATAGTTGTAATGTTCATGAACACGAACTTCATTCACCAAGTTTTCCTCTTGATAGAAAACCTGTGCACTGTGAACAACGGAAGCAAAACAATAGTAAACGGTGTCAAGGGGAGAAATTACGAAATAAAATTCCCGAATATGACAAAAATGTGGTTGATAGGACCGAAATCGGGAAAGAGAGAAAAAAAAATGATAATCGTCGATTTGAGAATGAACCAAAGACAGAGAAAAGAAAATATAAATATATCGATAAAATGTCAATGTCTGGTCGTGTAGCAAAATCCTTGAAGAAGAGTACAATCATCGACACAGTAGAAAATAATAAAGAACAAGAAGATAAAATAAAAAGACACGGAGAATTAAAAGGTCGACAAAAGGTCAGAGAAAATGCATTCCTTGAGCATGAAAAAAGAAATTACTTAACCGAATATAACCAACAGGTAGAATCGCCTTTTTATCTCGATCTTGATAAGAATAACCATTTAAATGATGAGATTTACGTGTTTCATCATGACTTAATAAGTGAGGAACAAAGACGAAATACACACTTAGGAAACCTAGAAGAAAAATATGAAGAAAGCGAGGACTACAGAACAACTACGGATGGAGTATTATTCAATCAAATAGCAATTTCTTCTGAAACAACGATTGACAATAACATCAATGAAGCTGATGAAGGACTTACCGTCGTTACTATCGAACAAAATTGTCCAATTGATACGAAAGTGACAACAAATTCGAAACTACTGTTCGAGAATTCGGTGAAAGAATCAAAAATAAACTTCTGTACAACGACTAGTTATCTTGGAAATAAAAGTGAGAATAATAATACTATTGGACCAAATGGATGTAAAATTAAAGAGAATTATACCGATTCATTGTTCAAACCAGATGACTGTGATAACATAATTGTCGTCGATTCGTCATCATCGTCCTCATCGTCCTCGTCATCATCTTCATCGTCATCGTCATCGTCATCGTCGACATTGTCATCATCATCGTCAACGTCATCGTTATCCACATCATCGTCGCCTTCGTCATCTTCATCGTCATCGTCAACGTCGTCATCGTCATCATCATCGTCGTCGTCGTCGTCGTCTTCGTCGTCTTCGTCGTCGTCGTCGTCGTCGTCGTCGTCGTCGTCGTCGTCGTCGTCGTCGTCGTCGTCGTCGTCGTCATCGTCGTCATCGTCATCGTCCACTTCGTCGTCGTCGTCATCATCGTCGTCGTCATCGTCGTCGTCGTCGTCATCATCGTCATCGTCGTCATCATCGTCGTCGTCGTCAACGTCATCGCCGTCATCGTTACCTTCGTTGATGTTACCATCATGCACATATTTACGAAAAAAGAATATATGTAACATTAAAGATGGACGAAGTATCAATGAAACTAATATCGCACATGATACAGAGGAGAAGCAAGAGAATCAGCAAAAAAGATATTGTTGCGTAGTGTGCGAGGCGCGATTTAAAGGTAGCGGTGGTCTTCGTAATCATTATAAGATCGTACATGGAGCAGGGCCGGTTTTCAAATGTGACGAGTGCGGTAAAGAATTCCCATTAAAAGAAAGATTAAAATTACACGTGAGAACACATACCGGTTTTAAACCTTATAAATGTTCAGAGTGCGACAAAAGTTTCGCTAGAGGAGGGCAATTGGTGCAGCATCGACGTACACACAGTCAGGTAAAACCATATCGTTGTGGCTTATGTTCCGGCACGTTTACTTGTGCTGCAAATTTAGCATTGCATGTAAAACGACATAATGGTCAAAAGGATCACAAATGTGAAATTTGTGGCCGCGCGTTCGTTCGACGAGACGCGCTTAAGAAGCATCTCGAATGTCTTCACAGAGACGTGAAATCTTTTCTCTGCGTGATTTGCAACAAAACCTTCAAAGGCCATCTTCCTCAACATATGAGGACACATGCACGTGACAGACCACATGGTTGTGCCACGTGTGGGCAAAGGTTCGCTCAAAAATCTCAACTGACTGTACATCAGAGAACGCATTCTGGGCAAAGACCGTTTAGATGTTTGGTTTGTTGGCAGGCATTTGCACATTCGACGGCACTTAAACTACATACGAGAAGGCACACCGGCGAAAGGCCGTTTAAGTGTGCCGAATGTAATGCTGGTTTCACCCAACTACCCCATTGGAAAAAGCACATGAAATGTATCCATGGCAGGAATGAACCTTATGCTTGCAAGAAATGTAAAAGCTTTTTTAGAATTAAAAACGATCTGGAATGTCACGAGAAAACTTGTCATCCTGAGTGTGAAAGCGAAAACAATATTTCGAATACTCGAACCTCGGATTCAGTAACAGCCACTATGATGTCGGCATCAATTTCGGTGACCTTACAGCCAACAGCATCATTACTTTCCAACGAAATAATCACTGACAAATCTACGTTGTCGCCCTCTAAATATAGAGTAATGACTGTCGAGAGAATGAGATTATTACTCGCTGTACTTCTTAAGAGAATCAGTAAACAAGAAAGGCTCGACGAATTAGGTTTTGGTAAACGATTAATTGACGAAGTTCTTTACGATTCTCTGATATCTGCTGGCAAAGATCCAATCACGAGCAATGGACTTTCAGAACTTGAAACTCTCACCAAAAACCTCGAGATATTTCTAAAATGGACCGTACCCAAAGAACATTGGGAAAATTTTCGCAGATTAAATAAGACTCCTGAAGATATCCTGGAAACGCTGACTGCTACTTAAATAAAAATCGTAAACATTTCAACCTCACTTACACATATTATTACATATTTACCAAAGATTAACAGAAATTTCGGTATATTTGAATTTCTTCGAAATGAAGAAATTTAAGAAAACCATCTGATCCTAAAATAATAAAGGCTTTTTACATTCAAGACTGTATTTCCCGAAATGGATGATTTATACATGATATTTTATATATAAAAATGTATAACTTTCCTAAGCGATACGTAAATGAGCAGATACAGATAAATAATAAATAAGGAAAACTTGAACCGGCGAAGGTAGAGGACATGTGTTCAGCATACGAGCTGGCACATGTTAATCGACAGACTATTTCAATAATAGTTCATTGTAATATAGATAACAAAACTGTTGCTAATTATTTATTAGAATTTCAATACACAAATGTCGTTTCATTTAGTCTAAAATTAATATTTGCTAGTCCAAAGTGCAAACGCAATATTCGTAATAACGTTCGGGCAACTCGTTAATCCTCTTCCATTATTTTATTCTATTCGTAATAAAATAAATCAAATCATATATATATATTTTTTTTTTGGCTTTTATGAAATATATAATATACATATATATTTCATAAAAGTAATAACGAGTTGCACAATGAACGATAAACAATTTTGTTGCTATGTAAAACTAAGAAATCGGTATCGGTTTTTTCATGTGATAAGTTAATTATGCATCAAGTGCCATGTTATTTGTACAAATGTTCGTATGTACAATCTAAAACACGTAGATTTTTAGACTTTTATGCAAAGTATAAAGCTATAATATATGCAGCGAAAATTTTCATTGTGATTTACATGATTTTAAGTGGCGCTTAAATTTCCCAAGTTGATTCTTGTCTACAGATGTTTAAGTATATCTGCTACCGTTTAGATATTTTTAACAGCCAACGGACTACGTTTCCTTAAGGGTGCCATGCGTCATTCTACTTCTTGCCCTGTTATACTATTAATGACTATCTTACTTGTATTGTTATTTAAGAAGACAAAAAGTCGCTCGATATTTTTAAACAAACATACGATATTACCATGGATATTACAACGGTTGAACATTATCTATAACGAGCAATGAATGCAGAAGGTATTCGTGTGGCAATAGATTTCTTTGATGATTTACATATCGCTACTCGAAGCAAAACGAAAATAAATTTCTTACATTTATATTTGCCATAACGGAAGAAATATTTTTTTAGTGGTAATAAAAAATAAAAAATAAAAAAGAAGAAAAGAAAAGAAAAAGAAGAAAGAAAGGAAAAGTAAAGAAGAAAAATAACACGAAGATATGTCGAAATATATACGAGTGTCTCCTTAGGTAATTTCTTACTTCATTCAAAGAGGCTAGATAGATACCAACGTAGACTATTATACGTTGTTTGTTGCAATATATTCTTTTAATTAGACGTAAGCATTCTATATTTATACATACATTGTTGTGTGCAAACTGTTGCAGAAGTATAACATACAAGTTAAAGTCAGAACTTCGTCAGTTTTCATTTGTTTGTGATATATTTTCTTGCCATTTTTGTCACTCTTCTTTTTTCTATTTCGTTACTTTTTTTAAACATCTATACCTATCAACCTACATTATATGTTACACGTGCTATTTTTAATTGAAAAATTGAAAATTTGATGAAAAACGCAACATATCGAACGTTATCATGAAATCTTTTATACATGCGGACAACGCGCGGTGCTACATGGAACTCTGTTGTGTTCGTTGCCCTGTTATCAAACGGGACCTTTTGATACCTACAAGCCTTATTATCGTTAGTTTCTTTTGTATGTTATGTAATTCTCGTTAGTATATATTCGCTCGTTTTCGTGCGTAAATCGTGCATATTAATGTTGATATGTTTAATAATTATGCTCGTACGTATAGCTTACAATTGCGATATCTTTTAGATAGGCGTAAAAAAATGTGAACAGACAATAATAACGAAGGTTATAAGATTAATGTAACCAAAACAAACAAAAAAGAAAAGAGAAAAACCGAGTGCGCGCACGTGCGCACACAAAGAGAATTAAATATGTTATTCTGTTATATTAGTATGCAATACAAATAGAAAAATATATAAATAATTATACGAATACATATTCCGTAATGCATTAATATTATATATTTATATAATTATTTTTAATGCGTTAAAAACGTTTTCATTCTGTACAATATATCCGATGAGGTACTATTTCGTACTACGCAAATGTTTCAAACATTTTGCTGCTATACATTGTGTTAATTTTATTGTTTACTTCACTATACCTCGTTAAAATCAAACTTTTATACAGGTCTTCTTGAATGACGAAATAATCTGATAAAGATGATAAATATAAATAATAATAATTCTGCGACAGATAATGCTTGAAAATTTGAAATTACAAAAATTTCCAGAGATCATCGATTATTTGTTTAATACCTGTGTATGTTTTATAAAAATTCAAGTGACTGTATGTTAAGTACAGTAGATTGCAAGATATGTATATCGACACAGGCAACTACGTCGATGTCGCTCGAAATTTATTCGAAAGATCGGAATCTGCTTTTCTGTCTGCTGTAGAAATGCAAATAGAGGTCATAGAGAATACTGAATATAGAACGAGGTTAAAAGAATGCTTGCTTGATTGTATAATAGATATGCGTATAGAATTCGAGTAAGGATTTCAATGTTTCAACGATGGTGCTGTTTAAGTGCTCGAATTACTTGATTCTATACGTTACTCGGTGCCAAAGTGGACATTTTATTTAAATTGCGTGATGACTGATCACCTATGTTCTTATCTGTGTTATTACTTTCGATTACGAACAAGCTGTACATGAAATTTGCATTACGAAAGAAAATTTTTTCTGTTTCCCGTATACTTGAAAAAACTTTAAATTATATTTATTCTTTTTCTTTATATTAATTTATGTTAATTGTGCCATAAACATTGCATTATTCATACAGCGCATCTTACTTTATTGTACAATCAATTACACAATTACTTAAATAAGTTTTCCTCTTCATTTTTTATTCAAGAAATATTTAACACATAAAGATATATGTATACATATTAAGTAGTAAAAGTAATATACAAAATTATCAAAATGTATTTTATATACTATACCTGTAAAAACCACAATTAGCCTTATATTTGAAACAAATGAATCTTTGGTTAATATTGTTATTATCGTTTATCTCTGTTATTCGAAATCAGCATATTTCCAAAAAAGTGAAAAGTTCTCCCTCAAATCCACTTGTAAATTGTTCACATATAAACACTAAAAAGATGTTCAGAATAATTAATACTTTACACGTCGATGCGAAAAATTATTATTTTATCTTTAACACAAACTCACACTTTTTTTATTGTCATAATCAAATCGTATTTCTCGATCGTCTAGGAAAACTCGTGAAATATTAAATGTTATACCCCATATCTGTATTTTATCTAAAATAATCTTTTCATCAAAGAAACTATCCATTACTTTAGAAGAGGTCAAAATATTATTTTCAATATTGAAAAATATCCACGCAAACTGTCTCTTCTCCAATGAATCTATAAATATTATTTATACATTGAAAGAAAATTATACAAAATTAATTATTAGACAGTTGCAATATATACCCAAACTGTCACCATCATCCCAATATAACTCTCCTTTCGACTTTGCTACATGATCTAATGTAATCAATAAGTGAAAATGATTTTTTCTACTGGTTGTTGTAGTGTTAGCTGGTTTTTGTGCTGGCAAAATGGATCCTCCACGAATCATTAATGGTATAGTATCAAGTGGTGCATTCAATGTATAATATTTACCCAGTGCAAAGATAGGCTCTTTTGTATAAAAATTATACCATAATCCACGTGGTAAATAAGCTGTTACTTCTGTTTTGTTCTATCAATTAACAATGAAACAACAATGAGATCATTTAAATGTATGAAATGTTAGTCATTTATTAATACGTTATTGTCGTTATAATAAAACTCCAACTTACTTCTTCTAATACTGGTATTATCATGAGAGAACTTCCCCATAGATATTGAGTGTCGATATCATATGTGGCTGAATCATTAAAGAATCTGAAAAACCACTTACACTTACAAACATTTTTTTATGATGAATCATATGTGATTAATGCTTACTCGAAGAATAATGGTCGCGCTACAGTTTCTCCAAATTTATGTGCCCGAAAAAATAATGTATATAAATAAGGTAACAACCAGTAACGTATCGTAAGGGCACGCTTAGAAGACTTTATTACTAAATCACCCATAGCAACTGGATCTTGTTCCTGCAAATATACGGACAATATTTATTATCAGAAATATATGAAATTGAAGAAAAAATTGCATTCTTCCCAAGTAACATCGATGAAAATTAGAAAAATACGAACGATCGCATCGTCGGTATTATGGTTACGAGAGAAAGGATAAAATGCACCAAGTTGCATCCAGCGATTGCATAATGTCACTGTTGTATTTCCATTGAATCCGCATATGTCAGCACCAACCATTGGTATTTGATAAAAATTCATCGACAATATTGTCGGAATGCTCATTTTTAAATCATACCTAATGATAAATGTGCAATACGAAATGTGAATGTTTAACAAATGTTTATAAATTAAATATTGTTATTAATACTATTACTACCATGAGGAATAAACATCTCCTGTCCAATGACCAGCATAGTGTCCATGTCCTACCCAGGTCGAACGCGATATTATAAATGGTCTCTTCCGTCGAATATTAATTAGTGCACTACGTACATATCTTGCGCAATTATACATATTCCTCTTTAACTTATACTTTCGTTTATATTTATTAGTATACTTACTGATTTGTTGCTATCGCTTGACCTATACCGCAAGTATTATGCAAGTCATAATGAGTGCCCAAGTAATGTTTTGCATTCATACACAATGTTTTTGTTGCAAGTGTATTACCAGCGATGTTAGGAACATATTTAGGATAATCCAGCTTATTCTGTGAACATCCATTTTTATGTCCATCATAAAAATTAGATGGCTCGTTCATATCCTAATTGTGATAGAAAAACAAAACAAACATTAAATATTTTAAATTGTCGAATAAATCTCGACTAATAAAAATTAAGTACACACAATCCAAGCACCATCGTATGCAAAACTATCATGCATGTTATTCATCATTCGGAGATAATAGTGCTCCACTTTAGGATGTGTAAAATCAGGCCAGACAGTAGAAATTAAATTCCAAACTTTGCCAACAAATGGCTGACTGCTTAAATCATCTTTTATAAATATATCTTCTTTCACACCTTCATCATATGGCAAGTAACTACCATTCTTTTCAAAACCAGATACACCTGCATCGATTAAGGGAATATAATGCATTCCTCTCTACAATGTGCAAAACATTATGCATCGTATATTTTTTTAACAATTGCATATAAGTGAACATCACTTCTTACTTTGTGTAATTCTTTCACAAAAAATGGTAAATCTTTAAATTTTTCTAAATTATATGTGAAATCGTTATTTTTATCCATGTAATCTAAATCATTCCATTGAGTATCCTGAAAGTAATGCAAACCAATTAAATCTATTAAAATGGATCTATTTGCCTTACATGAATCATATATACATCATATATACATCTAACAAATCTAACTCTATAAAATACATTACAAATGGAATTTCAGCTATTATGGTTCTATTCCATACTTCTTTTGTTTTCTCCAAACTTCCATATCCATATCTGTACAATTTTTGAAAGTACAATAAATATATAAATTCATACTTTCTGCTGTAATGTAAAATTCCTACCTGCATAAATGAAATCCGAGAGACCAATATGGAGGAAGAAATGGTTTACCTATTATCTCGGAATATTGCTTTATGACATCTGCCGGGGTTGGACCCAAAAAAAAATATATATCGAAAATACCACCAATTGTTCGAAAAGTAATAGCGGGTGATGGTTGTAATATCACATCTAAAAATAGAGAATATTTAAATATATACTTTCAGTACACATTCAGTACACATTGAAAAAGATTACTTTCATTATCATTACCCATAGCATTACTATTAAGAAATAAAACCCCATGAGACTTTCCAGAATTTTCAATTATAAAATAAAAGGGATGAGATCCATATAAATTTGCCTAAATTTAAAAAATCCATTTTTACTAAACAGAGTTCAGGTACAATTTACCAAACAAAGTATAACTTGAAACAATATTTTGAAATAAATTCATATACATTTTCTATTGGTGGCTGGTCTCTGTTAAATAACGTAAAAGTTTGCCAATTAGTATTTAATTTTAACTTTGTTTGATGTTCACCAATACCATAAATGTTATCAGTTGGTAAAAGAGCACTTATTTGCAAAAATTGATCAGCAAATATGAAACCTCCAGTCTTAATAGAATTAAATCTGAAAAATGGAAAAAAAAAGCAATAATATATATTGTATGAAAGATATAATTATGTTAGTTTGAAATTTGTAAATGATCCAATATCTCACAAATATTACTTACATCACCGTATTATCTGAGCTTCTATGTATTTTAAAACCAGGTTTAATATTGTCAACATCTAATCTATACTTTGCATTAATATTTTGCTTTAAAAATGGTTTAGAATCTGTTCTGACAGGCCATGGTGGTTCATATCGGATCTTAAGGGGATCATATATTTTTATACGTAGAACAGAATCATCTACGACACTAGTTTCAACCTTAACAAGTTTTAGGTCATCTTCATAAAATGAGCTTTTCATTTGTTGGAGAAATCCAGAAAAATTGTTTCTATCTTTAGTAAAATTTTTATACTTGTAAATACTCCAATCTTTTGGGTAATAACAATATGGAATATTCAAAGAAACATTTTTTATAAATGAAATTGGTTTCTTATGAGAATCCCAGCAACAACCTCTATTTTTGCAGGATAATTCAGATGCTTTATCTTCAGGATGACAATCAAAGCGTAATACTGTAGGAATATTATTGCACTGTTCATGATAAATGAAAGTTATTAGACATAATAAGTAAAGAGTGTATGGTAATATTACTTATATATTATAAATTTCTAAATATAGTGTTTAAAACTCACTTGTAAGATTTCAGGAACTTGAGATGTTATATTATACTCGAATTTTTCTTTTTTAGATAATATTGTAGAAATATTGATCAATTTATAATTTATATCCTGCAGAGTTCCATTAATTTTCCCAGAAAATATATTTATTTCATATTCTTTAATAGTAATGCATTTGCCCCGTTTTATAAATACTACTATGATGCCGAACAGAATAATAAACATTGTTAATTTCAACAAATGATGCGATAATATATATCTAAAATGTCTGTTTAAAGTCATATTTCTTTCTACAAATTGTTGTGTATGTTTTACAACCATTTCCACTATTTTAATTTGATAATTCTGTCAAACATTCAACTGTTACACAGCTTGACTGTCTTGTAATCTTTTTAATCGAATAAATTACCTACTTTAAGAAGTTTATCTTCTTACTATGAATAAATGCTTTTTGTTAATATATATAAAATATATATAAAATATTCGTGTATTCTATAAAATAATATAACGTATATTTGTATTTAACATTAAAAGTTTATTTTCCGTTTATATATATTTATGCGTATAACTTTAATATATTACAAAGAATATTTATTTTTAAAAATAAAGCCTCTAATTACGTTTATTGTTATATTATTCGTATCGAATCAGTTTCTTAAACAATATCATAATTTTACTTGACAACAAGTTTTATGTTTAACATCATTGGTCCATTTCCAATCTGGAGAACCAGTGGCCTACAAGTTACACTATACTGTGTGTACTCTATACTGTCGGGGATTAATATTAGCAAGAAGAGTAAGGTAAGCGACAGTGGAATAGCATTAGGAGTGGGGAGATTGAGGGATTCTTCCCAGTAGCCCTGTTATCGAGCAGAAGAAACGACAGGGTAGATGTTTACTACTTTCGGTTTGCTTTATATTAAAGAAATTTTTAGCAACTTACTTACTTATTTTACGTAATTTTCTTGTATATAGGTATTTAAAAATTAAATATACGTAAAAATTTAAATAAATCTATTACCATATATGCTTAAATATTTTTTACTTTACACTCTACACAAATGTATTGATGTAAAATTTGTAATGTATTATGTCGCACAATATTACCATAACTATGTAAATTGTATAATAGGAAGATAAAAGAAATAGAAGGGTTTATTAAATTTATAAAATACTAATAATATTTATATTCTTGGACAGAAAAGAAGAATCATATTTTATACATTTTATATAACTTTAAAACTCATATATTTTGTCTAATATGTATAAATGCTAAACCTTCCCTTTTCAAGTTATATCAATTTCACTGCCGTTTTTTGCTTTCTCACATTGTTCGATGATTTCTGAAATAACAAATTAATTTAAAAGATCTAAAAGTAACATGGGAATATGTGAAACTTACTTTGAACAATAGTTTTTAATATGAAAATAGTTGGTGATTCTGGGAGCTCCGTCAGAAAGTTTTTACCCTCATCACAACATCTAGCTAAAAATGGATCTAAAGGTAGAGAACCTAAAAATTCTATGCTCAATTCCTTAGCCATTGCATAACCACCACCTGTTAGTGCTGGAAATATTTCCGTACAATTCTATATTTAAAAAAAAGATAGAGAAAAAGAAGAAGTGTTCATATAAATGATAATTTGCAATAATATTGCCCAATTAACTTTACACTAGTATTTGTACATACCTTACATTTAGGGCACATAAAGATATTCATATTTTCAATAATCCCTAGAATTGGTATATTTACTTTTCTGCAAAAATTAATTTCTTTCCTTACATCTAATAAAGCAACCTGCTGTGGAGTTGTTACTATTATCGCTCCTGTGATACCGGTATCTTTAAGATATGAGGTTGCTGATAAATGTTCATCTGATGTACCAGGGGGTGTATCCAAAATAAGATAATCCAATGTTCCCCAATCTACTTCTGATAAAAATTGTCTAATCATTCCTGAAAAGAATAATAAGATATATTAGTGATACACATGTAAGAAATATGCAAGGAAAAAAAGAAGATTGTCTTAACTAAAATACCATTTTTCTTAGGCCCCCTCCATATAACAGCATCGCTTGGATTATCAAGTAAAAATCCAATGGACATTAGTGATAAATTGTCTTCTACATACTAACAATAAAAATAAAATTTATATTAGATATAGTAGTGAATGTATAAATTAGTTTATATTTATAAAAACTTACTACTGGGGACCATCCTGATCCACTTTGATGTACTTGTTCTCCTGTTACACCTAATACTCTTGGTTGAGATGGTCCACAAATATCAATATCCAATACTGCAACCTATGAAATTTATTTCTTCAAGTTATCATTTATTTTAATTATTCCTTAGAATACCAAGAAATATCTTTTATCTTACCAAAGAGAGAAAAATAACTATTAAAAAACTAAATTGATAAATAAACATTTAGTTATAACTAAGATTTTAGTGGCATGTGTGATATAATCAATAGAATTAATGCTAAAATAAAGGAACAATAGAAATAATTTTAGTAAAGATGAAAAAGCAATAGAGTCTTTTAGAACTTCCTTGGTAAAAAACATCAATGAGCATAACTCTTTGGTATGCTAAGGGTTAATAAGTTATAAATTCTAGTTTTATATATTCTTGTTTGCATTGAAGATTACAAGAATATAATATCAAAGGTTTAAAATAATCAATAAGAAACTAGTAGTACAGAGTAATATGAACAAGTACATAAAATTATAAGTGTATAAGGGTGTATTTTTCAGAATAAACTGTAGTGTATAAACAATAATTGATTGATAGAAATCACTATGTTGATATGTATATAGAAAACAACATGGATGTCCTTACTATGAAAAGAAGGGTAAATATTCTCAATATAATGCTAATCATGATAACATTTGATTTATACTGTGCAACATATTTCAAATATAACAGTCATCCATAAAAATGATTATTTAAACTGATTATTTCTCATAATTTCTATACTTTATAAATACATACGTTTATATCAGGATTACTTGCTGCCAAGGATCTGGATAACAATGATGTTATAGTACTTTTACCAACACCTCCTTTACCAGATAATACTAATAGTTTGTTTTTAACTGTTGAAAGTCTTTTTTTAATGAGTCCTATATTTGGATCTGGTTGTCTACTAATACCAGATGCGCATATCATTTGATTTGGACAACCAGTACATATAGATGTCTTTCCTGCTTCTTTACTTGTAGTACCAGGACACTCTACAAAAGTGTTATTGTTATTTTTAAATAATTACTTAATGATTTTACAATATACTATGTTCATGTTAAAAAAACTGAACGGTAATTAATTCATTAAGTAGTTATACGGGGAAATGTTTTTTAAATTTATAATTAAAAATATTTTGAACATTAAATAAGCATTGAAATGCAAGGCAACATAATATAACCTCATATATAAATAACCGAAGTTAAACATATTGAAAAATTAAAAGTGATTCGATATACATTTTAACTGATCATTATATGTAATAATTATGGTATCAAATTATATGTAACATATTTCATATTTTATAAAACGATATTTTATATTATATATCTACTTACGTTGCGGTACATCACTAGGTACATCTGCCATATTGAACAATGACTAATTTGATTGATAATTATTTGAATAACCGATAAAAAGATAGTCCTTAAAAAACAAACGCCTTTTATCGATATATCCGTAACAGAGATAATTACCTCAATATTATTTCATTTTATATCATGCAAAAATTTAATATGAATTTCAAATCCAATCACCCCATTAGAGAATTTAAATATTATAAGATTTAAAATTTTCTTTTTTATCTTAACATTATTAGCTTTTAAAATAACCAATATGTCCTTGGTTAAGATAAATGATCTTTCTCCTTTAATGTTTTCCATTTACTTAAAATTTCTAGCAATTACATTCATGGAGTACAATTAATGTTCCAACTTCATACATTGAATCACCAACATTGTGTTATACAACTAACTTTAACAATAGGCTTAATTTTCCTTGGCGCTCCAGTATGGAATATAAAAATATTGAAAGTATACCCTTGTAAGTTTTTAATAATTAAGCATTATTTATTTATATTTCCGATTTTACAAAAAATCTTTTCTGAATAATTAATAATCAATAATTTTTTAGAATCTCAAAGTCAATACCCAATTACACATTAAATGTTCCAAATACAATTAATACATTGAAGTTTCCCAACCTAGTAACAGGATATAAATACAATGCATTAGATACTTCAAAAACTGCTCACCATACCCAATATACACCAGATGATTGGTTTCAAAAACAACTGAAATATTATAATGAAGCAGATTCATGTAGACATTCCTCAGAAAGACTTAGAAATGAAGCTTTACGAATTATCAGGTAAACATTATAAATTGAATTGCATTTATATATTATTATGCATTATATGTAATTTATATAGTAATGATAAATAACTATTGTAATAGAGATGCTGAAGAAAAAGTGCAATCTGGACAAGATGATACTGGTAAAAGACTTAGTGAAAGGATAAATGATATCAATTTTTGGAAAACTGAAATAGTATCAGAATTAGAAAGATTATTTCAAGAAATTGAAAGCCTAAAAGATTGTTGTTCTATTCTAGATAAGACTATTAAAAACATTGAAGGTCCATTGCATATTGCAGAGGAGTGCCTTCATCATAGAGAAGCTAGGAAAGGTAAGACAACAGAATTTAATAATTAATAAATATTATTATTAATGATGATAATGACATGAATTATGATCATTGCTGTTCTTATATTTCATTTCATTTTATTTCATAGATACAGAACTTGTGCATGATGATTCAGAAAAATGTTTGCTTAGAGAGATAGAAATCATAATTCGAAATAGAAAACAATTGAATGCCTTCTTAGACAAATGCAAGAATCAGGTGATATCAAATTAAATAATTAAATTTTAAAATAATTAAAACTTGACTTTATTTATAGGTACGAGATTGCAGGATCTCTCAATGTCAATTAGAATTAGACTTGAAAGGTAAAGAAAATGCATTAGGTATAGATACAATGTGTCACCAATTGAATAATTATAGCCGTGGATTACGATATTATACAATAATTGAGAAAAATAATGCATGGTATATACAACTTTCAAAAAATATTCATTTTATATCAATAGGTGATTTTATGGCAAATTTATGTAAAAATCAAATTTACCTACCTTATTAGCTTTGCTGAACAAGATACATGGATGCATGCTACTAATCAAATAGTTGAAAAATCACAGACAGAGAGGAGTAAGTCCTGTCAATTAAGGTTAAATGCAGAAGCTCTTATGATTAAAATTATGCAAGAAATGTGGAATGCATGGAATGATACAAACAATGCTTTAGCACATAGATCTTCTGAATTACTCGGAGCTAAAAATAAACTTGAACAACATTTACAAATGGTAGCAATAATTGTATATATCATATTGGTACAAAAATGTAATATATTAGTTTTAGGTGCAGCAAGAAATCTTTGATGTTGAAAAAAACTTGCAGTTGATACGGAAAGCTATTGCAGATAAGAATCATGTACTGAAGGTAGCATATACTAGATTGGAAGCTAGAATGCATCGACTAAATATTGAGCTTTGCCGTGACTATGCACACATAAGGTTCATTTTAATGCTTTTATTTTTATGATTAAAAAAGAAAAAAATAACAATAACAACAACAATAATTACAATAATAATAATAATAATAATAGATGTAGACATTTCTAATATTCCTTTGACGGATTTTTCTTTGACAGCCTTGAAAAAGAAATTATCGAGATAAATCACCAAATCTTAAGAATGTACAAAACATTGAAGGAATTAGAGAATCAACATCAGAAATTATTAAAAACACGAGCGATATTGGAGCATGATTTTGCGCTGAAGATCGACGCGATACATATTGACCGAGAAAAAGTCTCTGGTATTAGACGTGCTTATCCAATTAATGTTCTTCTTAAGTTTTAACGAGACTCTATTTATAAATATTTATTGCTATACATCAACATATTGTTGCTTTTTTCTAGAAAGTTTAAGGAAAATGATAATTCATCTTATGCAGGAATAAGATATTAAGTATTGAATATATATTTGTTGCAATACTAACATACTTTTTATTACAATGTCTACTATTCTTTCATGAAATTTGGAATAGGAAGTTTCATTCCCTCCTTGGCTTCAAAAAATGTGTAGGATAATACAATTTCATTGACATTTTCCATTTTAGGGTCATCAGCAAATAGTGGATCAATGTAAAAAAACACTGGCATGTCAACCTTTAACAATGCATATTACAAACAATATAGTTAAACCATATTATCTCTATTTATATAGTGTACCAACATTTAAATAAATTTTATTAAACCTACTTCTTCATGTGGATTAAGTTGTTGTTCTTCAAAACAAAAGCATTGGATTTTATTAAAATACTGTGCTGCCTCATATGGCACCACATTATAGGTAGATATACCTGTCACTGGTACATCTAAAGGATTTTTTGCTGTATAAAATGCTAACGCAGTTTCTCCGGGCATAACCCTCACATAATTTTGTTGTGGTTTAAAATTCCATTGCATCGTAGCTGCTGTATCAGCATTAAATTTTACTTTTAACACTCTGTCCTTAACAGGTTTCATTGAACTTACTTTTGTATTATCATGATTAACTGATATTGTTCCACCATAATTATATGACTGTTGAATGAATAATTCATTCATATATATTATAATAAACATATAGTACATATTACAATGTGAGTAACATTAAAAACATTAATATTACCTGACAAAATACTCTGTACAAAGGTACTGATGCATAAGTAAAGCCAAGTATTAAAATACCAAAACTACTCCAATATAAACGTGAAGAACGTATCCTTCTTTGATGAGCTGCATTGTGGTATTGATTAGATAGAATTCGAGATACATTTGTGTGTATTTGTTTTCTATAGTAATTAAATACTTTTTGATACCGACAAATTTTCAGATACATTTTAACTTTTCTCTCATTAATATAACCTAAATGTGTCAATAAAGTATGAAGTCTACTATAAGTTTATTGCAAAATAGATTTAACAAATACAATATAAATTAATAATGAAAAGGAAAAAATATAAAGAATAACTCAATAACATATTTTGTCAATTCCTCTACAAAAACAGTTTAGTAATCAATTTTAAATTTAATCACACATAAGATATATAACAGACCACAGACAAAATATAAGATAGATCAATTATTCAATGTAATTTTTGACGATTATCATTACTGACTAACACTACTAACATGAATAATGATTGGAATAAAATTACATTCGAAAATGAAATTATAAACCGAGTAAAAAATTGAATAACCTATAATAGTAAATGAAATATTGTAACATAAGTCGATATTTCAAAGAATAATTTACATATGTACAATTATTTTTTAAGCCATTTACTTTCTCGTAACAATAGTTTTTAACATACAAGTTTTTAGAACAAATTTTTAAAGTTAAAAAGCGAATAGTGGCTAAAATTGATATTAACCAAAGGGACCTCCTATACTCCATACTCATCACACATCCTAAAATAAGGTAAAATTCGCGTTTATAACAAATTCTATAAATTCATGCTTCACTAAGTTTATAATTGTGCATTTATAAAAATTTTTAAAAGAATATATAGTAAAATTTTGTACCCAAATGTATACATATATACAATATCCATATAATTATGTATACATTATACATATCCATATAAGTACCATCTTTATACTTTCATATATATGTATATTTATATAAGAAAGTCTCTTAGTGTATTTTAAATTGTATTTCGAAGTATAGGAAATATAATGGAAAGATAAAAATTTAATTATAAGGAAAATAAATGAAGCATGAAGAAGAAATAAATTCTATTTTCTTCAGCGTGCTTAGATCAAATATATTTTTTATCATTTTAGACATAACGATATATATATATAAAAGAGGACGAGAGATAGATAAGATAGATGAGGAAGCTGAAGAAAGTAACAGGAACACGGAATAGGCGAGAAGGTCGTCGAAGAGCTGATAATTCTGCAGTGAAGAATCACAAATTTTCAAGTTTCTGTGCTTAATTCATGAACTTAAGTAGTTGCATCGGAAAGCTGAAACTTTGAGCAACATTCTCATGAAATTTTCGTACATAATTTAATACGAATTAATTAGTTATTAACAATTATTTGAAGGCGTGCGTGATTTGATAACGACAGACGGCATGATATGAGAAGATGCGCAAGAACATTGTTTTTCTAATGCATGCATTTAATTGATATTTACACAGAATAAATGCATAGAATAACTATTAATAATGAATTAATTGAGAAGAAATTATTATTGAAAACGATATAAGAAAGTCGTTGAAGGCTGTGCCATCACGATGCAATTATAAAAGTTGAAACATTCATCACAGAAATAGAATAATTTGATAATTTTCCACTGCCAAATTGATTTATTAGGAAGTATCAGCGGCACATAACCAGAGTTAGTAGCCTATTCGATCTGACAGCCACTAACACTTTCGGCACTATTTTTCGAAAACGCACGCTCGAAACCGAAAAAAAATAAACAATCCCGTTATGGAAAAATTCACTCTACACGGATATATGCAACAAACCTAATCCAAAAGCCTAATTTCTGAATTCAGAAGGAAAAAAATTCTATTAGGCAGTACAATTTCGTAGTCACAGACACGAATGCTGGAAATCATAGAAAAATCGGCATACGATATAGAGATAAGCCTAATCAACGCTGCAATGCGGGGAGAACCTAATCCAAAAGCCTAATGTCGGCAAAATATAAGCGAAAGAATTGAACTGTGTAGAACGATCTCACAGGCACTACTTATACTTCTATCACATTATTTCACATGTACACCTTCACTTTTCTCCACATGTGGTTTGTTACTGCCGAACAAATGTTCACAGTTATTTATCCTGTTCTTGGTAAAGTTCTCGTAATTTGTTAAACTTGTGTTGTGGTCCTTTCGTATATATCACGACAATGTGTAAAGGTTGTTTATTGTTCCGAAATAATAACTGATACTGCGTGTTATTGTTCTTAAATATTTCTTTAATCAATTGCAGTAATTGAAAGACTGATCAAGAATAACACTACTTCACGAAATGTTTTGTTCAAGGACTGAAAGTTTCACTGTAACGCGTGTAAATATTGCATCATGTGCTAGACTAGAAGTGTTCTGCGATTGGACAAAGCTGTTCCTTGTTTTCGCGAGAAGATGCTTCGTCTTTGAAATATCCATGTGCTAAAGTATCGATATAAAACATCAATCGATGTTTCTTATATTTATTAATATTAATGAAGCAAATATAAATATATTTCTGTTGCGAAAAATTCCAAATTTCTATAATTAATTCATGAACTTGAATTATTAATTATTCCATTATACTAATAGAAAGATAAACGATTAGTATCTTCGGCAATAGTTGAAATACTCTATGCAATAATCACCAATAATGATTTGAAATTTTAAAAGTTGATGAATTAATTATAGACGAACACGAAGTCACAGTTGAAGTTGAGTGATTTTATTCTTGGTAAAAAGAAAATGAAAGTGCAATGATTATATGCTTAGGTACTTTTTATTCACTTTGAAAGTTTCACATGTACACGTTAATTGTTATCGACATAATAAACAATGACATATAGACATTAGAATCTGAGTAGATGTCCGTATCACGGACCGTTGCGAGAAAAAGATGTTTCGTAATACATATCACGTAACAATTATCATTATAATGACCATATATATATATGTAACAATATTTGTATATCGTCAATAGGTCGTCCTCAATTGGCGACGGTTAATGACGAACCAAATTTCTTGAGGAACGTTGTGTTTATAGTGGACTGTATTTTATGTAGTAGTTTCGGATAACTCTTCTGAACTCTTCGAATGTTATTGACTGACTCCTCTGACTGACTGACTGATACTGACTCGGTGGTTATATAATCCTGGTCTCTCTGCTGATTGTTTGTTATGATGTTGGGGGTGCATGTTAACTTCAGCGTCCTTCGGTGGTGGTGATGGTTGTTCAAACAATCTAGATAATTGTGCTTGTTTTCTTGAAGGGTTATATATAGTTGTTTGTTGCGGATTACCTAAGTGGTGGCTTAGGTGCTAAAGAAATCAAAGGGCGCTGACAGTAAGGATATAAACAACCTCACTACTTGGGACATTGCGGTCCTAGGGTCTCATCAATGGTACTTGAGAAATTTCAGAGCCTTCACACAGTCTATTCCAAATAAAGGGCCGAACGAAATACCGGGACGACATTCCAAGGCTTAACAATATTTATAGACATATACACACTACTGCAAATGATTCTATTTAAATACATGAGTTATCCTAATAATTCTAGATATTAATTTATCTTGCATCTATCTCTCTTATCGTGCATCTCCTCGGCTTTCTCTTGTGACGACAACCGACCTGAATCATCGATATGACTAGACCTCCAAAATCCAAGACGCAATCCTGTGACATTAGCCTACACGAATCACCAGACGACCGAAACCCCTTCCAAACCATCCAGGACAAGATAATAAGAATATATATATATACCCCAACCCAAAACCGAAATAAAGTCAGTCTAACTCTAAACCTATACACGTTGTCTTTTCTATACGTTATACCTACTCGTATAAAAGCCTTCGTGAATATTTTCACTCGCGTGTCTAAGTTAGTCCCGTGACATTCTCGTGCTAAACCTCATAAGGAGTTCCTTATTCCCTATTCATTTTCCTTCATATATCTTTATCATCTTCAACATCATCTATTTTATAACTTTCTACATTCTTCGGTTCCCTTTTTGCATCTCTCAATTTATTTTTTATCCTTTCCTTCACTGCTCTGAAAATATAAATATAAGAGACAGTCAATAAAAATTTCTACTTTTTACAACCTATTTATAACTAACTCTTTCTCTTTCTTTATAACTTTTAATTCTTCTCGAGCTTTTACTTTGTCGTCACTTTTTCAATAGCTACTGCGGTCTTCCGTCCTTCTTTTATTTGTAAGTCCAGGTGGTTCAACGGCTTGTCGCGAGCTTAATTTTGGATCAGTTAAATGATCATGAGCTGATTCGCTCTTACCACTAATCTCTTTATTTAATTTCACAGATTCTTCTTCATTTTCCTCTGCTTCTTCACCAAATGATAAAAGATTGAAATTTCTGTAACAAAATTTTTCATTGCAAAGAATAATACTATCAGGACCAAATTCTGCAAACATATGTGATTTTTACTTTACTGCTGCTTTTTTTGTTTTTGAACTGTCCTTTACTTTTTCACTTTCCTGTACTATTATTCTTGGTAGAATATCAGAAAATGGGTTGTACAATATTATAGTTTTTATCAAACTTGGAGGATAAAGTGGCCTATCATTCTACAAAAAAGACTATTTTTTTTAATATTATATTTATATCAATTCTTGATATATTTTCTTGTAAACATAAAATTTACCTCATCTACAAGTGCTTCCTCAAGTTTAAGCGTGATATATATAGTTTCTCCAGTAACTTTACTAAAGATTGTATGTTTATTTTGTAAATCTGGTGTAGGAACTAAGAGAAAAGAAGAATTGAGAACCATTGTCATCTTTTCCAGCATTAAAACGTAAAACGTAATATTGTATGAAATTTGTCTTAAAACATACGTACTTAATTCTGTTTTTACACGATAGATACGTTCCCGAAGAATACGTGCAAAAAAAATTCGTGTAAAAAAATATATTGCATCTATGGAAAAATAGAAGATTGGTTCCAGTCCCAAGAAATCAGCAAAAATAATACAATAAACCATGACTTTTCATGTTAGGGTCTTAAACATTTTATTTCATAAAGATTGCACATGTATCATACAAAGTAAATTATCATTTGAAAAGGAAAAAAACATGTCACTAATTCATGAACACAAAAATTAGGCAAGATAAAATGAGTTACACATAAAAAGATTTTATTCGTTGTCACTTTCTGACAATAAACGCTTACGTTTGCGTAAGACTGCAATATTACTAGAAATTACAATATCGCTAGAAATGTCTTGGTTATCGTCTTTGTGCTACATTGGTGAAATTCTTTCTGTAGTATCTTGAACAAAATTAGGACCAGCCTCCTGTGGTGCCGATGTTTCAGTGGATTTAAGAACGAATTCAGTAATTAATCGTTGTGTTTGTGTTTTGGCTAGGCCAAAAATTTGGGTCGATCGTATTTAATCAAAATAAGTCGTGTAAAAAGAGAATTAAATTTTTTTCTTAATTCGTGTTAAATCAAAATCGTGTAAAAGAA